CCACAGGGTTTTGCCTTCCTTAGAAAGTTAAAACTAACAGAGAGTGATCAGGAATTTACAGCGATAGTCCAATAAATCAAAATAAGACACATTTTTGTCAAGAAGCTCGTTTGGACTATAAACATGTAAATTACAGGAGGTGTACAGGCAATCATGAGTTGTGATAATGTAATATCACAGATACAGAGGTGAAATTATCATTCCCCAAAATGCGACCATTTAGAACACAACATTTGCTGTCTCTCAAAAAAATCAATCAACATTTCCCCTTGAGAGTTTACAATATCATCTATAACAGCCATTCTAGGAGGAATGGTCAAATCAGAGTCACAGTAATCAGAGTAATAAAATAAAACGTATGCATTGTGTACACAGCAAGGCCACAAAAAATTCATTTTTGGCTTTTGCCACAAGGTATCAAGATATCAATGGGTAAACTGGTATATTGCAACTTTTATATATCAATATTGTTTATTGAAGTGCCTTTGCCCCCTATAGCTTGGTTATTTGAGTCCTCTACTTGTGTTTGTTTGTGTATATGTTCTACTGTTCTTAATAAAGTATTAATAAAATAAAATAAAAACAGTTCAGTCTCCTGCCCTTGTCCCAGGCCCTGTTTCTGTCAGTAAGGCCAAGATTCAAAATGCACTTTGACATGTTTCAGAATTGAGGAAGTCACAATAATTTCCAAACTTTTATTTTGACTTTTGTACTGTAATGTTCTTGCAAAAAGGTCATGTCTGAATCATTAGTCCTCATTGGCTAATCTTCCTCACTCATGCATTTTTGACCCCTGGACATCCCTGGGTTTGACTCCACCCCTCCAGAGCTTTCTGTGTGGGGGTTGCATTGTCTCCTTGTGTCTGCATAGGATTCCTCCGGGTGCTCCGGTTGTTAAATACATATACAATAGGTTTGAATGGAATTGAGAGAGTGAACGAATGGTATTGGTCGGGGACTTTGATGCGCCAGTGTGTTCGGCGGCTGGCTTCCGTCATCACCGTGTGTGGAACGAAATATCTGTATCAAAACATTGTAAAATGGTTTGGGTAACCTTGCTCTGTCGATAAAGATGACTTACTTAAATATTGATACATTAAATTAAGCACAATTCTGAAACATGAGTGAAGGTCCTGAATAAAATGTAAACACAGGGACATGTCAACAAAAATGTCACTAAGCATGTGGTGTAATCTCATACTTGACCACCAGGGTCGCAATACTATGAGGATTGGATGTTAAAATGAAAATGTGTATGCAACACCTTTGTCTGATCAGCTTTAAGAGTCATCAATATATAAACTTATTGTCACCAATCAAATCTACTTGCCAGTGCTCTCTTAAAAAACGATGTGGAGAATAATACAAAATAGAAATTCATGCATACTTATTTAAATCAGAAGGAGTATATCACATGGTCAAGACCAGTATGCTACTTTGTGGTAAAAGGCTCATGTCTTTGGAGGGGAGAGAATAGAGTCTAAAACATATTTTCTTTTTTCTTCTACCTAAATCCATCTGTATTAACAGCCCAGTGCCATATGAACCAACTCGGGCTCTGAGGAGCACAGGGACGGGACTCCTGCTGAACTGGACATGTGGAGGGAGCATTTCAGATTCATGCACTCTGGCAGTTTTCAAATCTAGGTTAAAAACAGTTCTGTTCAGCTGTGCATACAACTGAATGTTTTTATCTTTGATTTTATCTTTACTCTTAATGCACTGTGGCTATTTGTTATTTTAATCTCTTGTTTGATTTTATTTTTTATGTTTTTACCATTTAATGTACTCTTAGTGTGTGTTATGTTTATGTAAATTTTAATGTTTGATGATTTATGCGTGGTGTGAAATGGGTTGTGAGGTGCTGTGTGTTGCCTTGTGTAGGAAAGGCGCTCTAAAAATTAAAGTTGATTGATTGATTGATAATGAAAATCGATATAAAACAAATGAAAAATATGACAGATTATTGCTATAAAGCTAGATATAGTTTGTAGTCCCTGGGCAGGTAAACACTATATTACAACCTTATAGATCCATGATTACAAGACACAAGAGAAGCAGCACAAGAACATGTTAAGAGTTGTGATTGATAGCAATAATTGGAAGTTATTGGTCACACATTCTTGTTTAGTCCATTTTACACCCATCATTGCGTAATGGCCACAGACCTGTATATATATATTGCACTTACATATGGAGGAGGAGCTTTTGTTTTCTAAAAGACAAAAGTTTAATTTTATCATGAAGCTGTTGATTCTGTTGTCCTTGTTCTGTGGCGCACTGGCCCAGACAAAAGGTGAGTATGCATTTATTATTCAACTGAGAACATTCTTGATTTATATTTCTTATTTTTATCAGCCCTTCCAAAACTAAAGATAGTACTAGCATCTTGGCATTTCACAGACATTACACAAACCACCATTTATAGGGTTAGTATTTTAATTGTTGGATTCAGAATGTTTTTCTCTTTTCAGGCAAAGACACACGTGAAGTCTATAATACATACAATGGAAGCCAGTATATATTTTACCCTCCTGTGAACTGGGCTCAAGCTCATGTAAGTTCACTTCAGAAAAGATATAAAAGCTAAATCAAAATATAATTTTTCTCTCACTTTGTGCGTTCTCTTTCAGAGGGCCTGCTTGCAAATCGGAGCACACCTGGTGGTTGTGAACGACCAAGCTGAGGAGACCATAGTGCAGGATTTGGCAAAGGGAGCTGAAACATGGATTGGCCTGTCAGATGCACAGCAGGTACGTTTAGGGCTCCCACAGGCCCTGGGGCTTGAATGATTATGCCATAAAAACCTTGAAGTTGCTATTCCTAGATGTATCAAGAAAAAGTTCAAAATCTCAATCTTTAACACAAAAAACTGTAACAATAAAGTCAGACAAATATGGCAGAAAGCATAGCACTATGACATCTCCCCAATAAGAGACAAAAAGAGGTTTATCTTTTCTTGTCTCATAATAACCAACAAGATAGACTATGGTAGGCCCCCTGGCGACAGTAGCTCAGTTGGTAGAGCATTGGCCTTCAGGCCTGAAGGTCGTGGGTTCATTTCCCACCTCTACACCTTCTCCACCGACTCCCACTGATGACTGCTGTCGTTGTGTCCTTGGGCAAGACACTTAACCCCACTTTGCCCAAAGCCCCCACTGAAAGGTCAAGGCTATGCTCACACTTGGGTGGCATCTCTGATTGCCACCCCCCTGACCCAGAAATGGATTAAAGGGTAGAAAATGGATGGATGGATGGATGAAAATGAAAAAAGGAAATGAAAGTCATGTTTGCAAATGTCTAATGTTTTAGTTTGGACTCTGGTTCTGGATCAACAGTGAACCTCTGTGTTACTAGAACTGGTGTCCTGGACAGCCAGATAACAAAGGCGGAAACCAAAAATGTGTTTTGACAAATTACCCAGGTCAGTATATGTACGCAAATATGTATGAGAACACATTTAAATATTAATAATTATTCATTTGCACTGTCCATAGAACGTTCAAATAACATGTTTTTTTGTCTTCAGCTCGTTCAGACAAGTTCTGCTGGGACGATCAGGAGTGTGAACGCATTCGGACCTTTGTTTGTGAAAAAGAAGATTCTTCTTCTCCAAATGCATAACCATATGTGACCATTGTGATCACCTCAAGATGTGCTTCACTTCAAAGTTGATTTCTCACAATAAACACAAACACATGCACAGTGTTGACTAAAAAGGGCCTTGCTTTACTGTAACTGAGCCAAGTAAAATTACATGCTTATTTCCAACGTAAAAAGAAAGGTTCAAATCAGCTTCCTCTGCATAAGGGAAACACAATGGGTGGCATTAGCACTAAGTTAGTCTCCTTCTAGTCTATAGATGTAACCCATATACAAAAAGTTGAAATAATTAGATCACATTATAATAACTTTCAAAATACATTTCATTAGAATACAGTTAATAAAAAAATACTCTATACATAATAATTACAGAATTTGCTGGACTTTAAGCGCTGTTTGTTTGTCAACCGCAGCAGCTACATTTGAAATGAAAGTAGCTTGTGTCCAGATATAGGCCACAGATTTTCATATTATAATGTAACACAGACCAAAAGCTGATAGAGCAAAACGATTAGACGAACTGTTTTAACGGGTCAATTATTAAATGACAAGAAGGTTTAAACGCTCTATTGACTTGTGATGAGAAAATGTAATGACAATACATTTGCTCCCCATCCCTACTAGTACTTGATTAAATCAAAATGAAGTAACAAAATTAATTTAAAACAATAAAAAAATTACACACATTATGATATATAGGCTGTAGGGTTCAAAGAACTTGAAAAAAGTAGTGGCCCAAAGTCCAGAAAGTTCTGTTATTAGTTACTGTATTAGTAACTAATATGGAGCAAACATAGTCAAACATACGCACATTGAATGTGGAAAAACTAAACAGATTACGGGAAAAACCCAGACCAGCACCAGGAGGAGAAGCAGTGCAGTGAAGACAATACATCCATGAGTGGAGATGTCATATGAATAGTTTAATTTTCATTTCTGCATTATGTATGCATTAAAATAACAGATAAATGAATCCAACTTTAATATAATTGACTACTTTCAGTCTGTAATAAGTAGACCAATTATATATATATATATATATATATATATATATATATATATATATATATATATATATATATATATATATATATATATATATATATAAGTCATTTGTGTGTAAATAATACATTTTATCAACGTCACTTTCCCATAGACTGTAAATATCAGCTCTTACCATGGATCTATAAGGAACTTACTATTTTAATAATATCTAGCCAACACTGGGGCAAGGCTAACGGACTGTGATGACGCTCCTCCGCCTGTGGGGGGCGCTGACTCCGGGACAGATGGCTCTAACTTCCGGCGCATGTTTCTTTCCTCACGGCGGCTTTGTGAGAGCTAAAGTTTAACATTTAAAAACGTGTTTAGTTCATCTTGGAGCTCATATTGGCATAATGACGGAAGTAAGAAATGTCTCTTTTGTATTTCTAACTATGCAACAGCCCAGATTAGCTTTGTGTGTGCCGTGTGTGTAAGCATGTTCTGTTAGCCAAACCACTACGTCCTGTGCACGAGCCTGTTCTCACAGAGGGAACTATGATCCCGGCAGCGTACGACTGCTACTAAATATATCAAACTATTGCATTTTACGTATCTACATTCAAAGTTTTCACAGCTTTAAATTGAACAGACACGGACTTTAAATTGTGGGGGGGGGATACTGTTGAACAAGATCCGAACGAAATAATGTCTCATGCAATTTACAATACAATTAACAAAAGCCTGATATAGTCCGCATTATACCAGTAAATTACTTTTAACCAGTTTGTACGAAGAAGTTGCACTGTCCGGAGTGTAACATTACACTTTAAATACACTGTACATGCAAATGTGATCATTTACCATATGATGTTATTTACTTTCATCTTGATCTCGCAAGCTCTGCTTTTCCTTGTGTTCCCAAATCTGGAATATACTATATTAGGGCTGTTATTAACGTTTAAGTTGATTTGTTAGTCCTTTATCATTAGATTTGTTTTCTTAGTTGTTTAGATCCTGAAAGCACAGTGATTTATAAGATATTTCTGTACACATTTGACGAAATAGCCCTCCAGTGATGCCCCTGGAGAACAACATAAAGATGACTTTGGTCACACAGTTGTTTGAATAAGATAACATTCAGTTTATTTGCCATTTGCTGTAAAAACCACATTGGAATGCCATACGCATGTTCATCTCATTCTGCAGTCATCAGCATTATCTGAGTCTTAAAACCTATTTTCAGCGTTTCTAAGTGTATATAAAAGTAATAATCGATTTTCACTGAAAATGTATCTTCACTTTAACTATTAGTTGAACCTCTTATTCTTGTAAACTATTGTTTGTGTGTTCTGACAGGACGTGCAGAAACACTCGGTGCACACGCTGGTGTTCAGGTCCCTGAAAAGAACCCACGACATGTTTGTAGCAGACCAGGCTAAGCCCGTTGCCCCAGACGAGGAGAGGTAATGTGCTTTTTACCACATTTAATTGTGGTGGTTCAGTGGATATCACTGAATAATAAGTGATAATAGTGATTATTGAAGAATTAAATTTTACTCCTATTTTAAGAACATTGAAATGGCACCGGGGGCAGTATGGGGGCTGCAGTGGGCTAACGGCTTAAATATGTCTTGGGTGGGAGTGACATTTCAGCTGTTATGGGGAGATGTTTCTTGTGTGTCTTCATCTTCTAATTGCAGCAACCAATTGCTCAAACTAAATTGCCTTCAGTAATCAGTTCTCTTCTTTCCTCATTAATGGACATCACTCACCTAAGCTTTAAGACATTAAGAGTATAGAGATTCAATTTTATGTATTCTTGTATTGCCCTAAATTACAACATTAGTTATCTCAGAGGCCTTAACAAAACCGTTGAAATCGCCTACACAGATTAAACAGTTCAAACACAAAGTATAGGGAACACATAGGAAACCAGTTAAAGTGATAGTCTGGAACTCTAAATTAATTACAGATTTTAAAATTTGTATAAAATTGACCTCCTGGCCTTAAATGTTCATATAAAATAAGTCATTTTATGAATTCTAATATTACGGGTAAATCCAACCTTCCCTTCTCTGAACTCAAAATCCACGATGCCGTCCACGTTAACCAATCAAGTGATGCCAAGGGCTGTCAATCATCGCGCTGATGCTGGTAGCTGCTCATGCGCAGTTGTTTGTTTTCACGGAGCCTTCGAACAAAGAATTCTGAACATCTGTGCTGAGTTACCCATGTATATACTGAACCTATATCCATAATCATTTATATACTGAACCTATATCCATAATCATTTATATACTGAACCTATATCCATAATCATTTATATACTGAACCTATATCCATAATCATTTATATACTGAACCTATATCCATAATCATTTATATACTGAACCTATATCCATAATCATTTATATACTGAACCTATATCCATAATCAGATCCTCTGCAGATGTGTCCTACAATGTTCAATCAACGTTAATAGCTTGTTCCGGGTTTACCGCAATCACGTTTTTTGTGCATTAAAACGTTATTATTGTCATGAAAACGTTAACAAATAATTCTGAAAACCTCCGTGCATGAGTATTTATTATGTATACGTATAATGTGTTTTCTGATTAACATTTAAATGTGTTACGGAAACGTAGGCATAGATCAGTCAGAAAGGAAGGCTTGCGTTGTTTTATTCAAATCATGTACCTCTCTTTTTTCTGACAAACTCCAGAAAATCACTTTAATGATTATGTTTTGCTTCATGGGGTTCATCAGATGCAAACATCAAACTGTCTGTTTCCTTTTCTCCAGTCAAAAAGTCAAGATGGCCGTCAAGTTGAAGGCTGATTATGGTCCAGTTTTACACATGCCAGTTTTGAAGGAGAACAAAGAACGAGTTCAACAGATATCCAGCGGAGTCCCTTCTGCTCAGGGTTACCCTCAACCAGGTACCCTCGTCATGTCCTGCCCAAATGTTGCAAATAAAATTTTACTGTTGTCGTTGCAATGCATGAAGGAGATCAAATTACTCACCGCCATGAATGGATGGAATAAACCGATAACACGTGGTTACCGCATGCTTGTGGTTACCGCATTCGACTTCATGAAACGCACAATGTGTGACGTGTTAGTCTGCAATTAAATTCTGCATTTGTGTTGTAGGTGAAGAGGCAGAGTACCTGATCACTGGGACACATGCGTACCCCTCTGGACCTGGTAAGTTTTTTTTTTTTATTACAGTGTCAGACTAAAAATAGCTAGTTTTTTAAAGACTTCTTTGTTTGATACCTTAGTGTAAATTAATGCTAATCCATGGTAAAAATTGTTCTGGTCTAAAACCATATGCTTAATATTGAGGTGATATTTGTGCCTTTTCCATTGGCGCCTATTTGGACCAAAGGTACTTATAGCTCCCTCTTCCCCCTTAGACCAAGTGAGACCGAGTCAAGTAGAGCAGATACTTAATGTTCAGAGCACTTGCCGTTGATTGGGTGAAGATTTGACAGCCTGGATAGCAGTAAAGACAATTTAACTAAAACTATTCTGAAAGGCTTAAAAAGGAGGAGCTTGGAATCTGGCCTTGTTGAAAAAAACTGTAAGAAATGGATAAATATTCAGAGTAGCTCTCAAAAACATTTGAAAATCCTCCCAGACAGTGTTTCAAACTAAGTAAGTAAGCAATCTTTATGTACCGTCTTTCACAGACCAGAGTCACAAAGCGGTTGTCAGACCTATTGCACATGTTTTTAGTGGTAGGGGAAACCGGAGCACCCGGGAGAAATCTACATAGACACGGGGAGAACATGCAAACTCCACTCAGAAAGGCCCTGTTCCGACCGTGATTCATCCCAGGACCTTCTTGCTGAGAAGCGAGAGTACTATCCTCTAGGGCTTGGCTATAAAACGATAACGATATATATTGCGATAGACGTATGTTCAATATCAATAGAAAACGGGGTCGATAGAATGTTCGATAGTTCAACTTCACTCTTTAAGAAAAAACAGGAAGAAAACACAGGAAGTAAAGCCGAGTCAGAAGCGCCGGCATTCTGGGGGATGTAGGCAGAGGCTTCTCAACCTATCACAGGCAAACATGAACCGCTAAACATTCTGGGAAATGCAAAAACAACAACTGCACATCGCGTAGCGTCCATGGATCTAAGATTGTTTTTCAATTCTGTGTCAATGGTTATGCACGTCCGTGCGAAGCATAGCATGTGCGGTGTGGCAGAGGCAGTGGACACAGAGACCTGGTGCATGCAGCGAAAGCAAGTGATGAACTTTTGACTGTCATGGGGACACATAACAGGAGATGAACTAGGGCTGGGCGATATGGCTGAAAACTATATCACGATACAAGTCATTCATATCGGTCGATAACAATATATATTGAGGTTTTTTTTTTTTTTTACCTAAAATAAATATATTTGTCGTGTGGGCTAACCAACCTTAGCAGCCTTGTTTACAGTCACGGGGCGTTGAGGCTGGAGGGATAAGTTCACACTGTGTCCCTCGTTGTTAGTCCTGGTTTAATCCTGGTTTTTTTATTCCTGGTTTAGCTGTTTGAGGGTCTTTTGTCCCCGTGACCGCTCCGTGCGGCTCTCTGTGCCGCACATGCTTCCCGAGGAAAAAGTTAATCTATTGCTTTCGCCTAATACATCGGGTCTGTCCACTGCCTCTGCCGCCGCACATGTTATTCCGCGTACGTACGTGCATAACCATTGACACGGCATTGAAACACGAGCTATAGATCCATGGACGCTACGCATGCTGCGGTTGTTGTTGTTTTTGCATTTCCCAGAAAGTTTTGCGGTTCCTGCTCGGCTGTTATTGGTCGAGAAGCCTCTGCCTACATCTCCCACAATGCCATGCGCTTATGAGTCGGCTTTACTTCCGGTGTTTTCTTCCTGTTTTTCCTGACGGAGTTAAGTTAAACTATCGAACATTCTATCGACCCCATTCTCTATTGATATCGAACAAATGTCTATCGCGATATATATCGTTATCATTTTATCGCCCAGCCCTAAGATGAACCAGGACTAAACCAGGATTACACCAGGACTAACTATGGGGGAGACTGCTTGTGAACATATTCCTCAAGCCTCATTCCCCCGTGACTGTAAACTAGGCTGCTAACGTGTGTTAGCAGACACGACAAACGTATTGTACTTTGGTTTTTTTAGATCAATATATATCGTTATCGACCGATATGAATTACTTATATTGTGATATCGTTTTCAGCCATATCGCCCAGCCCTACTATCCACTCAGCCGCTGTGCCGCCAAAACTCAGAATTGGGGGCACCCTATGCGACTTTTGAGTTCTACACTCAATTTGCGCAGAATGTATTCACAATACATTTATATTTACATTGACGTAATATTTTTGTACTATTGCAAACATATTTGCACAATATTATGTACAATATTTGCATAATATTGTGTCACATAAAATTCACAATTGTTGATTTGTAACTTCATGTGAACAGGAGTTGCTCTGACCGCTGAGACCAAACTGCACAGAAACCCCAGTGAAGCAGGAGTTCAGACTGTGGCTCTGGCTCTGCCCCCTTCACAAGCCAGGTACATGTTTTATTAGCAATGCAAGACTCAGTGGAAACGCTGTGGTGAAAAGAGGTCGCTGTCTTACTCACTTTAGTTCATTTGGTTCTGAGCAGCTAAATAATCAGAATATATAGCTACCACCACTATCAATAAACATATTTTTATTCATAGAATCCATAAATGTGTGTATTGTTCTGATATTCCGTTTATTTCCTGAGATATGAATTAATAAAGTTGACGAATATGAGGCAGAGTGGGCCACAGATAGTCTGGACTCTGAAAAAAAATGAGTCGGGATATCCTCGGCATTCCGCGCGGGTTAATGACGTCGCCGCAAGGTGATATTTACCGGGTAAACATATCACTTATTACAGTGCATTACGGTGAAAGCGGCATCTCTCCAGCTGTTGCGGTTACGGAGATATAATCCGACGAACTTAATAGCAAAATACACGGTAAGTAACCGGGATTTTGGAAAACCAACACCACACACATACATCTAAGATTATAAGCTTTAGAATGATGGTATATTTGAATCATGTCACGGTTGTTTTGACCCGCGGATCAATGAATAAAGTTGAAAAACCGCCGCGCTCATCACACACTCTGCTCTGCTGCCGAAGCGGCAGGCAAGTCCGGGCGAGCCCACTTTTCCGGGGGGTAGAAACGCGAGTCACGTGGCCCAAACGGACCAATGCCATTGGTTGGACTAATCCATTTTACATGTTAACAAGGGTGTTTGGGTTGTTAACATGTTTAAAGCTCGGGTCTAACTTTAGTCTCATAAATAACATGCTTAAAGCTGAGGTCTGTAACTTTAGTCTCATAAATAACACATGTTTAAAGCTGAGGTCTGTAACTTTAGTCTCATTAATAACGTTTACAGGTGAGGTCTGTAACTTTAATAACATGTTTAAAGCTGGGGTCTGTAACTTTAGTCTCATAAATAACACATGTTTAAAGCTGGGGTCTGTAACTTTAGTCTCATTAATAACGTTTACAGGTGAGGTCTGTAACTTTAATAACATGTTTAAAGCTCGGGTCTGTAACTTTAGTCTCATAAATAACACGTGTGTGTGTGTGTGCATATGCCAAACACATTTCTAAGCATCATATTTAGATTGCTCCATCAATTACCTTTATTTTGATATATTACATAGTAGTTTGAAAAAAATGTTTTCCGGATTTCCTGTTGGCAGCCATCTTGGATAAGCTGGCGGCCATATTGGAATCGGGGTCGGCCAAATTGTAAAATGAATATCGAATTCAACATCCCTGAATTGTTTCCTTCTTTACTGTGAATTTTAATGTTTATAGTTAGTAAAATAGGGAAGTTACAGCACTTAGAAGATGAATAAAGGCTTGAACTGGCTGAATAGAAGGTTCCACAGTATCCCTTTGTTTTAAACCAAATTACTTTCACTATAAGCGCATAAAAGCACTTATCAATATGGTAATAAAATCATAACCACTTATCCGATTTTCATAATTCAAAAACTGTTTTATTCCTCTTACTGAGCTGGAAAGTACTGTGCTGAATTAAATCTGATTTGGTAATTTAAAAAATGTAATCTTGCATTGCTAGTTTTATTATTATTTTCTATACACAATGGAAGTTGGTTACCTCAGTCAATTGCATATCTGAAGGTTGATTAACTGTTGGTGTGATTTTATAGAGGTTGTATTGTACCTGTGCCTCTTTTTGAAAGAAAATTGGCTTGAAAAACTCTAATGGAAAGTGTTTGATTTGAAAATTTGTTTCCTCTTTTTCAAAGACAAGAAGCGAGTCGCACAGCAGCCAGTGTGGCAGAGATCCATCGGCACTATGGAGGGGAGAGGTCTCACGCTGGCACTGTGGTATGCCCTCATTTATTTACATATTAGAAAGGATTTTCCCGCACAATGGGTAATGTTTTTCTTTTGCTCTTTTCTAGGCTCTGCTGGAGGGAGGTGGAACAAGAAATGCACTCACAAGGAGAGGTCCAACACTGCCCAAACCACAGTGGCATCCACCATGGAAACTGTTCAGGGTCTGTCTAGTATTTTTCATTTGCTTCACTTTGTAATGTTTTTGCCCAAAAAGTACAAGAAAAATATACCATGTTTTATTTATTTATTGTTTGTGTTTATTGTATGTCCTCAATCGACCCAGTGACTGTTCCCTTACCAACCAATTTGTAGATTGGAAATGATGAATTATGGGTAACTGAACAGGGACTGGTTCTTTTAGTCAAGGTCTGAATTAGGTCTTCAGCCTTCTGGTAGTGAGCAACGTATGTTACAATTATATATCCCCATTATTATTATGTTTATATAATATCATGCCTTGCTCATAAGTGGGACAGAAGTTGAGGACCACCACTAAAAGCATGTCATGTGTGTGACAGGTGATCAGTGGACATCTGGGTTGGGTCCGGAGTCTGGCAGTGGAGCCTGGGAATCAGTGGTTTGTCACTGGCTCCGCAGATCGAACAATAAAGATTTGGGACCTGGCCAGCGGGAAACTAAAGCTGTCTCTCACCGGCCACATCAGCACTGTGAGGGGTGTGGCCGTCAGCACCCGCAGCCCCTACCTGTTCTCTTGTGGAGAAGACAAGCAGGTCAAGTGTTGGGATCTGGAGTACAACAAGGTACTTCAACACGCAATGCAGTAATATTGCATTCCATCAGGGTTCTTTCTGTGATGTTTTTACCCCTACAATGAGTTAACAGTCTATTTGTATATCGTAGGTGATCCGACATTACCACGGGCATCTGAGTGCAGTGTACGACATAGATCTGCACCCGACCATCGATGTGCTGGTGACCTGCAGCAGAGACGCCTCGGCCCGAGTGAGTGCATGGGTCTGCTCTGATCACCTAGTGCTCTGGACTTTATGGTCCAGACTGGACTTTGGCTCCATCCAACCAACTTTATTTTAGTAGATTGGAACAATACATTTTTCCACTTTGTCTTATATTATTTACTTTATTTCAATAAAACTGTAATAAAGCGACAAAAACATAAAACAAATACAAAATTCTTGCAACGAGTAAGGATTTGTAATAATCATGTTTGGTTTTGATGACTGTTGCAGGTGTGGGACATCCGGAGCAAGGCCAACGTGCACACACTGACCGGACACACCAACACGGTGGCTACTGTCCGCTGTCAGGCTGCGGAGCCACAAGTCATCACAGGTCAGGCTCTACACATTTACTCACACACACACACGTGCCTCGTTACAGCTTTAATTCAATGCTTTGGTTTCATTGTGCATCACATATCTATTATGAGTAAACCGGTTTAATTTTATTATTTCAATATTAATGCTAATATGTGATATTTAAAATACACATCTTGATGGTAAAATACATTTGCAACCTAAAGAACTGACTCGTATTAAGCTAAAACAAAGAATTGCCAGAATAATACATTATATATAATATATACAGTGCCTTGCGAAAGTATTCGGCCCCCTTGAACCTTTCAACATTTCGCCACATTTCAGGCTTCAAACATAAAGATATAAAATTTTAATTTTTTTGTCATGAATTGACAACAAGTGGGACACAATCGTGAAGTGGAACAAAATTTATTGGATAATTTAAACTTTTTTAACAAATAAAAAACTGAAAAGTGGGGCGTGCAATATTATTCGGCCCCTTTACTTTCAGTGCAGCAAACTCACTCCAGAAGTTCAGTGAGGATCTTTGAATGATCCAATGTTGTCTTAAATGACTGATGATGATAAATAGAATGCACCTGTGTGTAATCAAGTCTCCGTATAAATGCACCTGCTCTTTGATAGTCTCAGGGTTCTGTTTAAAGCGCAGAGAGAACCATGAAGACAAAGGAACACACCAGGCAGGTCCGAGATACTGTTGTGGAGAAGTTTAAAGCCGGATTTGGATACAAAAAGATTTCCCAAGCTTTAAACATCTCAAGGAGCACTGTGCAAACAATTATATTGAAATGGAAGGAGTATCAGACCACTGCAAATCTACAAAGACCCGGCCGTCCCTCCAAACTTTCATCTCAAACAAGGAGAAGTCTGATCAGCGATTCAGCCAAGAGGCCCATGATCACTCTGGATGAACTGCAGATAACTACAGCTGAGGTGGGAGAGTCTGTCCATAGGACAACAATCAGTCATGCACTGCACAAATCTGGCCTTTATTGAAGAGTGGCAAGAAGAAAGCCATTTTTCAAAGATATCCATAAAAAGTCTTGTTTAAAGTTTGCCACAAGCCACCTGGGAGACACACAAAACATGTGAAAGAAGGTGCTCTGGTCAGATGAAACCAAAATCGAACTTTTTGGCCACAATGCAAAACGATATGTTTGGCATAAAAGCAACACAGCTCATCACCCTGAACACACCATCCCCACTGTCAAACATGGTGATGGCAGCATCATGGTTTGGGTCTGCTTTTCTTCAGCAGGGACAGGGAAGATGGCTAGAATTGATGGGAAGATGGATGGAGCCAAATACAGGACCATTCTGGAAGAAAACCTGTTGGAGTCTGCAAAAGACCTGAGACTGGGACGGAGATTTATCTTCCAACAGGACAATGATCCAAAACATAAAGCCAAATCTACAATGGAATGGTTCACAAATAGACGTATCCAGGTGTTAGAATGGCCAAGTCAAAGTCCAGACCTGAATCCAATTGAGAATCTGTGGAAAGAGCTGAAGACTGCTGTTCACAAACGCTCTCCATCCAACCTCACTGAGCTCGAGCTGTTTTGCAAGGAAGAATGGGCAAGAATTCCAGTCTTTCGATGTGCAAAACTGAGAGACATACCCCAAGCGACTTGCAGCTGTAATTGCAGCAAAAGGTGGCGCTACAAAGTATTAGCGCAAGGGGGCCGAATAATATTGCACGCCCCACTTTTCAGTTTTTTATTTGTTAAAGTTTAAATTATCCAATAAATTTTGTTCCACTTCACAATTGTGTCCCTCTTGTTGTTGATTCTTGACAAAAAATATATTTTTTATATCTTTATGTTTGAAGCCTGAAATGTGGCAAAATGTTGAAAGGTTCAAGGGGGCCGAATACTTTCGCAAGGCACTGTGTATATATATATATATATATATATATATATAAAAATAAATATTTTTATTTTGTTTTTTCTTAGCACAGTAGCTTCATTTTCAGTGAGAAAATATTTTTTTCTTTTTCTTTTTTATTAAAGAAAATGTCTGTTTCTCGCCTCACAGGGAGCCACGACTCCACCATCAGACTGTGGGACCTGATCGCTGGGAAAACACGAGCCACTCTCACCAACCACAAAAAGTCTGTCCGGACCCTAGTCATGCACCCAAGACAGTAAGTCGTCTTTAACACTAGGAGCGCCCCTAGCGGTCAACTGACCGTCACTCACTTTATTATGCTAATTAGTGTATTCAAAACAAAACGCCAGAAGTTGAAATTTTATGACTTTTACTAGGTACTTGTTGTTTATATTTTGGTGTGTTTTGGTTTTGGAAAAAGTAAAGAAAACAAGATTTACACGCATTTTTAACTTTTCTAAACCACAGCCCTTTCTGCTGCCCCATGGAGATACATGGCGCAGGGGCGACTGTTGTCATAGTAACCTTTCCCGGGGGTTTTTCGCGCCTTATAAAAATGTATCAATATGTTGTCATTAGACTCTAAAGGGACTTTTTCATTATTATTTGGGAGAGAGAGAGGAGTACAAAATGAATAGAGCTGCAAGTACACGGTATGAAGCCCTGACAGTGCTTCAAGACATTGAATGAGAACAGTCTGACGGAGGTGAGAGATGTCACATTTTGAGGTAGAAAGTGACAGCGGGGAGAACACCTATAATATTCTAAATCTGAACGTAAACCCGTAGTGCATTCACGGCACGGGCAGCAGTGTTGTAACAAGTCCAGAAGCAATAACGCACATGACCCGCGTAATGCCAGCCATACGCAAGTGTCTGTGTACGCGCTGTCGCTCCATTCTGCCTTTTCATTCATCATCAATTACATTATTATATTTATACATACAAGAAGGCAATAAAGCAGAATACAATATCGCAATAAAATAGAACAATTAGATGAACTATCAAGGCAGAGTGCAGATCAGAGTGCTCGTCACCCGCGGACACTGCAGGAGGAGAGGGACTGTGGGGCAGAGGCGGCCCTCATATATCAATAAGGATATAATTCTTATTTCATCCAGATAACACTGTGTGTTATTCTGCACAGCGCGCACTGCAAGGCAATGATTATAATTTTGTTCTGAGCATGAAGAGCACTGCTTGTCTCAAATAAATACAAATATACATATACATATATTTGTCTTTCTAACGTGTCCCGTGTAAAATTGAAGATTTTACATTGACGATGGTAGCCTAGCTGATGATCTTGTGTCAATACGAATACTATTATTATTATCTAGATAATATTTCCCACGGTGATTTCGGCTGGAAAGAGCAAACAGTCTGGAGATGACGTAAGAAGTAGACGCATATAACAGCGCGAAGACGTTATGGTCCCGTGCTTTTCTAAACTATAATTTATATTGTTTGAATTTACATATTGTTACTGAGTCAAATATAACATATAGTGACCGACCTTTTAGGTGTTTGCAAAGTTACAAAATAAATCTAGCCTGAAAAGTCATCGTAATTTTGATGGATCAGTACACGCACAATGTGTCGTCTTAGTCTTTTATTTCGGCTAGAATTACAATTACTTAGCATATTTAGACAAATAATTTACACAGTTTCATTATGATCACGATTCCTTTGCAACATCAAGTTCTGGTTTAGTGAACAATCAATTTGGCAAAAGGCTGTATCAGCGCAAAATACATAGCGGTCAACTGACCGCAGGGGGCGGTGCAAGGTATGTTTAGAGCGCGGCGGTCCTAGTGTTAACTATCCTCCGGTCAAAATTATAGATGATTGAGCGTAGAAGGAAAAATACCTTAAATTAGGTTCTAAAAGACTCTAAATGACCCGGGGCATGTCAAGAAAAGTCATCAACATTCTGCTAGATATTTGTTTTCATTTTCAGAGATCCGCTGTCACATTGATGCTTGAAGTAAGACACATTCTTGTGAATAATAGATAAAGTATGTTCATATTTTGAATGGAATGGAGTATTTTGGGGGTTGAGGGGTGTGTCATATTGCCCAGTCCTTTAACCACTGACTACAAGACCCTTTTTGATAATGAAACCAGAAAAAGCACTTTTGGAACGTATATATTTTTATCTAATAATGTCTGTCTGTCTTTTCCTCCAGATACACATTTGCCTCCGGCTCTGCTGACAACATCAAACAGTGGATGTTTCCAGATGGGAACTTCATCCAGAACCTCTCTGGCCACAACGCCATCATCAACACTCTGGCGGTCAACTCTGACGGGGTTCTTGTGTCTGGAGGTACATCACTGTATAAACCTTACTGAGAACCAATGTGTTTTTCCAATATTACTAACTTGTAGACATTGATGGCAAGATAAATAAATAAATAAAAACAACCACATTCCTTCTAAACCTAGAACACAATTGTTATAACCAGGTAGGTTAATTTGAAAAAGTAGGTATGCTATGTTTTTGCCTAAATGAAAACTTTATTTGAATGGGACAATGTGTAACTGATTTTCAAGTGCAGTACTGTACATGTTTCTGTGTAAAAGTGTATCTATATGAAAACTCTTTGTGCAGCTGACAATGGCACCATCCACATGTGGGACTGGAGGACGGGTTATAACTTCCAGAGGATCCACGCGGCGGTCCAGCCCGGCTCCCTGGACAGCGAGTCTGGGATCTTCGCCTGCGTGTTCGACCATTCGGAGAGCCGCCTGATCACAGCCGAGGCCGACAAGACCATCAAAGTGTACAAGGAGGACGACACAGCTGTGAGTTTTAGCAGAACTAGCACATTGTGCAAACAAATGGGTTGTATCTTGGCCAGAGGTGTCACGATTCTCCAAATCCTCAATTTGATTTAGTTTTTGATTTTATAGTCACAATAAAATTCTGGATTTATTTCATTTTTCTCACAGCACACTGTAGCTTTTAAAATTAAATTTTTAAACCCAGCATTTTCCACCACCGAATAAGGCCGAATATCTGCTGCTACAAATAACTTTATGGCATTAATTTGTGGTGGGTAAGGAGCGGAGTCAGAGGCCTGAGTGTCAAAGAGCGGTGACAATTGTAGTCGTTTTAAAGCCATTTAAGATCAGTATAAAACATACAACGGAACCAGTGTGTGACTCAATGCTTTCATCACACAACTCAAAACAGGAAATTCCCCCCTGGATAAATACTGTCTCCCCGGAACACTATGCGGTAACTTACATTCCATGGGTGAATTATATAAGGCAAGGCAAGGCATGTTTATTTGTATAGCACAATTCATACACAAGGCAACTCAAAGTGCTGAACAAGATAGCATTAAAATCATAAATAATCACAGAACATTAAAAAGAAAGATAAAAATATAAAATCCCTCAGTTGTATGCACAGCTAAACAGCACAGTTTTTAACTTGGTTTTAAACATAGTCAGAGAGGAGGCCTGTCTCACATCTTCAGGAAGAATGTTCCAGATTTTAGCAGCATGAATCTGAAAAGCAGCCTCCCCATGTTTAGTTCTGACTCTGGGCACTAACAGGAGTCCAGTCCCTGTGCTCCTCAGAGTCCTGGCTGGTTCATATGGGACTAACATGTCACTAATATATTTTGGTGCGAGGCCATGGAGAGACTTGTACACAAGCAAAGCTGTTTTAAAGTCTATTCTCTGAGCCACAGGAAGCCAGTGCAGAGACCTGAGGACCGGACTAATATGGTCGTACTTCCTGGTTCTAGTCAGGACTCGAGCTGCTGCATTTTGAATGTACTGCAGCTGTTTTACAGCCTGTTTGGACAGACCTGTGAGCAGGCCATTGCAGTAGTCTAACCTACTGGAGACAAATGCATGGATAAGAATCTCCAAGTCTGCTTTAGACACTATGTTTTTGATCCTGGAAATGTTTTTTAGATGGTAAAAAGCTGCTGATGTTACTGATTTGATGTGGCTATTAAAATTTAAGTCTGAGTCCAGTATTACCCCTAGATTTCTGACCTTGTTTGAAGGTTTTAGGGAGAGAGACTGTAGATGACAGATGCCGCTCTCTCTTTGTTTCTGGGGACCAAAGACAATCATTTCAGTTTTGTCTGCGTTTAGCTGAAGGAAGTTGTTTTGCATCCACTCACTGATCTGTTGGATACAGTGAAGGAGTGAGTCCACTGGTCCATGTTCTCCTGCAGTCAGTGAGACATAGATCTGAGTGTCGTCTGCATAGTTATGATAGGAAACTTCGTTTCTGCGTATTAACAGACCTAACGGCAGCATGTAGAGATTGAAAAGAAGAGGTCCCAGGATCGACCCCTGTGGTACTCCACAGGTCAGGGCCATATGATCAGTTTCCAATCTCCACAAAGTGGCTTGAGCGAGCTGAGGTCTGTGGAAGTTTAATTGCAAATGAGGATGGTATAGAGATGGCGTTTTCCCAGTTGTCAAATCTGCATTTCTGTGACGCAGACAAATGTGTCCTGTCATGTTCATAGTATTTCCCGTGGCCGGGTATGTTACACAGCGCATCTTAGCATGTCATATCTTACACACGTCATATCTTACACACGGTGGTCTGCGTTGTAGGTGCAACTTGACTCACCAGGAATGCAAAACATTTCCACACCGGTGATTTAAGAGAAGCAGGAGCGATTTCAAGCTCAAGTCTCCTTTATCTGCATTTGCCTTAGTGTCATAAACAATAAAAACTGTTTCATAAGCAATAAAAGCGATTTTGATAAAAAATAATCTAAATTGTGATGTCGGGAAACAAATGTAATTGGATTCCTACCTCTCTCATGCCAATATGTAGTAGTGTCATCAATTTCTTGAACAAATGAAAGGTGCTGTAGTTCAATCTCTAATGCAGTAAGTAATTGTAGCAGTTAATTACATTTAGATGCAGTGGGTTTATTTACTCACTTTGAGAATGAAGAATGTCACGGGGACACAAGACACTCGAAAAAAGCCAAACTGGGAGCTAAACCAGGACTAAACCAGGATTAAACCAGGACTAACTATGGGGGAGACTGCTTATGAACATTTTTCTGCAGCCTCATTCCCCGTGACTGTAAACAAGGCTGCTAACATGTGTTTGCCGACACGACAAATTTATTTATTTAGGTTTTTGAAAATAAATAAAAAACAATCAATATATATCGTTATCGACCGATATGAATTACTTATATTGTGATATAGTTTTCAGCCATATCGCCCAGCCCTAGTGATTTATAAGAAATCCAATAAATTGTCTTGAAGTTAGTCTTGTTTTTCCTAAATCGATAAAGTGGATTGGACTGAAACTTAAAGCCGTACTTTCATGCGAAAGCCAGATCCAGTTAGACCTCTGAAGCTGTGCAGGACAGGGCCTGGTTTGTACTGTGATGGGAGACCTCTGGGAACACCAATTGCCACAGTGGGGTGGCTGTAAAATGCCAAACTGCCGTTGTGTCCCTAGACAAGATACTTCACCCACAATGCCTAGAATGAACATGGTGTGTGTGTGTAAACCCTTGGTGGTGGTGGTCTGAATGACCAATGGCACATACTGGTTGCCTCGCTTCTGCCAATGTGCCCCAGGGCGGAAGTGGCTAGTATCTAAAAAACGCTATATAAAACTGATTTATTATTAAAGTAAAAATGTTGGGTGTAAAACTAATTTCAAATATTTTGATGTGTACATTTTTTACATATTTTGTTCTTTATTTGCAGACTGAAGACAGCCATCCAGTTAACTGGAAACCAGAAATTCTCAAGAGAAAACGATTCTGATTTTGTATTTGTTTTTTACATTTTCCTGTTCATTCTTTTTGTACTTTTGCCATGCCAATACACTTCTGCTTCAATCTCAACTCAGTCAAGAAACCATTTGCATTCGTCTGTGTAAGACTCCAGTCCCACAAGGCCGCGACCCTTGACTGCGAGGAATCTCCCTGAGTTTTTGTTCTTGATGATGACTGCTCTGCGTGGGCTCTGGTCCGACTGGTCCACCAGAAGCAGCCATTCATCCTCCTCAGACTGACCACACACAGAGAGGACCTGCTCTGCGATGGGGTCAAAACCTGAGAAAACACACGGAGCACACACCGTTTGAAAATGATCATGTGTACAGAAAAATAGACTGTTTAAATTCGTTCTTATAATTAAATACATTTTTCATAATCGTTAGTGCTCTCTTGTGCTTACTAATGTATCTCTTGGTGTGGACGTTGCGGTAGAATTTGCAGCCCAGTCCTTTGAGCTCCTCCCAGTGACAGTGAGAAGCAGTGAGGTCCGAGAGTTCCATGGTAGTTCTCTCCAAGTTGGATTCAGGAAGAGGATCAGCTGGGGAAAACAGTTTAATTCTACTTGTCACCAAGCAGTTTTCCTGGATCAAAAACGTTTGTCTCAAATGAAAGAGCGAATGTTAAAAGGGCAGCAATAGTTAAAATAAACGTTTTTTCCAGATTATTCTTGCATAATTCCAAATTGTTGAACCTTTATAGGGACGTCATGTAATAATTGTATTTAAAGTTGCAACTGCATCTTTTATATGTCCCAAGATAATGTTTACCATAACATTTATGGTTTTCCAGCACATCATACAATCCAATGGCAGAGTGATTCTCATTTGGGTTTCCAGTTTGTCAAGTGAAATTAAGCTTGTTTTTGCTATATATATATTTCTATTTTTTACTTTACGTGTATTGCTAAACATCAGAAGGTGGATTATATAAGTGATCAAGTGACAAAGGCACAAAAATTCGATTCTATTGACATTAGACCAGAGTATATGTATGCAGTCCCTCTAAGAAAATTAATAATGCTATGAATCACAACAAAAAAAGGACAAGATGTGAACGTTTGTGTTTCTGGCACAGCTTTTGAGAATGTGTTGTGTGTTTTATGGTTAATCTGGAAATGGATGTTATAATTTAATCTTGTGTCCTTCCAATTGCCAATTCTAACCCTTTTAAAAATGTGATGAAAAACTCTCCAACCTGACTCTACAAATATTGCATTGAAAAAATAGGCTGCATTAGTATCAGTCAGGATATAGTCTTATATGGCAGGCCTAAATATTTATATCCAGAGATGCAACTATGAACATGTAACATTCATATGGCTTACTTTTTCTCAAATTATGACTATGCTTTATAATGTCATCCTTTAATATTGATGATTACCAGTGGTATGTCAGGCGTCTCATGTGGCATACATCTACAGCATGCGTGTTGTGGGAAATCAACAGATATGTCCTTATTTTATTAATTTATAATCGCTCAGTGCCCTCAGGATAATCACAGTGAGGAGCATATGAAGAGGTCTCTTTGCACGTGGAGCTAATGGCGATGCTAAAGGCCTAACAGGCTGCTTCTAATTAAATACGCCACTGGATAATTTTGTGGTTATGAGCCTTTGCTGCAGCTGCCCCCACTCACTCCCACAACCAAACTCACTTTCAAAATTTCAAAACACTTCTCAAACCCCTTATTTAATCCATTGTAACAAAAATACAACTCTATTGACACATTTATCTTTTATCTATTGAAGATTAACTGTTGTTTAAGTCAAAAGATGTTTACTTTTTTAAATATATGAGTGTAAAAAAAAATTTTACCTCTGGAATAAAGAATAAAAATCTATATTGTATCAAATTTGACACATATTTCATTACACCCCTAATCACAATGACCACATGTAAAGAACGTTCAATTCTCAGTTTTGGCACCTGGAAAATCTGTCAACTTTAGTTACAGAAGAATTGTAGTTATTGACTTACAGTGGGGCAAAAAAGTATTTAGTCAGCCACTGATTGTGCAAGTTCTCCCACTTAAAATAATGACAGAGGTCTGTAATTTTCATCATAGGTACACTTCAACTGTGAGAGACAGAATGTGAAAAAAAAATCCAGGAATTCACATTGTAGGATTTTTAAAGAATTTCTTTGTAAATGAACAAAAATTCAACTCAATATGTTGTAATATAACCTTTGTTGGCAATAACAGAGGTCAAACAATTACTATAGGTCTTAACCAGGTTTGCACACACAGTAGCTGGTATTTTGGCCCATTCCTCCATGCAGATCTTCTCGAGAGCAGTGAACACGGACTTTCAACTCCCGCCACAGATTTTCAATGGGGTTGAGGTCTGGAGACTGACTAGGCCACTCCAGGACTTTCAAATGCTTCTTACGAAGCCACTCCTTCGTTGCCCGGGCGGTGTGTTTGGGATCATTGTCATGCTGGAAGACCCAGCCACGATTCATCTTCAAAGCTCTCACTGATGGAAGGAGGTTTTGGCTCAAAATCTCACGAGACATGGCCCCATTTATTGTTTCCTTAACACGGATCAGTCATCCAGTCCCCTTAGCAGAAAAACAGCCCCAAAGCATGACGTTTCCACCCCCATGCTTCACAGTAGGTATGGTGTGCAACTCAGTATTCTTCTTCCAAACACGACGAGTTGAGTTTATACCAAACAGTTCTACTTTGGTTTCATCTGGCCACATGACATTCTCCCAATCCTCTGCTGTATCATGTGCTCTCTGGCAAACTTCAGACGGGCCTGGACATGCACTGGCTTCAGCAGGGGGACACGTCTGGCACTGCAGGATTTGATTCCCTGTCGTCGTAGTGTGTTACTGATGGTAACCTTTGTTACTTTGGTCCCAGCTCTCTGCAGGTCATTCTCCAGGTCCCCCCGTGTGGTTCTGGGATTTTTGATCACCGTTCTCATGATCATTTTGACCCCACGGGATGAGATCTTGCGATCGAGGGAGATTATCAGTGGTCTTATGTCTTCCATTTTATGATAATTGCTCCCACAGTTGATTTGCTCACACCAAGCTGCTTGCCTATTGTAGATTCACTCTTTCCAGTCTGGTGCAGGTCTACAATTATTTTCCTGGTGTCCTTCGACAGCTCTTTGGTCTTGGCCATAGTGGAGTTTGGAGTCTGACTGTTTGAGGCCGTAAACAGGTGTCTTTTATACAGATAACCAGTTCAAACGGGTGCCATTAATACAGGTAACGAGTGGAGGACAGAAGAACTTCTTAAAGAAGTTACAGATCTGTGAGAGCCAGAGATCTTCCCTGTTTGAAGTGACCAAATACTTATTTTCCACAATAATTTACAAATTCTTTAAAAATCCTATGTGAATTTTCACATTCTGTCTCTCACAGTTGAAGTGTACCTATGATGAAAATTACAGACCTCAGTCATTATTTTAAGTTGGAGAACTTGCACAATCGGTGGCTGACTAGCTACTTTTTTGCCCCACTGTAGCTCCTCCTCACCTGTGTCACAGATGTAGAGTGCAGTCAGAGCGTGGCAGAATGCTCGTGCTGGTTTCTTGTTCACTTCTCTGGCTCTCTCAGGAGCCTCCTCCTCAGGCTGCTCCGCTGTGATCAAGTCACCAACGGTAAACATGAGCTCAGACTGCAGAGCCTGAAGACACAGCTCAAGCCTCTCCTCGTCTGTGGCAGCGTTTCTAAACCACAAAGACACGCCATTAACGGTCTATCAAATATGATCCTAAATTGACACTTATTTTCTAATACTTCAAATTAAACCCAAAGATGCAACCTACTTGTGCCACCAGTGTGTACAATGAACACTGAAGAACTTAATAAAGGAGGTGCTTATTGACAGACTGGTTTCATAGCCCGAGACCATGATGATCCAGGGCATTTGGACACATTTGCAGGCATTGGTCATCCCACCATATGGACCCATGTCTTTTTTGTTATTGCATTTCTTGTGTTCTAAAGATTTGACCTGTACTTGGGACCAAGCCGAAGTGGCACAAGCACAGGGAATTTCAAATCATATTTATATTCTGAAAGTGCAGGAAAAATAACCAACCAAAAGAACACACTGTACGCCCAGAGGCACAGCATCAGAGTGGATCCTCAATCGACTGAAAGAACTTGAGAGGCAGTCAAGATAGGGATTGTTGAAGCAATGGCAATAGGTTGCTTAAAGCAATAGTTTACACACCTGAAAATCTCCTTCCACCCTTGTTTACACACAAAGATAATTGTAGATCTACAAACTTGAACCTAAGCCACAGAATTATCCCAGCAGTAATGGCAGTCAACTGAGGTAATTACATTTTAAACCACTAAATGTTGTGTGTGAGAGTTGAATGGGTTAATACCACTTGACAGACACACGTCACACATACTAACTGACGTCACACAGCACTCCAGAGCCAATGGAGAGGCCAGGCACCAAATTCAAAAGTAGTGCCACTGAAAATGTAGAGAGGGCGCCACACAGACGTTTTTAGGCTCAAGTGTGAGATTGTATCTAATTTGCACTAAAATGTCAAAAAATGACAAAGATATGTAGAGAGCACTATAAGAAACATATTTGGTTTCAGTTAAAAAGTTGATTTGGTGTTAAGATAAGATAAGATGAGATATGCTTTATTGATCTCACAAAGGAGAAATTTACATGTCACATTTGGCATGGATAGAAACACCCAAGATTGTGCAAACATGTTAAATGCAGGATATATTATGTGCAATAAAAAAGTGGCAATGAGAAATAGTGCAGGTTTTTTCAGTCTTATACAGTGACTTAAAGTGACTTGTTGTACAGTCTGACAGCGGTGGGGATAAAGGCCCTGCGGTAGCGCTCCTTCTTACACTGAGGGTGTCTCAGTCTTCCACTGAAGGAGCTCCTCAGCTCCTCTACAGTCCTGTGCAGTGGGTGGGAGGTATTGTTCATGATGGAGGTGACTTTGACTAGCACCCTCCTGTCCCTCACCACCTCCACAGAGTCCAGGGAGCAGCCCAGAGTGGAGCTGGAGCTGTGTTTAGTTGTCCTTTAATAAAAAATACTATGTTGGGTTTGCGACTGTAATCACTATCAAATAATGGTTTGGGAAAGTTCTGTATAAACATGATTTATTACTCTTAGTATTTATAATTACTATCTATAAATTGTAAATGGGAAGGAAAACCAAATTTAAAATACCTTGCAAATTTCCTAAAGGTTGATAATGCACAAAAGCATAGAATTATGAATTATATAAAAATTGTGCAATAGGCCTCAATGTATTTGAAAGCCTGTGTCTCTGCAGCCTGAAGTCCACCCACAGCAGACCTGCAGTGACGAGCCCCAGCCACTCACTGGGCTCCCAGTTGTGGGCGAGCATGACGGGGACGATGGCCACCTCCCGAGTGTCTGCGTAACTCAGCTCCTTTTTACAGCTGCGAGACGCTTGGTACGCCGGGGTCAGGAAGGGACACACCACCACAGCCTGCTCCACTCCAGCTGCCATGCTGACCAATGACCGAGAGAGAGGAGCGGCACATTTACTTTCTGTAGAGGTTTATCCCCAAACTAGAGGCAAGCCGATGTGCATTTAAATGTTGAGTATGACTTCAATTCAATTCAGTTTTTTTTTGTATAGCCCTAAATCACAACAGTCGTTATCCTGGAGGACTTCACAAAACCATTGAATTAACCAACACATATCAGAGATTCAAACACAAGAAATACAATGATTTAAAAAAACACATTGGTCGACGAGGGGCAGATGACCAATATCTATACATGTTGATTAATGTCCGTAAATGTTGAATGTCGAGTGTCCTGGATCATCACCACTGTCCTTTGACCCTCCTGCATCGGCAAGGAAAAACCCCACACATAAAAAGTGAGAAACCTTGAGGAGGCCCACGTTGAGAGAAAGAGCATCTCCCACGGACGGACTAGCTATAGATCCAGGACTCAGGCTGTAGAACGAGGACCGAGGCCACGCGGTGCAGGAATGAAGCTGATTAATACAATAGCAGGGCCCTGGGTTTGTTGTATATATGAAATACAGCACGGGTCTCCAACCTTTTTTCAATTAGAGAGCTACTTTTATACAACATAAGAGGCAGAGAGCTACTCCTTTTTGCAGTTATAACAGAGAACCAGTGGGGTTGGGTCCAGGCTCAAAAAAGTCCATGAGCATGTGCGCTGAGATGCTTGCAATCTCACTCCGGGCCTGTGGGGGTGGACCATAGACTGTATATATTAACGGACGTAGTCACGCCTATCTCCGCCGTTCTAACTAATAGGCCAAAAATTGGGCTCTCATGGAGTGATTCAAAATGGCCGCGGGGGCTGAAAAAATGCATCTGCGCATGCGTCAGTCGGCACGAGCCCCATTCAAGTGACTTCAAAAATTCACAGCAAGTAAACTAGAGTGGTCCAAAAAAATTCACCCCCCTCAGCATTGACACACATGTGGAACGGAGCTTTGGGCCAAGAGCCAACTTTTGGACCATCCTGTAAAGGTGTTTTCAAGAGGTCAGAAGATGCTATATTGGCATTGGCTAATTGTTATTCCGTGTCCACCCCCATCGGCCCGGGGTGGTATTGCAGCATGTCAGCGCCATAGACTGTATATATGACAAAACGCACGTCATTTTGGCCACTTTTGAGCCGGGACCCGCCCCCTGCACTGGGGTGGACCCAGAATAAGACTTACCCAATTCTTATGGCTTTTGTACAGCATCTTGTTTCCTCTCAAAACCAACTTTACAGGATGGTCCAAAAGCCTGCTCTTGGCCCAACTTGGTTCCAGATGCTGACGGGAGTTTTTATTTTTTTATTTTCTGACCAGTATAGTTTAGTGCACTCTGTGGAATTCAGAGTGCACTTGTTAAATGAATGGGGCTCATGCTGGCTAACGCATGCGCAAATGCATTTTTTTACATTTTCATGCCCCAACGCCATTTTGAAAAAGCCCCATAGGGCAAAAGGGCTCATTAGTTTTATTAATATTTACATTCTATGCGGAGAACTAACATGATACTCTTTAATCCTACATTAATACCTGGAAGGAGCTGACAAGCTACAGGTTGGGGACCCCTGACTTACAGCGTTGGCGTTTGGGAAAACACCAACAAATCTAATAAAAAAATAAATATTATTTTTGCAAACGTAAACAAAAACCAAAAAAACAAAAAAAGATTACAACAACAAACAATAAAAATGTCATGATTTAGGAAAGATTTTTGTTCAAATAAAATATAAGAGATTTGACCAAGCTAAATATAGTCATAACATTTGAATACCTTTTCCCCACCTGTGCCCTGCCTCACTCATAGTTAATAATGTGTACTTTAGTTTACAGTCATCATCACTATCACCCTTCTCATTACGTCCCCTCCTTCCACCACATTACTTGGTAGTACTTGTTCAATTATTCTATTTATACTTACACCCCCCTTTTTACTAATCCAAATCCACTTTTTTACACAAAACATTGCAAAATGACTGAAAAAATAAATACATAAACAAAACATTTCATAAACCCTTTAAAAAAATGTTGGAAACTCAAAGTTGTCCAGAGTGTTGCACAGGAGAAGGCAGTCATTGAATGTAATGCAATGTGTTAGTATGGTCCTGTCTAACTTATGTACTGTAATACAAAGGTTAGTGGTTATTGAACAAAAAATTAATAATAGATAGAAATGATCGGGAAAGGCCAAGTCATCTTTGAATGAAACTTACGAGTCATTAATATTCCCTGTCACGCCTCCTTCTATGTCCATCCACACAGGCAGCCCATCTTCTTTGAGGCGGTCGAATATTTTCTTCACCACAGCCTGGTCATCCCACTGATACGAAAGCATTATGTGTGAGGGCATTTTTGAGTCTCCTGAAACTTTCACTGAGCGTCCTGGAGCTGTAACGCTGCCTGTTGTTCTGGCCCAGGGAGGCTCCGGTTACATGCGTTTCTATGGGGAGTGGGTCTGGTGCTTGGATGCAGCTTCAAATGTCTCATTAGAGCAGAGCTGCAGTTGTAGAACAATGCAAAGTGAACATGTTCATACATGTTTTCTGTAGTAATAACACAAAACGTGAACTAAATGTATATATGGGTTGCAAAAGTGACAATACTAACTTTTGCACATTTTGTCTTGTTTACGACCTTAAACATAATACAAGTAACAAACAACTGTCAAGTGAAAGTTAAATACTACACAATTTAAAACGCATTTAGATATTCCCTAATGACTGATGGTGAAATTGTCACATGTAGGTAAATAGTCATAAGTTTGCACCTGAGTGTAATCCATAGTCAGGAGGTATAAGGTCAGGGATAAAGTTAGAGAAGAGCAGAATTACTTCCGCGCTCCTTATGGGACACAAGACACAACAACAGACATCATTCTGAGTTGGTGGAGAGTGGTGGGCTTGAACCCACAACCTTCCAGCCCAAGAGCCAATGCTCTACTATATGAGCCACTGTCGGAAGATTCACGCAAAGTTAGGTTTTACAAAGATTTCTTAAGCTCTGAAAATCTCACATTGTTTAATCCATCATCTGGTACAGGAAAGAGTATGGCACCACTACAAAGCTACCAAGACACGGCTGTCTGCCAAAGCTAAACAAGGACAGCACTGTTCACGGATGCAAGTCATTTGTGGCAGAAATCTGGCCTTTATGAGCCGGTAGTGAATAGAAAGCAAGTGTTGAAGCAAAGCAGGGGCCACATTCACCATGTGAGAGTAGATACTGTGGTCAGATGGGAGAAAAATTGGTCTGGACGAAATGAAATACCTTATGATTGATGGAAAAAACTGCCCATTACTCTACTAACGCCATCCCCAGTGTCAAACCTGGTGGTGGCAGTATCATGCTGTGGGACTGCTTTTCTTTAACAGAAACAACAATAACAATAACAATAACAAGGAAGAGTAGAAAAGTTGATGGGAAGGTAAATACAAGAAAATCTAAGTAAAACAATATTTGCATACACTCTATTGTTCAGAATAATTATCTACTTCTGAATATCCAAACGCAATTTTCAAAGAAGGATGGAGAGTATAAATTGCAGTACAGTACATTTCTTCAAGTCATCTTGTAATTAAAGCTGGGGTACTTAACATTTGGAAACAACATAATCTTGTTCGTCTCAACAGAAGGACAATTTTGATAGTTACATTTTGTGAACAAATTAGCCGAAAACATTCTGTTCATATTATGAAACATGTTATCTTTTGCATACTTGTAAGAAAGACCCCCTTGGGTCACTATTTGACTCTTAGGGCTGAGAGCGGAAAGGAACTGCTGTTCTGACATTCCAGTCACATGCTACATTATCACATTATCACATTATTACATTATTACATTATTACACTATAACTACATTAATACATATCCCATTCTTCTGATAATTCTGTTCTGATTATTATCACACTTTACCTGCTGCCATTTTTACAATTGTTTATTCTGGTCATGTTCTCTGCTGCTACAGAGTACAATAGTAAAAATCTGTAAAAAGGGGAAAGGGTTTATGGAAAAAATAATAATAATTGTTTAGAAAACAAATATCCTTTAGAAAATAAATATTTTGTTAGGTCTTGTTATACTTTTCATCCGGAATGTGGTGTAATTTGGTCAGTAGATGGCGCTTGTACAAATAAAGTTGAAATATGCTCCCATGCTCCCCATCCCAGTTCATTCAGGGCAAATCATTCATGTATTAGATATAAACAAGGGGTAAAAAAGACACATTTGGATATTACCTCCAGTCCTCACATACAAAGCTGAGCGGTCGCCTCTTTTCTCCTTTGACACTTGCCAGCAGAGATGCCCGTGATCTCGGGGGTCACGTGGAGCTGAGCTGCTTCGGCCTAATTCAGGGAGGGGATCTGGGCCACATGGCGCGCGTGCGTCCTGTGCGCGCAGCGGGTGCCAGACCTGAGCGTGTGGATTTACGCACAGCTTTACGCACGAGGTTTACCAGTTACTGTCGTGTGTTGGACTTTACGGAACCAAACAAAAAGTCGTGCATAGATTGCAATTACACCATACACACCTCCCCTGTTCTTCACCATGCCTGCTGATCTCTTCCGGAGTGAACTCAACAGGTACGATACAACTTTCTTTTTTTTTTATTCTCCAATTCCTTCAGAAGAGAATAGCTCTATGGTTGCACGACTTTTGGCAGAGTACATTCTGTAATTGATTTTTTTTTCTTCCTGAGACTATATTTGCAATGAGTGATTCAAAAATAGGAATATTGTTCAGAATGCACTCGAAAAATACAATAATCCGGCACATGTTAAATAATTGGTGTTCTATAAGATATGAATGATAAGCATATGTAGATGTTTATTAAGAACTTAAATAATGTATCAGTATGTTGTAATAGCAGATTGACTCAAGTAATATTGTTTAAAGACTGGCTTGGTAATATGTCAACACCTTTTTATAAATACACACAATGTAAAAAAAGCCCTATTTATTTCAGTATGCCTTGTTACTGTGGTAAATATGTGATCAAAGTATAGTGTATCCGTATTTTAAATATACATTTCTGTAAGTGACATTGCTGCTTCTTCCCCTTTGCTCACAGTTTTACCATTATGTGAGTCAAAAATGGCTTGGATATCATTCCTCCTCCTGTCCGCTATTTGCCTCATGCCCGCTCTGACTCAGGGGCAGGTCTTCAACTTGACTCTGACCGCCAAAGAGGGCCTCCCCGCTGGTACCATTGTGGGAGACCTGGGTGCCGTCCTGCGCCGACCCAGCACGGGCTTCTTCATCTCCGAAAGCCGAGATTCTGATGTTTTCCGTGACTTAGAAATTGATGCGGACACCGGCATCATTTCCACAGCCATCGTTTTGGATCGCGAAACCAGGGATGGGTATGAGTTTGTGGCGGCTACGTTGACCGGCGAGATGATACGGGTGAAAATTGAAGTCAAAGATGTAAATGATAACTTTCCAAAATTCCCATCAGACAAGTATGACTTAGTAGTTTCTGAATTAAGCCCACTTGGAAGTCGCTTTAAACTTGACAGCGCCAGAGATCAGGACGTTGACGAATTCGGGATTCAAGGCTATCGTATTACACAGCGAGACATGGCCGACCTTTTTGAATTGGACTACCGTTCCAACTTGGACACGGCTCATAGCCTGTACCTTGTCCTGAGAACTAAACTAGACAGAGAATTATGTGACTTGTACACACTCACAGTGGAAGCGTTCGATGGCGGAGTTCCTTTCAAAAGCGGTGCGATGCAGGTGAAGATTCATATCCAGGACGAAAATGATAACCCGCCTGTGTTCAACCAGACCGAATACCAGGCTGTAGTTGCAGAAGACGCTGCTCTTAGGGTTGCAGTGTGCCAGGTCCAAGCCACTGATCTGGATTTAGGAGAGAATGGAAGGGTGACATATGAGTTGAAGAGTAACCCTGGGGAGGTCTTTTACATCAACGAGAGCTCCGGAGTCATCCGTCTGAACAGCCCGCTGGACTACGAGCACCAGGCCTACTACGAGCTGGTGGTCATCGCCAGGTGAGCTCCATAGTGAAAAGTCACAAGTACAAATCTGTATGGGTCATAGCACCGCATTATTCTTACCTAATTGTATGTACTATTCACGCACACTCTGACAATGTGGGCTAAGTGTCCACCCAAATGTGGGACCTGGAGTTCTCAAAGGTCTCCCATCACAGCCCTGCTTAGCTTGTGAGGTCTAACAGGATCAAGCTTTTATATGCAGGTGAAACAAATATAAATACTGGACAAATATTGAAATTGTACTTGTACTTGAACTATGTACTATGATGGCGTTATTATACCAATCATTGCAAATTAGCCACTTCTGGCCATTATATTGGTCAGTCTAATAGATTCAGATTCAGATTCATTTATTCGCCATTTGCAGTAACACTACATTGGAATACATTAGTAAAAGTTCCCAGTATGCACAGGACAAGTACAGACATAAAACAACATTAAAAGACAAAAATAAAACACATTTTAAAAACAGTAAACAAATGTCACTGTGAAGTTGACCAACTAAAACAGATCTGTACAAGTGCAAAAACATTAAAGTGCTCTTTTCAAACTGCTAACAGCTCGTGGAAAAAAACTATTAGCATAACGAGATGTCCTGCATCTCAGAGAACAATATCTTCTGCCAGAGGGAAGAAGCTGGAACAAGGCTTTTCCTGGGTGGCCAGAAGAGTCATTGATAATTCTCAGGGCACTGTCAAAAAGTCTGGATTGATAAAGAGCCTCCAGGACAGGAAGTTCACAGCCTACAGTCCTCTTAGCAGAGCGGAACACCTTGTTTAAAGCTCTCTTTTCTTTATCTGTGATGTTTCCAAACCACACAGACACAGAACCAACAAGTAAACTCTCAATGGTGCAGCGATAAAAGTTCAGCAGAATCTTAGAGTTAGTGGTAAATTCTCTAAGTTTCCGCAGGAAGTAGAGACGCTGGCGAGCTTTCTTTACGACCCGGTCAGTGTTTTTAACCCATTTCAGGTCATTAGACAGAGTTAGACCCAGAAACTTACACTCCTCTACAATCTGCACTTGGGAGTTATCGATTGCGACAGGCAAATGAGAACTATTGCGGCTAAAATCAAAGACCAGTTCACATGTTTTGGATGCGTTCAGCTGGAGGTTGTTAGCCTTACTCCACTGAACCACGTTTTGGATCTCGGCTCTATAAGACGATTCATCGTTATTGCTGATGAGACCGATGATGGTGGTGTCATCAGCATATTTAAGGATCAGGTTAGAGTCTGAGGAAGACACACAATCATGAGTGTACAGTGTAAAAAGTAAAGGACTCAAAATACATCCCTGAGGAGATCCAGTGCTCACAGAAACAACATCTGAAAAACAGTCATTGATTTTCACTCTCTGAGATCTGTCTGTTAAAAAGCTGTAGATCCATTTACACATGGCAACACTTAAGCCGAGAGACATGAGTTTTTCGATCAGTATACCTGGGACAAGACAATTAAAAGCAGAGCTATAATCAATGAACAGCATTCTTGCAACAGATTTCCTATTGTCCAAGTGACTGTAGACAGAGTTCAGAGCAAAGGAGATGGCATCCTCCACACTCCTGTTCTGTCTGTAAGCAAACTGGAGTGGGTCAACACTCACAGGAATCTGGCTCTTAATGAAGTCCAACACAAGCCGCTCAAAAGTCTTCATTAGGACAGAAGTGAGGGCCACAGGACGATAGTCATTAAGGCATGTCACAGGAGTTTTCTTAGGAACTGGGATAATGGTCGACTCTTTGAAGCAGTTCGGCACAGTACAGTTCCTTAGCGACAGGTTAAAAATGTCTGTTAAAACAGGGGCAAGTTGCTCGGAGCACAGTTTCAGGACACGGGGTGGGATGCCGTCCGGGCCAGGGGCTTTCCGGACAATGGTGCTGGACAAGACCCGCTGGACTGCCATCTGAGTCACGGTGAACGCACCTTGATTGAGACAATCAGGAAAGACAGTAGGACAGCCATCAGCAGATTCGAAGCGGCAGTAGAAGCGGCAATAGATTTGATCGGTTGCCCCACGACCAACAGATTGCTACATTTCGGACCAATATAATGGTTAAGCTAACCCAGTTTGCCTTGGCACGTTATTGTGCCTTGAGATGTTGTCTGATGTGCCTATGGAAATGGTCCAGTATCACCTAATTAGTCAAAATAATGTGACAAGAAATGAATGTGAGGAGATAAGACAAAGTAGTTTGATTTGATTTTCTATTGTATAACACTGCATTATTGATAAAGGCTGCAGAGTTTCATGTTTATATCAGTATTACAATCAGTGTGCCATGGGATTGTTTTCAATTAGAAAGGTGTTCCAACCAATCTTTAAATAATCAATCTTCAGGATGAGAAATAGCATAGCAAACAAAGATACCCTTTCTGTGGAAAAGTAAACACAGGGTAAAATCCAAGGCACTCTGACTAATAAAAAGTCCTTTAATGAGGGAAAGGGACCCAATCTTTAATTAAATTCGGCTTTTGTGCCCCGATAATGCAACTTTATTTCTAGGAATTTAATCATTCACACATTGACATGATGATTCATTTCTTGAGACACAATATAAGATAATATACTCCTTTATTGTTTCCCAACCTCCTTTTCCCGACACAGAGACAACGGAGCGCAGCCTGAGTTCAGCAGCGTCTTCGTTGGCATCAAGGTCCTGAACATCAACGACAACAGTCCCTCCATCCACGTACTGTTCCTGAGTGAAACCGGAGAGCCAGCCGTGTCCGAGGCCGCCGCTGTGGGGGACTACGTGGCTCGAATCTCTGTGTCCGACCCTGACTTAGCCCAGCAGCCCATCAGCGTGCAGATCCAGGGCGGAGATGGAAAGTTCGCCCTCAAACAGACCGACGACTTCCTCTTCGCGTTGTATGTGGAGGCAGAGTTGGATCGAGAGAAGAAGGATTTGTATGAGATCCAAATACTTGCATCAGATGGGGATTCGCTGAGCTCTGAAGAGGTTTTGTTGCTGAAAGTGTTGGATGTCAATGACTGTTATCCCCAATTTGATAGAAATATATACACGGTTGGTGTTCCGGAAGATATTCCGCCTGGGAGTTCACTTGTCCAGGTGCAAGCTAAGGATGAAGACGAACCTGGCCCCAATTCACGGATTAAATATTCAGTGTTAAGGTCCAACCAGCATGGATTGGTGAGTAAAAAGAATTATAATTATAATTTTTTTGTAACGCAGAGAGGAAATATATCCTTGTTTGTCTGTTGCTGAATCGCAGAATCATAGTCATTCAGTATATTAAAAACAATTCAGAATGCCTCTCAATTAGAGGAGAAAATTGAAAAAACACATTTAGGCGGAGTTTCTAAGCATGTTCTCTATGCGTTGGTTGAGGTTCACGATTAACCTCAAAATATGGAATATTGATTCATATATGTATATTAATATTTTTTGTAATAAACAAATATGGCTCATGAAATCCTCAGCTAGGAGCAAATATCAAGACTCTTATTGCGTATTTGGAAATAATGTAAAATTGTGTAGTTATGGCTGGTAAGACACAGGATGGGAAATACTGGTAAATGTAAAAGCTTTGCCATGACCCCTTTTCAGTAGTGGAGGATAGTTTACACACCCAAGCAACATTTTAATTTTCCTTATTTTTCCTTTAACATCCACTTCATACTCGCTCTGGTGATAAAGCCTCCTGAACTATAAGTTCGAGATCTCCTCAGAGTGGCTCAAATTTGAAATTTGTCTTATGAATTTGGAAATCGAAATCACTTTTATTGGAAAATAAATGGCTTCAAACAATCACTAACAGTGAGTGAAAAAAGTGTTTATGAGATCATTTATAATCACCAAAATGAGCTTAAAACTTTAAAGCACAACTACTCGACTACTGCCCTATTATAATGTTTTTGTTACAATTATGTCATTTGTAGTCATGGTCACTTCTCCTGTCTCTCCCAGGTGAGTGTGGATGCACACAGTGGCTTGGTGAGCACCGCGGGACCCCTCGACAGGGAGAGCCAGGCCGAACTCTGGTTCCTGGTTGTGGCCTCAGACAGTGGAGATCCGCACCTGTCGTCCACGGCGACAGTGACCGTCTTACTGGAGGACGTCAACGACAACGAGCCGGTGTTCTCCCAGCCGCTGTACAACGTCACCCTGCCAGAGCACAGCCCACTGCAGAGCTGCTTCTTACAGGTAAACACACGCACCCATTCGTAGAACTACACTTTCATACGGTTTCAAAGGTAACTGAGAAATATCGATGAATAGTGGAGTTCAGTGCATTTGACATAGTTTGGTTTGCTCTATCCCAGTGGAAATATATTGTAAAAACAGCTCTTGAACTATTAACTTGTACATTTAATGCATCTAATTATTCCCCTGCTAGCTTTACTCTTATAAAACGCTGATTCCTTTGTGTTGAAAATACGCGTCTAAACCGTAGACTATATATAGATAAACAGTGCTAACATACAGTACTTGGCTTAAAAACACTCTGCAACCATTAATGTCACACTCTTTATGATCTGGTGTTTTTTATTTGTAAATCCAGATTATATTCCCTAACAACTGAGATATCAGGTGCCTTTGGTCCCCGAATTCGCCTTTAACAAGCACAGGCAGGGACTGACACCTAACTGGCTGTGAGGAAGAAAAACTTTTCCCGCTTCATGATTAATTAAAATCAATTGCCCGCCAACTTGGACTCATTTTCACATCTTTTGTCTGCTTCATCCAACTAATATTCCAGCAGATATAAATATTATTTATATTTTTGTATACATGTACATGAGCTTTCTGAACTCCATTTCTCTGTTTCGTTTTATAGCTAAGGTACAATGTTAAGATGTTTGACTTTTGACTTTAAATAAATGTTCAACACCACTTCTTCTCTGCACGGCTTGAAAATAGCTTTAGAATTGATGATTGAGTTATTTGCTGCAAAGTTAAGCCACCATACAAATCCAACCAAAATCCATACAAGAGCGTCGGCAGCAACCTCTACAACAAAGTGAAAAATATATCCAAGAATTTAGCAATTTTGCTCAATAAAAATCTAATATATTGTCACTTTGAATGCATACTTTATATGTCTAACATTCCGCAGTAAAAAATGGAAAGGGGTTTATAATAATCTGCTCCTGCAAGCAAAAGAACGCAAGCTGTATTTTAAGTAGATTGTGAATTCAGATAATGTTTTTTCCTTGACTCCTTTTTGGTCATGTGTACATAATAAGCCTTCTCTGGGCCTGCACTATTGTTGACAAATGTGGTCTCACACAAAGCTGTAGTGTTAGTGCCTACATGACAGACGCCTGGCACCACCCTGCAGCTGGCACAAGCCGAAACACGTCACTTTACAAGTCTATGACAAACAACGCTTTCATATTGTCCTTAATTGAAGCTTCACAATTATTACCAGTTTAATAAGCGCTAACGTATTTCCATATAGTGATGTGTAGTTGCAGAAAAAGATGCATAAACCCTGTTGCTAAAACATGAAATCATTTGTGAGTTTAAAATAAATGTGTGAAGTACAATTGTGTTTGTCTACTATTGGAATGAGAAAAGATTTGATTCAACAGCAATGTCCAGCGATAGTAGTTCAACATTGTGTTTTTTGTGTGTTCTTTGCTACAGTTATGGGTGTGCCTGTGTAGACTTTGACCCATATTCAGACACACACATCATAAAGTACACTTTATGAGTTCTCTGAGCATGTACAATGATCACACATATTCTGGATTCTGTAGTTCTATGCTTTTATTATGTCTGATCCGCTTCAACTCTCACTTGAAGTTCACCTCATTTGCAACATCTGCAATGTCGCTAAACATAGAGTTGAAAAAAAAAAAAAACAGGGAATTTCAACCAAAAACCCTGATAAAAAGTCCATATAACATGCATATAATTCCCACATTGTGCCACAAGTTAAACATAGACAGCAGAGAAACACTCTGTTTGAGTGAGTTCAGAAATTGGATTTGCTCCATAAAGTTTGTGTTACCATTTCAGGCAATTCATTCAGTTTTGCATGTACTTTGATGCTAGACTTCAGGTTCCACATGGTTAGAACTCGGTCCCATTAGTGTAAGTCTAGTTCTGGGGAAGACGGGCTTACAAAGTGTTTAATCAGACTTAATGCTGGCACTTCTTGCATCTTACAGAAGACCTGTTAGTCCAGTGAGTCGATGATGAACAGTGTTGGGCATGTTCCTTTGAAAAAGTAATTAGTTATAGTTACTAGTTACTTCTCCCAAAGAGTAACTGAGTTACTTCACTATAAAAGTAACTAGTTACCAGTAAAAGTAACTATTGCTTTACTTTTTCGTTTCGTTCTGGAACATAATGTGCACTCAACGTGCACATTTTTACCTTTAACCTCAGTGAGTTTGAAATAGTGGCGATATTTCCATCTGGAAAAGGCTGTTTTGCTGCTGGAGTCTTCCTCACTCTTCATCTAAACACCCGCCACTATGAATGCGGAAACACCCACCTACCCAATTTCTCTGATTGGCTGAAGATGTAATCTTACTATTAGGGCTGTCCAAAATAGCGCGTTATTAACGCGTTAACGCAAATCAATATTAACGCCGTCATTTTTTTTATCGCGCAATAAAAAAAAAAAAAAAAAAAAAAAAAAAAATTTTTTTTTTTTTTTTTTTTTTTTTTTTTTTAACTTTTTATTGCAGACAAACACATAGAAACAAAGAAAAGGACTAGTTCAGATACATTGTAGACAGAGATTACAAAAACAATATGTAGTTGGAGATAGAGGGGGCCAAAGAAGAAACCCAGAAGGGCACATAGGAGGGGAGGGGGGGGGGGGGGGACATGAAGTGGGAGATGGGGGAGGGGTTAATAAAAAAGGCAATACAAGCAAACAGTATACAGTCATAGATATACCGAAGGTAAACAGAGAAACAGCATAGAGTATTTACATGAACAAATTTACAAAATATTTACAGATTGTTTATCATCATCATAATGACACCATGATGTTTCTATACAGTCTATGGTCTATACCCACACATACACACACACACCCACACACACACATTGAAGGGGCTTTTTGTTACCAATTATTTATTTTGTCATCCATTTATTGATGATTTTGCATCAAATGTTAGTGTGTAATATAACACTACACATTGTTTTCAATAAAAAAAGCAATTGCACACAGCACGCAAATGTGTGACTAATTTGCGATTAATCGCGAGTTAACTATGAAATTCATGCGATTAATCGCGATTAAATATTTTAATCGTTGGACAGCACTACTTACTATACATCAGAGAGTTTATCCCATTATATGACATATATCAAATAGCAAAACGCTATACAATATGTGCATGTCTCATTATTATAGATCCAAGACCACAAACGTGTTGTAGAACGTGTACGTCTCAAAGAACGCAAAAAGTGACTTGAGACAATTAAGTCATTTACAAACATGTCCACCTGAGAGCTTGCTTGTTTGTACACAGTTTACCATATAAGTCTTAGTGTGGGTCGGCTGGCTTTTATGGCAGTAGTTTCTCCGGGTAGTAGTAGTAGTAGTTGTAGTATTTTTATTTGAGCAGTTTTACAATGTATTATACATTTTTTACAGGCACATAATTCAAGAAAGAAAGAAAAGCTTTTTGCTTCTGCCTTCTCCTTTTGGGCTTTAAGTGCTTTCCCCATCCATCCATCTTCTATCCTTTAATCCATTTCTGGGTCAGGGGGGTGGCAATCAGAGATGCCACCCAAGTCTCATAGCACCAGCCCCTCACTGACCCTCTGCAGGTGGTGAGTCCACAGGAGGACGGCTGCTCTCTGAGTGTGAGCATAGCCTTGATCTTTCAGTGGAGGCTTTGGGCAAAGTGGGGTTAAGAGTCTTGCCCAAGGACACAACGACAGCAGTCATCAGTGGGAGTCGGTGGAGAAGGTGCAGAGGTGGGAAATGAACCCACGACCTTCAGGCCAGAAGGCCAATGCTCTACCAACTGAGCTACTGTCGCCCAGTGCTTGCCCCATTATCAATAATTAATTTAAGCACCTGCAAAAAGATTTACATTTTCACATGACATTCATGATTTTCACCATCATCATTTCTATCTTGTTGATGCGAACAAAAAAAATAACAATACTTATCAATTTATGTTCCATATTTCACCGGGTGCTGCTGCCTCTGGAGCCAAAGGAGCATGTGGTGTGCAAAATCTCTGTGCTCTCTATCAAAGTACTTTTGTTTCAGTTTTATGATTTATTTCAGTTTAAGAAATGTGATTATCTTTAAGTTCACTTTGAGCCGATAGTCACTGCCCTCTTATGCCACCCCTAGAATAACAGGTATTAGAGAAGCTTGCATGTTCTTCAAGTGGATGCCAAGGATTACTCCGGGTGCTCCAACCCCTAAAAACATGTGCAATTGTCCTTGAGACTCCCACCTCCACTCAGAATTATTTGAAAATGTTCTTAGTTACAGAATTCTGAATACCTACGTCAAAATGTATTCTATGGTACAGTCAGTGTTGATGGAATGGTTTCACATTTATCTCAGGCCCATTAAAAACCAGCTATTGATGCATTTGTATTAGATTAATTGTTATTAAAATGAAAATATGCTTTTTTATTTTATATCACTAGATAAAAAAAATGTGTGGCTTTGATATTTTGATCTGTTGTATACTTTACTGTGAGAGAGACTTCTTCTGTGACAATTTTTAAGTTCATGTTCAAAACATGTATTTTTAGCTGTGTATACAACAAGGGATTTTGTCTTTACTATTTTTATTGTATGGTGATTAGTTATGATGTGAATGCCTTGTCTGTTTGTTCAGCACTTTTAGTTGCCTTGTGAAGGAGTTGTGCTAAACAAATAAACTTGCCTTGCCTTACTCAAGTGATCAAAATCCCGTCCTGGTGTCCGCAGGTGGTGGCGACAGACTCGGACACGGCTGAGTTTGGCACATTGCAGTTCTGTCTCACTGATGGCTTCGAGAGGACGGAGCACCCACTGTTCCACATCCATCCCCACACCGGACAGCTGTGTGTGGCCCAGGACATAGACCGAGACCTGGGCCACACCGTCTACGACCTGCTGGTGAAGGCACAAGACCCAGTGAGTTTAGTGGCATTTGAAACCCCAGAAACTGACCTTTTTCTCCTACCTCACGCCCTAGTCTTTTTTACGAGGCGAATTCTGTGTAGACACTTAGATCCAGGATAGCTGTAATTTAGACAGCATTAAAACTAAACTGTTTATCCCAGGTGAAGGGAAGACCTGCACAAAAAGTCACAGGGACATTACTTTGCATAATGACAGGGTAACAAGCTCCACATGGATACTAAGCTTGCTACAGTTTATTGTAATGTGATCCGCTGGGGTCCTGGGTCGACTGCATGTGACTTTAGAACAGGGGTTCACAAACTTTTTTTTTTGCTTTGATACATTGTTTGGCTTTTGAAAATAATCCAAAATCACCTAGTTAGTTAAAATAATGTGATTGGACGAACCAAATTCCCATCATTTAGGGCCCTCATTACTGGTTTAACTGTTCTCCTCCAGCAAATCTGACTGGTAGTTGTTTTGCTAGTAGATGGGACTGTTTTAATTATACTAATGTTGAGAGTTACTGTATATAATAGATCAGTGTCCGCTGGTTTTGTTATTTGAGTTCAGGATATCTAAAATCCATCGACATCTTAAAAGTTTATCTCTGTAATTTTTCCAGGGAGGCCTCAGTGCTCAGACGTACGTGCACATAGAGATAGAAGACTTGAATGACAACGCCCCAGTGTTTACCCCACCTCAGTACACGGTCAGCCTGGGCAGCCACTCTCAGCCCGGCACAGAGGTCCTCACGGTCATCGCCACTGACCCCGACTCAGGCCTGTTCGGACACATCACCTACCACCTGCTGCCCGGAGACCTGTCCTCACTCTTCAACCTGGACACTCACACAGGTCAGACTGAGCAGCAGAATACAGTGTCAGGAGGCTCATGAAGGGGCGGGGTGTGAAAAGCGGTTGAATATTTTAAAAATCAATCAATCAATCAATCAAAGTTTATTTGTAGAGCGCCTTTCATACACATGGCAACACAAAGCGCTTCACAGTCCACATCACAAATCATCACATAAAACAAACACCAGAATGCACAAATAATCCAGGTTGTTTGTCTCAACAGAGAGATTATTATAAAAGTCAAAATGTATGAACATACCAAACCACAGCATGTAGTTTTAAGTTTTTTTTAAGAAAAAGCCCTTTGAGGTAGTCCTCTCTTTTCCATTTTTCTGTAAGATGAATCCAATCTAAACATTGTTTTTTTTTACTTTTTTTTTCTGGAATGACACCAGAGCCATAGTTATTTTATTTGCCGAATTTTATAACTGGTGACACCATGGGAGGAAGATTCACCATTATTGATTTACAATATAATGAAATAAACACAGTTGAGTCACTGTTTGACACTTAGGAATGAGAGCTGAGAGTCTTCTCTTTTGAAAAAGCTGATCTTAATGTGACAGTGGCCTAAAAAGAACTGCTTTGAGAGCAAGGAGCTAGTTAAATGGATTTTATTACTTTATTTTTTTTATTTTTTGTGGTATGTTAGGTTTTTAAGCAGATACTTTTTAATTGTATCTGACTGATTGTATCCCTATACTGTACCTATCTGTAAAATCTCACATATATTGCTTTTGTTGCAACTTTAGCCAGCTTGAGTGCCACCCGTGTGACTTGTAGACCAGGCTTTACCCAGAGCAGGTAGATGGATAACGTGCTATGCTGTTGGCTGTATTTAAAGATGAACCAGTCCAGGACTTAGTGTGTAAGTCTCCATGAACTGATTGTTAGTGTCACAGCTCTGCGGGGGACGCTAGGACGCCAGACTGAGGCCAATCCCTGTCAAAATCCACATATCACACAAAGAGAGGAAAATACTACTTCTAAAAAATATGATTTGTTTGTTGCTAGCAGTGTTGTTTTTTACAGCTATTACACCCTTGGAACATGATATATATTCAAAAATATATAGAAATGAATAAACATTTTTACTGACTCACAGATTTGACTGAAAAACATAGACATGTCTCATCCTGTTATGTGTTGTATGTTATTGTAAATGACTGCTCGTATTGAAGGTTCTATAAGGGAGGCGGGCCAGAAGAGGAGTGAATTAAAAGGATTTTAAGGTTAATTTAGTTAACAGGTACATAGTATCCCATCTGCCACCACATGCTGTTAGCTTAAGTAACCCACATCTAACTGATCTGCTCACTAATATGTGCTCATGTCACAGATATAAATGTCGGAAATGGCTTTTTGAAAAATCTAAATCCTAATCAAATATCGGTCCTTTAAAGATTTGGTACATAGCTTTTTGGTTACATTTAATTTGTCCCAACTGAAAGAGCAGAATGTCTTAATCTTATTAGAAAAACATGTTTTCTTGTGCCTACTGTGCCTAGTGGATATAGCACTATCGCTTCTCAGCAAGAAGGTCCTGGTTTCAAATCCCAGTCGGAACAGGGCCTTTCTGAGTTTGCATGTTCTCCCTGTGTCTGCATAGGTTTTCTCCGGGTGCTCCGGTTTCCCCCACCACAAAAAAAAACATGCACAATGGGTCTGAATGTAATGAACGAGTGAGTGACTGAATAAATAAACATTACGTACTTAAGAATGAGATTTGGGTTGAGATCTGATTGGCTCATGCATGCATTTGTTTTGGCTGTCTGATGGTGAAAGGTTATGGTGGTTATGTCACTGAGACAAAGGATTTTGTCCATAGATAAACGGAGGATTGTTGCATGAACCATCTCATATATTTTATTGTTGTTCATGTCATAAAAGCCCAAGTGGGCTGGGCTCTTCAATTATAAATTCCTTTATTTTGTCATTCATACATGAGAATGAAGTCAAACTAGTGAAAGAACAAAACTGTTTTGAGAGTGAGGAACGAGTGGTTTGAAAGTTAGGTACCACAGCTTTAAGTTTCTATTTTTAAAATAATTATTATTTCACAATTACCATCCAAAACTTGATAATTATATCATTTTTCAATTTGTATTTCTTACAATAAGTTTGGATATAATCCTATTCAAAGGATGTATATTGTTCTCCTTGTAAATAAGGTCTCTCTGCTTGTGTCTTGGTCAGGGGTGCTGTACCTGACGTCCAGCCTGAGCCACCTTGGAGCACTCAGTATCAATCTGTCCATCAGTGCGCAGGACGGAGGCGGCCTGTCTTCCTCGTCTCCAGCAGAAGTCAGTGTGCACATCCTCAGCAGCAACCTGGCTCCAGCCATGTTCCAGAGGTCACACTACAGCTTCAGTCTCCCTGAGGATGCGGCCCAAGGCACCTCTGTGGGCAGCGTACACGCCATCGATCCAAACGGTCAGTGCGCTAACTCTGACCATCGCTACATTCACGCAAGCTTCTATTTAGTGACAATAAATACCACGCATTATGGGTTTGCTTGTCTGTCTGTTTGCAAGAGTACTCTAAAAGTATTGGACGGATTATTGCAAAATGATACGATTTTGCAGGTGATCACTTCTTGATCCAGAAGTTTTTTTATAGAATTTAACTGCACCTCTTGGGGGAAGTCTGCACTCTTCAAGGGCTTCATATAGTTGTAATGTATATCTGCAGCAGATTTCATTAATTTGATTACATTTTATTTGTTTTGTTTTTTCAAGAGGTGACCCAATCATCATTATAATGAATAAAGGCTTGATATCTCAGATACAAATATGGGTATATGTGTGTAATGAGTCTGTTATATATCAGTTTCACATTGTAAAAAATAAAAAGTATTGTTCTTGGCCTTACGCGTGATAATGCTGGGTACTTGTTTGGATTGTTGCGAGCATGCTAAGCTGTGGTATGGGGGATTATCTCACATATCCGCTTGTGCCTAACAGCCAGCTCATTGCACTAGACAGTCATTTAAGGCTGTCTCTTCAATTAACAGATTAGATTTAAGGCTCGATGCCAGACACAAGTGCAGTGGCTGTTTTGTGCAATGTTCTTATGAACTAGGGTTGATAGATAGTAGTAGTAGTAGTAGTAGTAGTAGTGCACTTTACTGTATACGCTCTATTATCACAATGATGCTCAAAAATTTATTTTGTTTTTTTGTGACAATGAAAATAAAATATTGAATCTTGAATCTAGTTGTAGCTAGTGTTGTTAGTCATATGGAAAAAGACAGAGAACAAAACTCAGTTAAGCACATAAAGACATAACTAACATAAAAAACGGCAAAGGTCATTAAGTCCGAAGTCATTAAGTCGACAAATCAATCCGACTTTAAGTTCTCGTGAGTGCCTGAAAGCTGCTGACCTGAGCCTGGCAGAATATCAGACTGGCACTCCTGGATAAAGAATCATTATCGGCCACTTTGAGATTCTGCAGCAGCAGTTTTTTCATATTTACACCACAGTCCATTTAGCAGTGCAAATAGTTCACCTAAAGTAGCAGTAGACATGTAATTGAATTGTAATTAAAATGCCAGTTACATACACAATTTGTGTAGAAAAAGAGAAACATTTTGAATGAATCACCAGTTTGACCTGTCCACGATCTATCCCCTGATTACTTCCTGATTGGACAACATACATTGATATTTATTAGTTTAGTTATTTAACTCACTGTATATAACAGAGTAATATTTCCCATTACAAAGTATATCCATTGCATTTATATTCATACACAATATCATATAGAAGTACACTATGTATAAATTTTTTCATTAGCTTGTCACGGATGAGCCTTAAATGGAGGGAGAAGAAAGTTTATACATTCTCAGCCACAACTATCCACTGGTGGAGCTTTTGTGAGGACGAGAGACTATATTAAATGTATTATTTGAGAAAATATATTTACTTTACAATCATCATGAATTCAGACTAAAAGTGAGATGCTTGGGGTCGCATAATATAATACGAAGGAAACCTTTTAGATGCCCCTCTGCACAAAATCACAAAATAGTACTGTAAATGAATAACTTTAATTCTTTTCACATCTTCAGGTTCCTGGGAGTCCGTGTCCTACCGCATCTCCTCGGGTGACCCGCTGGGCTGGTTCGCAGTGCACCCCGACACCGGCCTCCTCTCAACCCTCAAAGCTCTGGACCATGAGAGCCACCCTTACGTCCTATTGACCCTCCAATGCTCTACTGCCACCTCTCCTGTCTACAGCATCACCCAAGTCAACATTTCCATTACTGACGTCAACGACAATGCGCCCGTTTTCCCCCAAGTCAACGACACCATCACGATATCCAAAACTACAACAGTTGGAACGATCCTTTTCATCGCACACGCTCACGACTACGACAGCGATGCAAACGGGAGAGTCCGATACAGGCTAAACAAACATTACAATGGCACTTTTGCTATTGACACCAATCTGGGAACTCTCACCTTGAACAGGAGCTTTCGGCATAACACTACGCTAACATGTGCGCTGGAGATAGAGGCAGAGGATGAGGGAAAACCGCCGCTTTCCACAACATTCAGCCTGACTGTCAACATAGAACAAAATACTGCGGAAAATTGTTTGGCTTTTGAGTCGCTGATTTATCAAGTGGAAATTGGAGAAAGCTACAGAAAAGATTCCAGAGTTATTCAGGTGAGGGCGCACCAAAGCAGAGGGTCTTACGGCTTGTCTTCCTTGATAATCTACTCCATTGAAAATCAAAATAGCTTCCCTCCGCCGCCTTTCCGCATCCACCCCAAGACCGGCTGGCTGTATTTATCCCAGACTCTTGACTATGAAACTGAAACTGAATATAGATTTCACGTGTTGGCTATGGCAAGTGATGCTGGACAGGAGAATATCACGGCAACGGCCACGGTCAGTGTGAGGGTGTTGGATGTAAACGATAACAGCCCAGCGTTCAGTCGGGACGTGTACTTCTTCAGCGTGCCAGAGGGGGCAGCACTGCAGGGCTTGGTGGGGACTGTCAGAGCCTCAGATAGAGATTCGGGGAAGAACGCTCAGCTGTCGTACATCCTGCTGTCGGACGGAAAGTTCTTTCGTCTCAATGCCAAGACCGGTAATGCACAACACACTTTTTTTGCTGTGGGGAAGTAACTCTAGAAAAATTAAAGGAACAGTACAAATTTGGCCAAAAGTGGTATTGCTTGCTTACAATTGGCGTCACATCCGCCTCATTACTCATGAGCATCACAAAGTGGTGGTAAGCCGAGCTAGTTGTTCACAAGAGCAGCGTGATATGCCTTTTGCGTGTGTTGTTTTAGGTTGCTCTCTAAGCGATCGAATCGCGAAACCGATAATAGATACTTTAGGATTCCTCGTGAAGAGATGAATAAAGAGCCTCGCACTAAGGACTTTACAAAAAGACGCAGGAAAAGTGACTCGCTAACATTTCACTAGCAAACGCTTTTACCTCTAAGGATTATTTATTTACCCAGCCATGCAGTCACAATGCACAGTTATTACATCTCCGTCTTTATTTAATTAATTGTCAGGTATGAGTTGGCTTTTTAGAGGAACACTGTAAATGTTTGACCTGAAAAGAACACAGCCACAGACGCATTGTTTTGTTGAGAATGATAAGTTCATACCAATCGTTACTTACACGGCTCTGTACAATGCAGGATTTGTCTCTAAGGACCTTAACTCTGAGTTCTTAAACCCACAGACAGTTGTAGCATCCATGCTTTTCCAAGCCATCATTTGTTCAGCAGTGCAAAAGCTTGATTGTAACACTGACTAGATAGTTTGAGATATCCAGGAACTGAACTGACGGGTATTTTTCTAACTCGCAAATCAAATCATTCTTGGATAATGCATTAGGATCTATACCGTTTCACAATTTGACTTTTTCGATGTATCAATCTCGAGAATTATAATCTAAAGTGAAAAAAATGACAGTCTAGGATTGTGTCTTTAATTCAGAGAGAAGACATGTTTTATTGTTGATGGTAGAGACAGCGCGAACAAAGACAATACAGAATGTAAGTGATATTATACAGCATGGAGCAATGAAGACCTTCTATCAGCATTTACCGCTGTGCCAGTAGCTTCTACCTTGATATTACCAAAACATGTAGTGGAAAAATACTGCCTTGTGCGTATTGTTAGAATGATGAGTAAGAACGTTAACCTCAGTAGCTTCAAAGTTTCATGAAATATCCAAAAAAGCAAAGAAATACTCGGAAGAAGAGTCGCATTTTCTTCGCATATCAGCAGCAACTTTTGCTGCGTCACGTGACTGCAAGCCAAGAATTGCAACCTCTCCCACTCTCCCTGACTCAGTTTTCCAGATATGCAGACCATTCCAGCTGGGACCATAATAATAATATCCAAATAGACAAGAGTTTTGTCAACAACAAATCTATAACAAACACCTATTTCACAAAGGCCCCGCTAGAAATCCTCATTTTATTCCTTGTTTTATCATTCATGATTTGAGAATCATCACGAGACCTTTTTAGTACTTCAAACACATACGTACCTTACCAGTGAGATTAGCTCGACGCGGTGAGTTCTGGCAGCCACAGACTTTCTGATTGATAAAATGGTGGAGGGCGGGACAACGAAATGAAAACAAAAACAAGATTTCGGGGCTGTAAAACTATTTTTGAAATCTTGAAATTTTTGAAAGTTATCAGTTAAAGAAGTATCCGAAAAGAGCATGGTTTATTAATTCCTTTCGACAGATTAGTGCCATTTAATGATGACTTGACATGAACATTTTAAATATTGCTACTTTAAAGCTGGAGAATCCAACTTTTTTCATTAATTATGTATTGTGTTTGTCCCAACAGAAAGAATATTTTAAAAGTCTCATTTTGTGAACAACTCCGAACACAACATACTTAAATCATGAGTCATGGTGAGTGAGGGTGGTCCTCTCTGTTTCACTCATCTGTCTGAAAAAGCTCATCTAAACTAGTAATAGAACCAAGCTGTTTCAGAGCCAGAACCTAGGTACATGGATTGTATTACAGAAGTTTAGTTTTTTTGTTTGAAAGTTAAATTCAGTTTAAGTCACAGCGCCGCAAATGGCGAAGTGGCACGCTCTCTCAAAACAATTTCCAAGTGGTAACTTTTGTTTGTTACTTACGTGACAATAAAAATGATTCTGATTCTGAAATTAGCTCTAAGTTATATGCTAAATCGACTTTTAAGAACTTTGAATCATGTTAAAAATGTTTTGAGACGGTTTTGCTCTTTCAAAAAGATCAGATAAGCAATACTTTATGAGGGGGCATACAAAAGGGAGATCTCAGCATCTTCACTGATTCAGATTTGGAACAATCTTCCATCGGGTTGTTATTGATTCACAATATACATTATTTGCCATAACTTTCACATCACTATACTGTGACAACATCTTGAAAAGCATGATGAAAATGCAACAAAATATGTTTACGTTTTGTGGCCAATTTCAATTACTGGTATATATTTAAATGTATAATTATGAGCAGAATACATTTCCTGGTAGCTTGGTCATATTGATTTTTCCACGCACTAGTAGACAATTATGATTTTCAATACATTATATTCAAGGTTAGAGGTGACTACAAGTCTATCAAACAGGATGATCACTACAAAGCATGTAATCCTGATTTAACAAGAGCAAACAGACGGGGACAGTAAAGCAGGTTAGAAACTCAGGCAGTTTGACCTAAAACCCTTTGTGCATCGGCCAACTGGCAAGAACGCCAAAGACACCACAGCACGTGAGGAACTTATGTTTTGTTTTATTTTTACTTGATGATTATGTGCCTTATCTTAGGAGATTGGGGCAAAGATCCAAACACACTTACATTAGTAAATTATTTGCATTTGATACTTGTGCAAATCCATAATGCCCAGTGGGATCATATGCCAATCTAAGGCAATCAATTGATTCAGAAAAGTCAAAGGGGAAAAAAACCTGTGTCTCGTCCATTTAAATGGTGCAGTTTTTCAAATGGCCAGCAGGTGGCAATCATTACTATTGTATTATTGCATCTACGACAATGAGGCCTGTGGTTCAAAGTGTTCTTGTGATCTTTGAGGTTGACACAACTTGTCAACTTTACTGCACAACTCTTAAAACCAAAAAGCATTATGTGGTTAATTCATGTTAAAAGCATGTGGTCTTATCTTGTGTGTGTGTCTGCATGTGTGATACAGGAGAGCTGATCCACTGGGTGGCACTGGACCGGGAGCAGCACAGCCAACACACTATGAGGGTGATGGTGACAGACCAGGGAACCCCACGGCTCACCAGCACCTGCACTGTGCACATCCTGGTGTCCGACTGCAACGACAACAGACCACACTTCATCCACCTGCAGCAGAGCAAGGACAGCACTGTGCAGGTCTGTGTCGTTAGCAATAAGAACACTGTACATGTCTGTGTTATCTCTAAGGACAAGGACATCCACTGCTACATGAAAAACTACAAACTACAGTTGTACTCCATAAAGATATAATATTGCAAAAAAGGTAGTAGATTCAGAAAGTGAAAACACATAAGCGGAGTATTTAAAAATATCTTTTAGTCTGTTAAAAATGTTTACAATATTTAATTTGGGTTTCTGGCCACTTATCCCGAAAATGAATAAATTGCAATCATATATTTTCATCTTGAATTATTTGGTGGCCATAGCAACATACAAAAGTCAAATTATATTCTGGTTGGCTTAATAGGTTTCATTTCCATCAACTCGAGATGTGTCCAGATACGGACAACTACACCTGAATTTTTTAATTGAGATTGAGGGTTCCTGGTTTACTTTTCTGGTATTAGAAATGTAGTGCAAGAAAAAAAAACACATACTCAAAAAAAAAAAATATATATATATATATAAGAGAGAGTAAATTCTTTTGTAATCAGACAATTCAGAAAGTGAAGACAATATAGGAAATGAAAGCTTGGAATCACTGACTCTTTTTTCAATCATTGAATATTTCTGGATATTTTTTGTTTCTCGTAAAGATTCATTACAACATGGTTGGAGCAGTGGAACTGAACAGCAGCAGTAGTTTCCCTTGGCTTTTGAAAACTGAATGCCTATGTTCAATGTACTCATTACTATATTCTGTGCAGATCTGGGCAGGCGCACCGACAGGCTCTTTAGTCACCACTGTTTTTGCGAAAGACTTGGACGCTGGAGAAAATGGGACCGTTACATTTTCAATGGATGCAGGTCAGTTACTACAGGATTTTTACGCGTTGTACTTGGCTGAAATGTCTGAAATTGTTGGTGGCACGACTATGCAGTCAGTGGGTAGTGCTTGTGCTCCTCAGCGTAAAGGTCCTGGGTTAGAATCCACCACCAGACGTAGACTTTAATTGGATTTGCATGTTCTCCCTGTGTCTGCAAAGGAGTGCTTTGACACTCAGTCTGTGAAAGTTAAATTAATAAAGATGACTTACTCACAAATCTTGCTTGCTTGTTCTCTGGTCAGTAGAGGAAGCCCAGAGCTCTCACTTTGACATCAACAGTAAGAGTGGAGACATCAGGACCACTCAGATCTTCAGCCACAGCACACAGCGGCGCTACACGCTGAGGGTCACGGCCACGGACGCAGGAGCCGTCCCCCTGGAGGAGAGCGCACTCATCCATGTACAGGTGAAGACAGCTTCTTGCACAATACATTGTTACAAGAAACAGGATGAAGCGAAAACATATGATATTCCAAATCCAACTCACACATTCAACTCAGAGACAGAGGATTGGGAACACACAAATCTAAAAGAATAAAACAAGAGGAAACTGTAACCCAAGACAATATCATATGGTGTAATACTAGTAAGATCAATTCGATGTATTTGTCTATAGCCGCGAATCACAACTGCAGTCGTCTCAAAGGTCTTTACAAAGTTCTCGATTCCCCATTAACAAATCAGAGAATCAATAATTATATACTGTAACATACATAAAAACAGCAATAATAACAAATACACGTTCAGTTTATTTATTTCAAACGTACACAATATATACAACAAACAATTATCCACAGAAAAAAACCATAATAAAACAAAAAATGCACGTTTTGAAAATGGATTGGATGAAGCAAAATATTAATATTATTAATCCAATACCCCTCAAGGCATTCAGACACATACAATACAAAATCAAGAATCGATACCCTACAATACCCTTCAACAAAACACATGACAGCGAAATTACACACACACACACGCTAACGCACACACACACCAAGGGAAAGAAACAAGACAAAACAGAGACGCACACAAGCTAGACCAATGTGACTATTACACAATTATTCACACAGACACAGGCCCAAAGCACTCACCAACCCCACACCTCTCTCCCCTCCACATCACTAACCTTCCTCCACATTTTTATTAAGTAATTTTTTTTAAACTGATTCTCTGTAGGTTCACGGACTCGACCCACACTCCCACCATCCCTCTGCCCCGATCCTGAGGCGCTTTACCGTGAGAGAGGATGCGGCGGTGGGCACGGTTGTGGGCTCTGCCGGCCTGTCCGACAGCGGCCCCTTCCACTACGTCATATCAGAGGAACACCTCCCATTCGGAATCCACGCCTCATCCGGAGACATCTACATCGACCAACCGCTGGACTACGAATCCACCGCACAGTACACTCTCTCGGTTCTCATGGAAGACGGAGACGACCTCAGACTAAACAGATCCGTTCTCGTCTGCATAATCGTGGAAGACGTCAACGACCACACGCCATTTTTTCCGGATAAATTTGTCAGTTTCGGGCTACGGGAAGATGCTGAAGTCGGATCTCTCGCCTACGCCTTCCAAGCTCGGGACGCAGACGGGACGTTTGCAAACAGCAACCTGGAATACTCCCTGCAATCCGGCGAACTTCAATCCGACCGCTTCCCGTTCCACCTCGACCCAAACACCGGGAGTTTAACTGTGGCAGCGCCTTTGGATCGAGAAACGGATGCTAGTTTTGCTTTCACGGTGATGGCCACGGACCGGGCGGAGAGTGAGGAGGAGCGGAGGAGCGGGGCGGTGACGGCGCAGGTGTTTCTGCTGGATGTGAATGACAACAGGCCGGTTTTTGTTTCCGCGGATACGGTGCAGGCGATGGAGGATGCAGATGTGGGGAACCTGCTGCATCACTTCGTGGCCATAGACGGGGATGAAGGGGGCAACGGGCTGGTGTCGTACGTGATCGTGGCCGGGGATAAAGAAGTGTTCGTGCTGGAGGAGAAGACAGGTAAGCAATAGAAGGATGTTCGGGGGAAAGTTTGTTGTTTTACTATGAATTAAATAAAAAACACCAACTGTTTTAAATTGTCAAAGTAATTTTTTTGTTTCACATTCAGAACTTTTAATTTTTGGATCCCTATTCATTTATAAAATAAGTGTTTTTGTGCTCCTTTTCACGTTGGAATCCAATTAAGGGTATGCCAAAAAAAACGACATAATATTGTTATTATCTGTTTTATATTTTTTCTATAGTTTAATAGTGTAATATAGTAAGAGATCCACACATTGCAAACAGAAGCATGGGACTGAGAAGATTTTCTCAATCAATCTTAAATTGATTTTAGAGTAAATGAGACAAAGTATTAGGTTAGCAGTGAAAAACCTGTTTTTTTTTTTTTTTAGAACATTTTAAAGTACCTTGTCTCAGCAGGCCCTAAAAGATACCTAGCCTTGTTTATGTTAACTTGAATTGAAAAGTATAGAATCTAATTCTCAATCTCAGTAACTGTTTTAGTCACACTCACCATTTTGGAAGAAATCTGGAGCCCTCTAGCCCCAAATATGGCTTTGAAACGACCACCCTTGCCCCTGATTGTAGCAATCTCTAAATGGTCGCTCTATTGGAAGGACTCATTTAACTACAGCTGGTCAAAGATATGCAAATTAATCCGCTATCAAAATGTAAGAACTGGAAACTATCGAGACAATTCATCCTATCCCTAGTTAGTAAGTAAGTAATCTTTATTTATATACCGCCTTTTTCACTGCACATCGGAGTCTCAAAGCGGTTTACAATTGTTATTTTTGGGAGCAGGGGTGCCAGTACAGGAGGCGCATGCCAGACCTATTGTACATATTTTTAGTGGTAGGGGAAACCGGAGCACCCGGAGGAAACCTACGCAGACACGGGGAGAACATGCAAACTCCACTCAGAAAGGCCCTGGTCCAACCGGGATTCGAACCCAGGACCTTCTTGCTGAGAGGCGAGAGTGCTATCCACTCAGCCACCGTGCCGCCCACTCGATAAAACCATAGATCTTTTCCTCTTATTATAAACATTTAATTAAATTTGACTTCTCCATGTTACATATGTCTGCCCAAGACAAATTGCCTCTCAAGGACTTTATTCTATTCTATATTGTTTTTACTGCCAGGCTTGCTGTTTCTCTCCTCTCCTCTGGATTATGAGAGCCAGCGTGTGCACCGTCTGATGGTCAGGGCAGTGGACCAGGGCCATCCTGCGCTCTCCTCCACCCAGACCCTGAGCGTGGAGGTGGGGGATGTGAACGACCAGCCGCCCCTGTTCCACGTCCCAGTGTACAACGCCAGCGTGGCCGAGAACAGAGACCCAGGGGAGGGCGTGGTGCGCGTCTCTGCCTCTGATGGAGACTCAGGTTCGATTAACTTGGAACTTCAATTCTAGCTCAAGGTCATAAAGGATAAACACAGCTGTAAAGCATAGAATTTTCACTGCCAAGTAATTTAATTTAGTGTGCTTCCTTCTATGACAATGTGTCACCAGACGAGGGAGCTATTGGGCCACAAGTTGTGTCTGCTTCCTCCAACCTCCTTTTCAAACCATGTACCTGTTCATCTGGCTGTTATGTGGAGTTATAGGAGCATGTGCAGATTTGGAAAAAAACGTGACCGTCTAATCTAATCTGAAATACTAAAATTAGGGTTACTGTTTTCAAGCGTATGGCAAAAATCTCTTTGCATATTTCATACTTAAGGATGGCAGCATTTAGACACTTCAGGAGCACATATGAAAATGTAATTAAATTAAAACTTATTTATTTATTGTTTTTAAATCTTACCTCTAAAACCATACTGTAAGAGTGTCATTGTGCTGTATGTTTGAATCTTGGGGTTGCACTTTTGAAACTTAGAAAGATTATACAGTTATTTTTTTATGCAGCAAAAATGATACAAAATACGTAAATTAATGCTTAAATCAAGTCATTTTATTTTGAAATAATACTAAAGCAAGATTTTCCACTGGAAAAAGCAAAAAGGCCTTTTTTGAAGAGACAAGCAAATCCTCTCTTGCAACTCTGCTTTGAAAGAAATTGGCTTGTTGACCCTTAAATCAAGATTTACCAATGGAAGTCTCTTTAGCCTTTTTTTAAGAACAGTTTTATCATCTCCAGTGTGAAGTTCCTTCTTCTTCATTCATTCCTTATTTTCCAAACATGTACAGAAAATCACATCGCAATGGCATTGTTAATCAGAAAAAAGTACTATTTCTCTAAATGTTGTGCTGCCATGATCTATATCATGAGGATAACCCTTGTGTTATTTTTCCATTTTGTTTTTAACACTAAACCTCAAAGTATATTTACAATAAAGTTTTACTCAAAAAAGGAAAAAAAAACTCATAAAATGGATTTCCCATCATGTTAAAGCTGAGGTACCTGATATCCACTCAGTAAAATGACTTTTTACTAAATGTTTATATCAGTTGGATTACCCCTGCATCAGCCAAACAGCTCTCTGCCCAAAGAGGCATGTAGTGACTCACATGGCTTTTCCTTACAAGCAATATGGCTATTAACTATTTAGATCGAGACAAAGTGATGCTTCTACTCTTGAACAGGCGATTTTATGAAAGTGTTGCTCTCTAAAAATGCGTCCCTGTGGCTTTACAAAGCAAGCAGCAGCTGATATGTTGTGTTTACCCTCCATGCACCGACGAGTATGTTTAGTTTCACCCCATTAGCCCTTTAATTGAAACCACCCCTGTCCCCCTACCTCCGCTCGCCAGTGCTGCCTTCATGGACACTGTGTACATCCCAGCGCCTCTTTATCTGGCCTCTAATCAGACGTGCAAATCTGACCTTATCCCTGTTTATTTGAACTTCCTGTGCTGTGGGGCCCCTAAACCCAGTCAGGAGGGCCGTGGTGTTGACAGTGGGGATTTTTAAAGATGTCTTCCACCCCATTTCTTGATGGGAACTACACATTCTTAGGGGGTGAGAATTCTCCAAGAACAGCAAAGCTCACAAGTCCGCTGGGAGCCTGTAGCCAAACGTCCTGTCTCGCCATAATTTCTATAATTTAAGCCATGTGTGGCAATGGTGCTTCCTTGAATGGAGCTTCTGAGCTTTGCACATGCTCACATCGTCTTATTTGAACATCACTGAATCCCCCTTCCTCCTCAAGGGCAGGTATGAAACAAGACATATTCTGTTTTATAAAAGGCCATATCAGATTTTTGTCCATATCGTTCAGCTTTTACTATCCAAATGAGACCACTGTCAGCCTGCTTCTTATTATTAGCGTTACCATTTTGGTCATTATTGACAGGTGTGCGAGTGTATCTGAATCTGGCTCACACCAGTTGTATTGTGTTTAGTGTAAATATACACACATTAGGCTCAGAATACAACAGTCATGACATCAGTGTTAAATGGGACTCTGACTCAGAGCTGTTGGCTGTGCGCCCTCATCCATGTTTTTGCCACTTTAGAACCATAGCCACAATACTAAACTTTCATGAACTTGTATAGCCCTAGTGTGTTTTGCGTTTGTGGAGTAAATGGAATTCACTGGTTCAGCAAATTGTGTGACCATAGTCTATGAAATACACTTACTAAAACACAACAGCAGTCGGCTCAGAGGACTTTACAAAGTTGTCAATTCACCAGCAACAGAGAAGATTGCAGGTTCTACGCAGGAAATGCAATATTAACAAACACATAGGAGTTATTGGTCCATAAGGGGCGGATAACCGATTGTTATTAAATGTCCCAGATCATCGCTGTCCTTAGCCCCTCCGGTATCGGAAAGGCCTCAGGACGGCCCATATTTAGAGAGGGATATTTCCAGGACTCAGGCTTTGAATGATAGATTAGAATGTGAGTAGTTGCCTCTTGTAATATATCGTAACAGTGCTTTAAAGTACAAATCTTTTAAACTGTTTCCAAATGTCCAAATCAATTATAAATGTATATCTCCTGATTCATTTTTACTGTCCTATTAGATAGAACGCTATAAATGATTCAACAATCAATGTCTAACTGGGCCCTACTCAGTTATTATTATCTAGTCTGGTCCATCTTCCAAATAAAGATAATATAGATGTTCTCTTCACCTACTGTATGATTTGTTTCAAAAATGATCAAGACTGATATGAAAAAGACAGAGAACTGCGGGGAACTGCCGATGAACGTAGGGTCACAAATAGCTTCCAACAAAAAAATAATTATCCAAACAGATCAAACATGAATTGTCTTCCCCAAGACTGTGACCCTCAGAAAACAAAATATATTATAGCGTTTTTTTGTGTAATGCAATAATGTCACTTTTTACCACACAATAGACGTCTGTCCTGATGTGGAAGTGGAAGCAATGTACAGTAAATGAAGTGCAACTGAGAGTATTCAAGCCCAACTGTTTGGACTGTGATGCGTTTTAGTTAATAAGCAGCAGAAGGGGAAAATGTGAAATCCCCAGTCATTGTGGAGAGAGTTGGCAGCAGAGGGCTGAGATAAAGAGGCAGAGTCACAAAGTCTGAGGCCGGGGCTGTTTGTGATGTGGACAATCTGATAACAGGAGATGGACACAGAATGGGCTGCTTGTTGTGTTACCTGTCACAGTAATAGGTGTGTCAAATGTAAACAGATTATCTAACATGGGTTTATAGGTGTTTACGAGTTTTAACTTTGTCCAAATAAATATTAATACTAATATTAAAAAATACTAATACTAATAGTCTAACCATATCATAATAGGAACCCTCTATAATCTTGGTATTTCGTGCCGCTGGAAGCTTACCCTTGCCTTAACCAAATTAGCTTTTCCTAACCCTAACCTTAACCTTAACCAAATTAGCTTTTTCTAACCCTGACCTTAACCTTAACCATATTGTAAGTCTTAAATACAGATTTATGTCGGTAAATGTGAATATTTACCTTGGTACCAAGATAGTGGTGAGTGCCGTCATGGTGCTGTGGTTCAATTTATCACACCTTTATATTATATAAGATATAAGATTACGTGTTTTCTACCTATATGAAGACGGCATGTTGTGGTCTGATGTGTTCCCCAAAATCGTGCTTTAATAATAAGAACAATAATGTATAGGACTTTTCAAAACAGTAGTTAGGGTTAGGGGGAGGGTTACTTAACATAGACATAACAAAACCTCATACACTGTTCACTTAACACAACGTCCTTAACGGTGATTAAAGTGATTGTCTGGAGTTTGTCAGAAAAAATAAAGAGAGGTACATGATTTGAAAAAAACGACCCAAGCTCCCTCCCCCTTCCTTTCTGATTGGTCTACGCCTACGTTTCCGTAACACATTTAAATGTTTATCAGAGAACACATTATACATATACATTATTAATACACATGCACAGAGGTTTCCAGAATAATTTGTTTACGTTTTCATGACAAAAATAATGTTTTAATGCACACAAAAAAGCGATCACGGTAAACCCTGAAGAAACTATTATCGTGAATTGCACATTATAGGACACATCTGCAGAGGATCTGATTATGGATATAGGTTCAGTATATAAATGATTATGGATATAGGTTCAGTATATAAATAATTATGGATATACAGTGGGGCAAAAAAGTATTTAGTCAGACCTGAGTGGAGTTTGCATGTTCTCCCCGTGTCTGCGTAGGTTTCCTCCGGGTACTCCGGTTTCCCCTACCACTAAAAATATGTACAATAGGTCTGGCATGCGCCTCCTGTTCGGCGACCCCGCTCCCATCTCTGTGTGGAGTGAGAGGACAAGTGCCCAAAAATAACAATTGTAAACCGCTTTGTGACTCTGGTCTGGGAAAGGCGGTATATAAATAAAGCTTACTTACTTACTTACCTCTGTCATAAAATAATGACAGAGGTCTGTAATTTTCATCATAGTAATTTTTCATCAACTGTGAGAGACAGAATGTGAAAATAACATCCCGGAATTCACATTGTAGGATTTTTAAAGAATTTATTTGTAAATTATTGTGGAAAATAAGTATTTGGTCACTTCAAACAAGGAAGATCTCTGGCTCTCACAGACCTGTAACTTCTTCTTTAAGAAGTTCTTCTGTCCTCCACTTGTTACCTGTATTAATGGCACCTGTTTGAACTTGTTATCTGTATAAAAGACACCTGTCCACGGCCTCAAACAGTCAGACTCCAAACTCCACTATGGCCAAGACCAAAGAGCTGTCGAAGGACACCAGGAAAAGAATTGTAGACCTGCACCAGACTGGGAAGAGTGAATCTACATTAGGCAAGCAGCTTGGTGTGAACAAATCAACTGTGGGAGCAATTATCAGAAAATGGAAGACATAAGACCACTGATAATCTCCCTCGATCGCAAGATCTCATCTTTTGGGGTCAAAATGATCATTAGAACGGTGATCAAAAATCCCAGAACCACACGGGGGCACCTGGTGAATGACCTGCAGAGAGCTGGGACCAAAGTAACAAAGGTTACCATCAGTAACACACTACGACGACAGGGAATCAAATCCTGCAGTGTCAGACGTGTCCCCCTGCTGAAGCCAGTGCATGTCCAGGCCCGTCTGAAGTTTGCCAGAGAGCACATGGATGATACAGCAGAGGATTGGGAGAATGTCATGTGGTCAGATGAAACCAAAGTAGAACTGTTTGATATAAACTCGACTCGTCGTGTTTGGAAGAAGAAGAATACTGAGTTGCATTCCAAGAACACCATACCTACTGTGAAGCATGGGGGTGGAAACGTCATGCTTTGGGGCTGTTTTTCTGCTAAGGAGACAGGACGACTGATCCGTGTTAAGGAAAGAATGAATGGGGCCATGTCTCGTGAGATTTTGAGCCAAAACCTCCTTTCATCAGTGAGAGTTTTGAAGATGAATCGTGGCTGGGTCTTCCAGCATGACAATGATCCCAAACACGCCGCCCGGGCAACGAAGGAGTGGCTCCATAAGAAGCATTTGAAAGTCCTGGAGTGGCCTAGTCAGTCTCCAGACCTCAACCCCATTGAAAATCTGTGGAGGGAGTTGAAAGTCCGTGTTCACTGCTCTCGAGAAGATCTGCATGGAGGAATGGGCCAAAATACCAGATACTGTGCGTGCAAACCTGGTAAAGACCTATAGTAATCATTTTACCTCTGTTATTGCCAACAAAGGTTATATTACCAAGTATTGAGTTGAATTTTTGTTATTGACCAAATACTTATTTTCCACCATAATTTACAAATAAATTCTTTAAAAATCCTACAATGTGAATTCCTGGATTTTCTTTTCACATTCTGTCTCTCACAGTTGAAGTGTACCTATGATGAAAATTACAGACCTCTGTCATTATTTTAAGTGGGAGAACTTGCACAATTGGTGGCTGACTAAATACTTTTTTGCCCCACTGTAGGGACAGTAAATAAATGATTATGGATATAGGTTCAGTATATAAATGGGCAACTCATGTTGCCCATGTTGTTCAGAATTCTTTGTTCAGTTTTCAAGTAGTTCCAGAGCCTAATGGAGGCTTGATTCGGAGGCGATTTCAATTATATTGAAATGGAAGGAGTATCAGACCACTGCAAATCTACCAAGACCCGGCCGTCCCTCCAAACTTTCATCTCAAACAAGGAGAAGACTGATCAGAGATGCAGCCAAGAGGCCCATGATCACTCTGGATGAACTGCAGATAACTACAGCTGAGGTGGGAATGGTGTGTTCAGGGTGATGAGCTGTGTTGCTTTTACGCCAAACATATCGTTTTGCATTGTGGCCAAAAAGTTTGATTTTGGTTTCATCTGACCAGAGCACCTTCTTCCACATGTTTGGTGTGTCTCCCAGGTGGCTTGTGGCAAACTTTAAGAGACTTTTATTGGATATCTTTGAGAAATGGCCACTCTTCCATAAAGGCCAGATTTGTGCAGTGCACGACTGATTGTTGTTCTATGGACAGACTCTCCCACCTCAGCTGTAGTTATCTGCAGTTCATCCAGAGCGATCAGGGGCCTCTTGTCTGCATCTCTGATCAGTCTTCTCCTTGTTTGAGATGAAAGTTTGGAGGGACGGCCGGGTCTTGGTAGATTTGCAATGGTCTGATACTCCTTCCATTTCAATAGAATTGCTTGCACAGTGCTCCTTGAGATGTTTAAAGCTTGGGAAATCTTTTTGTATCCAAATCCGGCTTTAAACTTCTCCACAACAGTATCTCCTGGCTGCCTGCCTGGTGTGTTCCTTTGTCTTCATGGTTCTCTCTGCGCTTTAAACAGAACCCTGAGACTATCAAAGAGCAGGTGCATTTATACGGAGACTTGATTACACACAGGTGCATTCTATTTATCATCATCAGTCATTTAGGACAACATTGGATCATTCAAAGATCCTCAATGAACTTCTGGAGTGAGTTTGCTGCACTGAAAGTAAAGGGGCCGAATAATATTGCACGCCCCACTTTTCAGTTTTTTATTTGTTAAAAAAGTTTAAATTATCCAATAAATTTCGTTCCACTTCACGATTGTGTCCCACTTGTTGTTGATTCATGACAAAAAATTAAAATTTTATATCTTTATGTTTGAAGACTGAAATGTGGCAAAATGTTGAAAGGTTCAAGGGGGCCGAATACTTTGTATTTATGCAACAACAAAAAGTTAGGTGCTCCATGTTAAATCTCTATAATCCAACACACTCCAACAATTCCATGGATTGCAGTTACATTACGTATGCTATCTTTTGTAAAATCCCTTGTTGATGGCGTGCTTGTGTAAACATGTGTGGTATGTTACAGAGGAGAATGCAGTGGTGTGGTACAGTCTGCTTCCTGGACCAGGCTATGAGCTCTTCAGCATCAACCCTTACACGGGCCTCATCACCACCACCTCCTACCTGGACCGAGAGGAGCAGCAGCACTACATCCTTAGAGGCAAGCCATGGCAATTCTTCCTTTTCAGTATTAGCTTAGGAAGGTTCACATCTGATTAGTTTCATCTATGCCATTCTATACTATATCATTTTCTGGTTCCTTCCTCAAAAACAACCAGCTGTATTTCGCCTCATACATTAATTATTCCTGAAGTTCTGTTGCTTAATGTAACACCTTTGGGAGTGTTTTGTGCTGTTTTTCAACTCCATATATCACAACTAGACTGAGTGAAATTTGTTTTTATAAAGCCCATTTTGTTTTATAAAGCCCATGTCATAAACATCAGTTTTCAAAGGGCTACACTGAAAGATTAAACCATCTTAATACAAATAAAAATCTTAAAGGAGCAGTATGTAATAATCTGGCCAAAAGTAATATTGCAACCTCTCCCAGTCTAAAAATCATTCAAATGTACTGTTTTAGTGTTTTGAGGCTTTGCACTCTCTACCGGCCCCTCTTGCAAAATCAGACCTTCTATAAATAGAGCTAGAGCTCATATGTGCTTGTTTTTATTCTTCAGTTTTTTCCCCATCTAACTTTGTGCCAGATCTTCGAACAAATATTTCCGTATAAATAATTACAAGTCATTTTCCTGTCTCCTTGTCTCTTGTCATGCCTCACCGCTACAATCACAAAGAGCCATATCAGCCTTGTACACCAGGCCAGCAGCTGATTTATCGCACAGAAACAATACTTTCAATGAACTCCAAACCCAAAGCTTAAGTCCTTGGGCTTGGATTCTTTCACAGGGCTAGGAGCCATTAGGAAGTAAACTGCTTTCAGATGTAGAGTAATAATATTTGCTCCGACAGTGCGTACAGTATATGGGTAACAATTCCATCTAATAACAGAACAGTAAAAGAAAGCATAGGCTGATAATTGGACATGCATGTGAAAACTAGACATGCATGTGATAGAATCAAACTTATTGGAGAACGAGGAACTCTAGTTAGATGGATTTGATAAAATGTTTGTGTTTTGAAAGTTAGATATCCCATTTCTCATGTCTTGTTGCCTTGTTGTTTCTATCTTGTTTTGTTCAGCACTTTGAGTTGCCTTGTGTATGAGCTGTGCTTTACAAATAAACTTGTCTTGCCTTGTCTGCATTAGAGATTCAATCAATCAACTTTTATTTGTAGAGCGCCTTTCCTACACAAGGCAACACAAAGCGCCTCACAACCCATATCACATCATGCATAAATCATCAAAGTAAAAACATGAAAAATAAAATCACACAAGTAGTTAAAAACTTTGAAATCACACATCGGATTAAAATCATTAAGTTATTGACTTCCTTCATTGACTTTTTCAAAATTTCAGAACTGGACGTAACAATATGCCCAATATGTGTTGCGCAGTGCTTCGAATAATTGCATCTGTGAGGTTCAGAAAGTCTTAGAAACCACAAGACGGACTCAATAGACGTGTTTACATTTGAATGATAATCGGCCTCATTATCCTCTGCAGTTCAGGCCCGGGACAGCAGTGCGCGGCCCCTCTCCAGCACCGCCACCGTGCTGTGCTCAGTGCTGGATGAAAACGACAACCCTCCAGAGTTCATGCAGACGTCCTTTCAAATCAGCCTCCCCGAGAACCTGCCCCCCAGCCCCATCCACACAGTCCAGGCGTCGGACCCGGACCATGCGGAGAACGGCACCATTCACTACTCCATTCAAGGCAAGGATGAGGATACGAGCATAGTGATGGGAATGCAGTATGTTAGGATTAAGGAAATATTGTGAGCGGTAGGAGTGGTGAAAAGCTACGAATGAGATGACAAGATGGGATACAAAGGGGTTTTATATTTCATACACAAAACAAAACAACTTGAACTTTTGTCCATTTTGTCATGAGTACAGCCATTTTATATTGGATTTTATTGAAAGACCACAACAAAGTAACTGACAATTGTGAAGGGAAAGCAAAATATGTCATTTTCTTATAAATAAAACATTGAAAAGTTTGGTTTGCACAAGTATTTGTACTGAGTCTTTTGGGGTATAACGGTACAGGCCTGAAAGTTTTAGATCTGGACCTTGACCGGGTTATTCTAGCACATGAATTTATTGTTTGTTTGTTTTTTAACCACTCCATTATAATTATGGTTTTGTGCTAAGGATAATTGTCCTGCTGGAAGATCAATCTCTGCCCCAGCCTCAGGGGCTGTGTTTGGCTTCATCATCTTCCCATCAATTTCTGCAATCTTCCCTGTCCCTGATGAAGAAAAGCAGGCCCATAGCATGATGCTCCCCCCATCACAAGTGCTTTTCTTATTATGATTTTTGACCAAGACAAGACCGCTTTCTCTACTGGTTATAAAGGACTATGTGAGACATGTGTAGTTTTTACGATCAGTGTCACTGTGACATTGCTTTAAAGATTTTTGTTGGACATAAAACAGAGAAACATATGTGATACCAGTTGTTCATAAGGGGATTATGAAAAACATGATCGTTAACAACTTAAATTCAATACTTGTTTAAAAAAAATGACAAGTTACCCATGAAATAAATACAAAGAAATCAGTTCAAGACTTCAGAATCAGCATTGATTGACTCCAATATTCCAAAATTTACTGATCAATCTCTTTGAGATTGTCTAGGACAGGTTACGGTCCCACTACTTGGAGCTTAAACCTAAACTATTCCTCTTTATCTCTCTGACTCACAGGTGAAGATTACAGAGGACTCTTCACAATCAACAGTTTCTCTGGAGCCATCAGCACCACACAAGTTCTGGACCGTGAAGAAACCCCCAACTACACCCTGACCATCCAGGCTCGCGACCATGGCCCTAACACCTTGAAGTCCTCCACCCAGATCCACATACATCTCTTGGACCAAAACGACAACACACCCGCTTTCCCGCACAAGACCTACCAGGCCTCCATCGGCGAGGGCTTGCCGGCCGGATCCGAGGTGGTCCGACTCCATGCCTTCGACTCGGACGAAGGCCCCAACGGTGAGGTCACATACTCTTTGACCGAGGACAACAGCCAAGGCGCATTTTCAGTGGACCCTCTCACAGGGATTGTCCGCACTACCAAACCTTTGGATCGAGAAAGCAAGAGTGAGTACAGCCTCCGTGTGGTGGCTAGCGACGGTTGTGCGCAAGGTCCTCTCAGCTCGGCCGTTTCGCTCGTCGTACAAGTAGAAGACGTGAATGACAACGCACCACTTTGCTCTCAAAATCCTGTCAATGCCTGGCTATCCATGACAATGCTCCCCAATCAGATCGTGGCCACTGTGATGGCTACAGACGCAGATCGAGGGGAGAACGGGACGGTTAGATTTATGATTTCGGACGAGGAGACTTTGTTTGATGTCAACAGCGATACAGGGGAGGTGTCACTGAGAAGGAGGGTGCGGGTGGGGTTTTCGGGGGCCAAGCTTCACGTGGTGGTGTCTGACAAAGGGAGGCCGCCACTCACCTCCACCTGCCTGGTCTTTATTCACCTGCGCGGGGAACGGGCGCGGCTGCAGTTCAGCGAGAGAGAGTACAACGCCTCGGTGAAGGAGAACAGCAGGGCAGGTGTGTTACAATACTCATATGCAACATGTTAAGGATGGCTGCTGCCTCGTTTCTGTCACCACCCAGTGTTCAGTGAATGGATCGAGACTATTGAGTGTAGTGCTCCAAACAGAGGTTATTACCGTGACACTTTTCAACCTCCGTCTTCAGGCGTTTCGCAACATTACACATTTTCTTCCGAGGCGCAATCGAAACCAGCCAACTCATGTGGTTTACTGGGCTTAGTCGCTGGAGAAACACAAAAACTACATAGGTTGGGTGGGCTTGGGAAGAGCAGCTAATAAAACACGTCATGTGTGACGTAGCGAAACACATCTGAGGAAGACGGAAGTTTTAAAATGTATGCACATCTGAGGAAGAATGAAGTTTTACATTTTCTGGTATAGAAGAACTAAATAACTAAACTAAACTAAATAACAAGGTGAAACTTTTCTAAATTCTAACAATACAGTGTTTCAATCTATGTCAAGTGTCATGTGGCCTCTCCATAGCTTTCTGAAACTGACAGTTCTGCCAAAGTTGTGTAGTGTGTCCCCAGTTTAACATGAGTATAAATGCTTTCCCACAGGGACTTGGATTACAAAGGTTGAAGCCAGTGATCCAACCAACAGCCGGCAGAGGATCACATACACCATATTCAGCGGCAACGAGAACAACATTTTTTCCATAAACCGCTACACTGGTAAGCTATATCGAGTTTTAGAGGATCTTGTATTTACATCATATGGTTTAGGCACAGCTCGTTCTCTTGCAGAATTATCTGCACACTCTCTGTTTTTGTGGCGTTTACTTTCTGCGAGCTGTCCGCACACTGATCATGGCGGGTTGCGTGTTCCCCACGCTGTTGTCCATGCAGCTTCACTCTCCACACTGGAATAATGACTGGGGCTGTTAAGTTTTTAAATCCTATATAAAGTGGTCAGCTCAGTGACCACAAGAGCCTGGGCCTTTTTTGCTTTGCCAGAATATGCACCTATATATTGGATACACGTGAGGGAGAGAAACAGCGCAACCTGCGCTGTGGTGCAAGAGATTTTGTAAAATCATTACCATAGGAGACTCACAAGTCCCAAAACCACAATTCCGAATCATAAAGTTAGAGTGTCAAGTATCGTCACAAGTCCGAGTCTTACAAGATAGGCAATATAATACCTCAGCCAGCAGAGGGCCTCATGGAGCACTGGACAGACAAGCCTAGGTGCTCATGGATTGTCTGCCTCACTCCTTTTGAGTTGTGAGGCATGTCTGTCTGATGTGGTGAGAAACGCAGGCTGTGCATCCTGCAGGCACAGAGCCCAGATAACTGCACTGGGAAGAAAAAAAATGGGAGGCCCAAACAATAAGTCATTTGCAAGTTAAAGATCGTTAAAACCATAGCCATAACTTTAATTAAATCAATGGGTTGTGTTTGATACAAATGGTCGTTTTTATGTCCCAGGGGAGATCCGTGTGCAGAAGGATAACTCCCTGGACTATGAGCTGGGTGCTAGTGTGAGGCTGGTGGTGCTGGCTGACAGCGGTCAGCAGAGCACTCACTGCGTCGTCTCCATCAGCCTGCAGGACGTGAACGACAACACACCCCAGTTTGAACACAGCAGCTACAGGACAGCCGTGTGGGAGGGGCAGCCCCGCAACACATATGTCATGCAGGTACAAACAACAACAGAAACTGACAAAGGGGAAGAAAATGAATGGATGGACTTGCAGAGCCCTGCTTTACATTTCACACACAGTTTAGCACTAGGATGGATAAACATACCCTAAGAAGGTTTTGTAAAATTCTTCTCTACAGGTATTTGCCTCAGATGCCGACAGCGGTTTAAATGGTCAGATGGAATTCTCAGTCATATCTGGAAACCCCAACAACGCCTTCCTTCTGGACTCAGTGAGAGGGATTCTGGTCACGAATGTGATGCTGGACCGTGAGATCACCAGTTCATACAAGTGAGTTCATCTGACAGCTTTCTACTCAAATATCCATGAGAGTCAAATAAAAGACCTAAGCACTAACATTTAAACCATCATGAATTGTAATAATTTGCCAATTTCTTTATTTTTATATATAGTTAATTTATTTTTAATATTTGTTGTAATGTAAAACACTCTCAGATCTCAGAACCAAAATATAACTAGCTTGAGAATAAAATGGATAAAAATAAGAATCAAGCCATTATACCACCTTGTTAATTATTGTCTCAATATATAGATTAGGAATGAGTATCGTTTACAATTTAAAGTGATGTGCGAAATAATGTTTGTTGTTTCTTTTAGGCTGGTTCTGCAGGTGGCTGACAAAGGGACCCCCTCGTTCAGCAGCACTGCCACAGTCAGGGTGCAGCTGGTGGATGTGAATGACAACAGTCCTGCCATACCGCCCATGGAGCCTGTGCTGATACCAGAGAGTGAGAGAGAGCACATGTTAATGACAATATCTTCTCCAAAGGGATCGACCGATACAATTTATGTGGCTCAGGGCGATTTGATCAAAGTTTGACTGGCAGATGGTTGATTTGAATGATAGATTTTAAAGGGAAGATTTAAAATCACAATTTATTATTATTATTATCAATACTATTATTATTATCCTACATTCTTTTACGTAATAAAGTATAAATAGTGTACACTTTACAAAAGCTCACAAAAACTCTTAACTGTTAGTAACTGACTGAATAAATCATGCACTGCAGTATTAGTTAATAATCAAGTATACAATTATTAATCAATTATGGTGTAACAAACCATCTATATATGTAGTAACAAATGGTTACTTCATTATTATTAAATTAATAATAATGAACAAGTGAAGTACTTGAAGATGTATTCATTAATAGTTAAGCATTTATTAACTGTAGTAGTTTAGTAGTTATTAAGTGTTGGTTACACTTAATTAATGAATTGTTCATGATTAATTAAGTGTTATTGAAAAATATATTAAGCCTAAATAAGGTGTAGCTATTATAAATTGTTACCATTTTATTTATTTATGATTTCTGTTTTTGTAGTTCTGAGGCCTCCACTTTTTGTCTGAAAAAACAAAACAAAACGCTGGTACCTACTGGGTGTTAACACTAGGACTCCCAGAAACTACCATGTCATTATATTGTGTATCAATACTTGCTCAAGTTTTGATACACGTTTTTGTATCGGTAATCTGATTGCCAATACACAAACTTAGTACAACCCTAGTTTGTACTAATCTCACTTTTTCACTGATCATTTTACCAGATCTTCCTGCTGGATATATGGTGACTCAGGTGATTGCAAACGACGTGGACCTGAGCTCTTCCATTACCTATAGTTTTGCGGATAATGGCAGCAGCAGCGGCCCCTTCGCCGTGGACTGCTACACTGGGGTGATCACGGTGACCCAGGGGTTGGACTACGAGACGCAGCCAGAGTACGTTCTAGCTGTGCAGGCGTCCGATTCCTTGCACCACACCACAGGAGAGGTCAGAGTTCAAGTGCTGGACGTGAACGACAACGCTCCTGTCTTCACCCAAGTCTCCTACCAGGTACTCATCACAAACTGACAACTGGTAAATGTTAGTTGTATAAATGTATGGTACTCTAAAGATTACTTAAATATTTGTACTGTATGCTCAAGAGCAGGGGTCACAAACGCAGGTGCATGGTCCCCAAAGACGCCCGCAAAGCATGTTCTAAAAAATAGCATTGGTCACCCGGCTGGCTGTTAGCTCCATGTTGTTAGTCTCCATTCAGAAAAAGAGGCAATATTTAAAAATTTCTGCCCCCAAAAAAAAAAAAGAAGCAGACACAAGGTCTACTTATTTTACCTACACTGAAAACGTGTTATGTGTAAATGTGGGATATATATATGTAAACTGAGAAAAGTGAAATCGGAAGATGAGACGGAAGAAAAAAATACCTAATCACATGCAAGCTGGATCTGCTCTAAAATGAAATGTGGTCATCAGTAGAAAATTTGACAATAACAGGTATGAAGTTATGAGCAGGGCCTTTCTAAGTGGAGTTTGTATGTTCTCCCCGAGTCTGCGTAGGTTTCCTCACTAAGGTTTACCACTAAACTCCTACCACTCCTGTCGCCAGTACACCTCACTCCCACCTCTATGATGAGCGAGAGACAAAATCCCACAATTGTTAAGCGCTTTGTGACTCTGGTCTGTGAAAGGTGCGATATACATAAGAACTTACTTACCTATTTAGTATTATTCTGCAGGCTAAAATACTGTTTATTTATTTTTTAATCGCAGGGATTTTTGAAATTCAGTCTGACCTTCTGACAAAATGTGCAGAATTACGTCTAGGGACAACTGGACTGACACATTATGTAAAAAACGTGTTTCATTCTTTGTTATTGTTCTGTGTACAAGCCCCTAGTAATGTTAAGACAAAAGAACAAGCCAGTGAAAGTGTATTCTACTACAATTAAAACCTGGACAAAAACACAAACATGCTAACATACAGTAAGTTGGTGATCTATTGAACTTGCTTGTCCTTCATGGAGAACATGTGGTCTGGCGCTTGAACTTCACTGCTCTGCTTCTAGCACACCTCTGCCACAAGTTTCACAAGTTATTCAATCAATCAATCAATCAACGTTTATTTGTAGAGCGCCTTTCCTACACAAGGCAACGCAAAGCGCTTCACATCCCCTATCACATCATGCATAAATCAAACACATTAAGAGCACAAGATATATTAAAAACATTAAAAATAAAATCACAAAAATTAAAAACCTTTAAACATTAAAATCACAGATGGGACTAAAATCATAAATAGTCACAGTGCATTAAAAAGATTAAAGATAAAAACAAAGATGAAAAGATAAAATCATTCAGTTGTATATGCGCAGCTAAACAGAATTGTTTTGAGCCTAGATTTAAAAGATGCCAGAGTAGACGCCTGTCTCACATTCTCAGGAAGACGGTTCCAGACTCTAGCCGCATGAATCTGAAATGCGGTTTGCCCATGTCTAGTACCGACTCTGGGCACTAACAGGAGTCCAGTCCCTGTGCTCCTCAGAGTCCGGGTCGGCTCATATGGCACAAACATGTCGTGGATGTACCTTGGCGCGAGACCATGGAGAGACTTGTATACAAGTAAAGCTGCTTTGAAGTCTATTCTCTGAGGAACAGGAAGCCAGTGCAGAGACCTGAGAACTGGACTAATGTGGTCGCACTTCCTAGTTCTGGTCAGGACTCGAGCTGCTGCATTTTGAATATACTGCAGCTGTTTTACAGCCTGTTTGGAGAGACCTGTGAACAAGCCATTGCAATAGTCTAACCGACTGGAGACAAAAGCGTGTATAAGAGTCTCCAAGTCTGCCTTAGACACTATGTTTTTAATTTTAGCAATGTTTTTTAGGTGGTAATAAGCTGCTGATGTTACAGATTTTATGTGGCTTTTGAAATTTAAGTCTGAGTCCATTATCACTCCTAGATTTCTGACCTGATTTGAGGGTTGTAGAGAGAACAACAAAAGCACAACTCCATCATGCAAATTATGAACAAAGGAACAAAATGACAATGTTTCAAATCTCCATTCAACATCTGTCTATAGGAAGTAGACTTCTTAAGGTTACCTCAAACAAAGGCCTGTATTTGGCCACATGGGATTTGTAATAAACTTATAAGTAAATTTCCTTTGACAAAGCCTCATCATTAGCTTAAATCACACTGCAGCTTTGATTTTAAATATTCATTCCAAGACAAAGAGTTTGTTTTATGAAAATAAGAGACCTTTTTGGTCTTTCTTGTTGCAGGTGGAGTTGTCTGAGCTCCTTCCGGCAGAGACATTGGTTATCTCTGTGTCTGCGTCTGACCTAGACTCTGGCCTCAATGGAGAGGTCACCTACAGACTACTGTCATCTCCTCTGCAAGGCTTTTACATCCTCAGCGATCAAGGTAAAGCCATGACGGAGCAGGAAACATCCATAGCAACTATGAAATATTCATGCAAAGAACTATTTTGTATTTGTACTGAACACTCTCATCTGGCTTTTGTCAACTTTAAATCAAGTCAGGATTTGATTTTCACACACTACAATGGGATAGCTTAAAATAATCTCAAGCCATAACATGAATAAGTCTTCATTTTTCTATGACTCGTCCACACTGAATAATAATTGAAATTTTAGTTTTTCTTTCATTTGTCATTGTTTGTCCCCACAATAATGCAACGATTTCATATACCACTATTTTGGACACTCAAAGACGCTTCACATGTTATTATTCATTCAGTGGTAAACTACTACTGCAGCCACAGTTGCCCTGGGGCACACTGACAGAAACGAGGCGACCACTGACCACCACCAATCATTCACGTACTCACCAGACTTATACTAGACCATCTGGGCCTAAGGACACAACACCATATTAAGCACTTTATAGCCGCAGCCGCCCCCTGGCACCTGGTGTCACAAAGGACATTTTCTCTCAAATATTGTATAGAAATATGTCTTAATCTGTTAAGTGAGCACTTCCATGTTCATATTTTATCACACATCAATTACATCAATGTTTCCTGAAAATGTAACTTTGTCTTTTGTGTATATATAAAATTGTGTGTGGACTACTGCGACTGGATTTCTATGTTTTCTGCTTATCTATGATGTTGCATTGTTTGTTTTTTTTAAATCCCACATCTTACATTTTTTGCAGGCTCTGTTTTCACCAACAAGCCCCTAAAATCCATCACAAACAGCAACGTGGTACACCTCCTGGTCGAAGCCCGAGACCAAGGCGACCCTGCACGTTCCAGTGTTGCATCTATTGAAGTCTTGATCATAGACAGCAATGATCACGTACCCCAATTCCACCAAGACATCTACACCCTGACTGTCCCAGAAGACATGCCCATTGACACCACCTTGCTTACCCTCTCTGCTGACGATGAAGACTGGAGTCCGGAGAACACCCACCTCGACTACGCTATTGTCGGGGGGAACGAAGAGAAGCGGTTCTGCGTTGAGATCAAGATGATTCAAGTTGAGAATCAGTTGAGGAATGTGGCCAAGCTTGTTCTCTGTAACCCGTTGGATCGAGAAATCACAGAAGCATACTCTTTGACAGTGAGTGTTTCCGATCGAGGGAGGCCACCTTTGAACAGCACTGCTTTTGTTATGTTGTCTGTAACCGACTGCAATGACAACACTCCAAAGTTTTCCAACACAGAATACCATGTCCAAGTAAGAGAAAACAGCCTTGTTGGAACAAGCTTGGCCCAAGTACACGCCCACGATCCTGACTTTGGAATCAATGGGCTGGTGCATTACGGAATTGTTTCTGGAAATAGCAAAGGACATCTTAAAATTGACTCTCAATCTGGTGTTTTAGTAGTAAATCAAACGCTTGACTATGAAGTAGATTCAACATATACAGTGACAGTTCTTGCTTCTGACAATAGCGAAACACCAGATGAGCGCAACGTTGCTTTTGCTGTGGTTTATGTTACAGTCCTAGATGAAAACGATTACGCTCCTCACTTCATGTTCCCAACTGTGAACTGTTCCGTGCCGGAGAATCTTCCCGCGTTTACCCATGCCTGCTCCATCCACGCCATGGATGAGGATTCTGGCCCTTACGGACATCTGACATACTCTATTTTGACCTCCTGTTTCATGGACTACAGGATTGGAAACCCTGATCGTAAAGAAGCGTTTACGATCGACCCGCATACCGGTGACATACACACCAGGCAAACCTTCGACTATGAACGCGAAAACGAGTATTGTTTTGTTGTCGAAGCCAGAGATAAAGGCGATAAGACGGCCACTCAAAGAGTCCAAGTAACTATCAAAGGCGTTGACGAGTTTAGTCCAATCTTCACGCAGAAACAGTACTTATTTCTGCTTGCCCAAAACACCAAGCCAGGAGAGATTGTTGGCTTTGTGATGGCAATGGATCATGACAGAGGGATTGATGGTCAGGTGGAATATTCATTTCTCCACCCATCCCCATTTTTCTTGATAAACAAAATAACTGGGGCAATATCAGTGTCCGACCCGGTATTTCGCAAGAGGGGTAGCTATAAAACTGAAGATGTTGTGGAGTTAATTGTGTCTGCAAGCAGTCCAAAACTTGGTTCCCGAGCTATGTCATGTCCAGTTTACGTGAACATTTCGAATTCAGTAGAGGCACTGACTGGATTACCGCTCGATGGTCATGTTCTCAGTCTGACTATCTCATTATTGCTGGTCCTTCTTATTTTACTCATCTTTGTTGGGTTAGTTCTGTCTTATAAGCTGAAGGATTTTGCTGTGAACAAGGCATCTACCCTTGCCGCAAGTTTGAGTCAAAGTCCTGGATCGTTGTACAGCTCCAGTGAACAATCCCAAAGCATCATCTGTCTGCATGAAGTCAAGCGACCCAGTATTCAAGTGGTGAGAAAAGAACTACCTAAACAATACAGTCCCTCCGACTCCAGCGGACGCGGGTCAGCAGAGGGCGAGACTGCAGAGGATCAGGAGATTAAGTGGATCAACCATTTTTCTTATCATCAAGATCATTCAATAAAGGAACCTTCAGAAAATCCTGATTCAGCTTTACCTAGAGACAGTACTTCCCATCATTCTGTTGAAGATGATCCAGATCCTTTGCTAACTTCGACGGCATGTTTGATATCTGGTTTGGCAAGCACTGAAAGCTTACACCATTTCAAAGAGGAGGGCGGCGGCGAAGGTTTACTCCCAGCAAGAGTACAATTTCAAGATCTAGAAGAAAGCATGGGGACAAAGGGGTATGCTCCTCTCTCTGAAGCTGTAGATTCTTTGTCGTCTCAGATTGGTTTAGATGAAGTACAAGGCAGCTACGCCTGGGACTACCTCCTTGACTGGGAACCCAGATACCACACACTTGCTTCGGTATTCACAGATATCGGCATGCTTCCTGATGAGGAGCTCCAAGGCGGGCGAGAGAGCATGGCGTGTGAGGCGAGCTGTCTCATGCACCCTCCGCCCCTGATCACTAGCGTAGCTCAGCCCGGCATCAGGACAGTGCCCCCCAGGAAGCCGAGCCGGGCACAGAGTCTTCGGCAGTCCTACCCCAGATACTGCTACTCTCCCATAGCAAGAAACACTGGGCTAACCCCCTCGGCTATGATCCCCACATTTTCCCCATCACTGACGTCACTGAGTGTCCGAACACCCAGTACGTCACCGGTGGTCTCAGACACTGGGGTAGGGGGCATCAGGCTTGAAGCAGGACCTCCAACTGCAAGCCTGTTAGAGACTGAATTACAAGTGTAGATGGACATATTGTATTGTGAGAGACTATTGTTAAATGTGTTTTATATTTCACTGTGGATCCGTAATAGTTAAATTGGAGTGTTTTATCACTTTGCTTGTTCTGGGCTTTTGTTCACAGCACTTTAATTTGCCCTTCATGTGAATAGAGCTTAAGTTTAATAATCAAACTTAAAGGAATAGGCCACCGTTTTTACATCCTGACATATGTTCTTACCTTAGACTAGTTGATATGTACCTGTCTGGTCTTTGTCCGTGCGCTCTGTCATGCAAACGGAGCACAAACGCAGCCTCTTCCACATACTGTATAGTTCCAAATCAGCTCCCGTTAGAAGCTACCAAACTCTTCCACGTGTTCCCTATTTAAATACAGTTATGTGACGTGTTACTCTACCAAGTACAGTAACACAGAAATGTAACATGTCGATTTTCTCAGCGGATAAAAAGGGGTACTATATTGTGAGGCGTAATAATACGAGGAGCACTACGTCCGCGCACTAACTCCTAAAGATGTACTGCAAGTTACGCTGCTTCTATTGACGAAAGTGAGCGGGAGAGAAGTCGTTAGGAGTTAGGTAAGGTAAGGTAAGAACATATGTCAGTATGTAAAAACGGTGGCCTATTCCTTTAAGATCATGATGCTTGATATTGTATAACCCAAATGCTAAATGCAAATAAATAGGTTATTTATAATTAATAGTTTTTTCCTAAGTTTTAGTTACTATACAGCAATGTTTAAGTGCTTCTAAAAGTCAACACAGTCAATATTATTACCCCATTAAGGGGTAGTGTATGTGTGCATGTGTGCGTCTGTCTGTGCAAAAACTGCTGGAAAGATTGAGCTGAAATTGGGATGTGAGCTGGGATGGTTGGAAAATGAACCATGCCTTTGGTGGGGTATGAACTCGAGTGTACTCTCTCTATATATATATATATTGGATTTTACTCAAGCTTTAACAGACAAGAATATAATTTGATTTAGTGGAGTGAATCATTTAAGTGTGCTCCATTTCCAATAAAAGTAAACATTAAAAGGACAATTCTTCACAAAGTGTAACTTCAGTGTATTATATAAATGAGTGTATTATAAAATTAAAATAGCTGTGACTGGCCAGAGCATTAACTGCTTTAATAACTGGGATACTTTATATGAGCCTTCCGCATCCTATACTGACCTGCTCAATATGTTTTGATATGAGTTCCTAATATAAAACAAATGGGCTTCAACCTGTGCTGGTCTTATGAAACCATAAGCATGAAAAAGAATGTCAGAGTGATCAATCACTCAATACTCTTGTATATTTTTCCTAATGAGCTTCTTTTTTTTTTTTAAAGAAAAAATAAAGCAGGCGTTAAATAACTTGTGAAATGTCTATTGAATGCTTTTATTTACGTGCACCAAAACGAAAGACTTTCTGATGGCTTTGGATGGACCTTTTGACCACAATCGCTGCTATTAACAACCTCATATGTAATGGTAGAACATTACCTTGTCTTTCAACCATCCAACATTCAACCCTACAAAAATGCCTTGGGTCCAGAAACAGAGCTAAGACTCCTGCTTTGTACCACTTTAAAACGGCAAACTGTTTCTGAACCCTTTAATTACACATTAATATTTCTGCAAAATTAAAGAGGCTGTTTATGAGGCTCTAGTTTGGTCTGCTGATTATCACTTTTCGTGAAAGGAAACACAGGAAAATTAGAACTGCGGGACCTGGGAGGAGAAGGCAGGCAATTCTCCTTTTAAATTCTGTTTCAAGAGGTGAGACATTTGTATAAAGCTTCTTTTTGTTTACACTCTTGCTGAAGTGACAAGCATTTCTCTTTATCAGATCATTCCCCAAACCTAATAAACAGCTGCATCCTGATTCACATGTCGTAGGAGAAGCCATTGCAGACTAATTACTTAATATTGACCCAGTTCTGATGCTACTTGGCACCTTGTGTGGTTTTGACAAGTCCCAGTATGTGGTTTTGAAAGAAGCTGAAAGGAATCTCACACCATATCAAGTCATCTGTCCAAACAGCCCTGAAGCACTGGACTAGTTTCCCAAAAACAGACAGTCTGCTAAGTGCCTGAAGGCGCAAGTGATGGAAACTGATGCAGTTGATAAAGAAACGGCAACACCCTTTCCAAGACTCCAGCCTTCTTATAAATAGAATGTTTATACTTGGCTAAAATCAACTAGAAACTTTGACTAAAACAAACAAAGTAATTACCTTGCTGGTAATTCATCTTATACAGTATATACTTATGTAGTACTGTATATACAAATATATTTTGAAAATAGTACTTTCAGGCCAGATTTAAAACACTTTAAAAGTGCTTTGCATAGGTTTTTATGACCTCAATTATAACCTTTATCTTAATTGATAATTAAAACTTCAATGGGTAATGATTGGTTTTGACAATGTTTAGTTATTTATAAAAGTAACTTCACCAGGTATAAAGATGCATTGTACAGTCTAGTCTTATCCCAATATGGCCCTATTGGCTCTCCATAAATTAGCATTATTGTTAGCAACTCAAGATGGTTTCAATTCGGCATATCGACTTGCTTCTCTAAAGATATTTACAGACTTCTAAACAACTCCATGTTTTCTGCTTTGTGATCCTGGGCTCGAGGCAAAAGGATGTGTAGAGAAGTGAATGTTATGAAAAGGCTACAGACAAACAGATGGACAGCAGCATTCAGCACACAACTCTGCCCTTTGATCGCACATGCATCTTCAGTGTCATAATCATAGTCATGAGGACATTTAGATCTCAACAAATCAACTTAAATGTAATTGAAGGAGTTAAATCCAATATTGGATGCGTTTCTTTCAATCAGACCACAGCACAAAGTCTTGGGGCTGTATATTCTTGTGTGTTTTGAATAACGGGTCATAGAAAATGCTTTTAGACACTTTTGTAAATGTGTATGTTACAGTATGTCTACATCATTATGGCATGGTTAATAAGCAGGGTCACTAAACTCAATAGAACACTGCGTGTAATAGATCACAGTCTTTTTCTGTGCACACATCAAGACAGTGTGGCTCTGTTTTAGACTTCAAACAATGAAAAGGCTGCTTGAAGTTCACGGCTGATAATTTACAAAAACATGTATAAATGTGTAGGTTGCATAAAGAAACACATATACATAGTTGAGTAGGTATAGATACCTAAATCAGCTGTATGTGTGCCAAACCTGTCATCATAACTATTTATAATTTTCACGAAAGCTTTGGTATAGTTTACATATTGAGTTATTCACAGTGCGACTTTAGCTTACCTCAGCTTTATGAAAACCATGTGGAACGGTCCTCTCAAAGGCCCCTAATGTTTGACAAGACGATGTATGTTATAGAGCCTGTTTCTGATGGAGATTTATGTAGACATGATGATAATTATAGTGGTGTGCAGAAGTCCAGAAGATACATCCAAACAGAAACATCCAACAGAAAAAAAAATATTGGTTATTTTACAATCCCATATAGTCTATAAGCGCAGTATCCATAATAATAATCATAAAATAAATAATGCAACAGTTTAATATGGTGCTTTTTGGACACATGCTTCACATGGCTTATTCATCCCCTCCATGTACTGTAGCCACAGCTGCCCTAGGGCACACTGACAGAAGCGAGGAAACCATTATGTGCCTTCAGCCCCTCCGACCACCACCAACCATGTCCGAAGTACCTTGCCAAAGGACACCTGGTGTTCCCAGAGGTCTCCCATCACATTACAAACCAGTCCCTACTCTGCTTAGCTTGAAAGGTCTGAAGAGATTTTGCTTCAACATGTTTTTCTTAGATAGTATTTTAAATGCAGTCATATTTGAGCATGTTTTTGAGGCATTTAGGACAACATTTAGGTACATAGAATAGTTTGTTTCTTCTTAATCTGTAATTATGAAGGGCATACACTACCGTTCAAAAGTTTGGGGTCACATTGAAATGTCCTTATTTTTGAAGGAAAAGCACTGTAGATAACTTTAAACTACTCTTAACTGTAAAGAAATACACTCTATACATTGCTTATTTGGTAAATGACTATTCTAGCTGCAAATGTCTGGTTTTTGGTGCAATGTTGTAATTGCTGCAAATGGAGGATTCTTTGACGAAAGCAAAGTTGGATGTAAAACAAATCTTATTTCAAATACAAATCATTATTTCTAACCTTGTCAATGTCTTGACTCCATTTTCTAATCATTTCACAACGTACATGTATGGTGGTGAATAAGTGTGACTTTTCATGGAAAACACTTGGGTGACCCCAAAAGTATGAACGGTAGTGTATGTATTGCGGCAAAGATTACTTAAATTGGACGGTAGGGCGTTTTCAGATGCCCTGAACATTATCTGACCAGTTTTAAGGACGATCAAGTCCTGCAGTTTCAGTTGTTAGTTTTGTATAAACAGAGGATCTGTAGTGGACGTTGGACACAATCCTTATATCCTTCTTCTGGAAGATAATCAGAGGCTGTAAATGAGATTTGCCGCAATCCCCCCACATGACATTATAAATAGATTATACAATAACATTGAATAATCAGCATTGGTGTTGATTAGGTGACTTCATCATTCCCACACATTAAGCAACTTGTTGCTTCAAGTTGTCTCCTGAACATGTGATGATGGTGTCATTGGCACAAAATATGAATTTCATGACTGTTGACATTTTGCATATTTCATTGATGTACATATGGAAGAGTGTGGGTCCCAGTATTGATCCTTGTGGAACTCCAGAGGTTGGTGGGAAATCTGTTGGACTGGTTGTTATCAATGCATCATTGTTTTTGGGTCTGGCCTGATAACATTGTCAGTGGTCTGCCAATAATAGTTATAGTTACTTTCAAAAATAAATGTAAATTCCAACGGTGAAAATACATTTGCTTTCAAAATAATTAAATTTCTAGTTTTATATTTCCTTTATCAGTGAATGAAAGGGCAATTTGAAAGTATATACAGCCATTTCTGCTTTCAATGCCATTTCTGCACTGATGTGCCCGTTTGAGTTAAACACTTGGACTTTCAGGGAACACATTGTTCCTTGAAGCTACAAAATGATTACATTATCGCTTACAAAGTTTTTACTTCAGTAGAAGCCATCTACAGTAACAGACTGCAGCCTACTGAGGGAGAAAAAAACAAAAAAACCATCTCACTCTAAAGACTGAAGGTTATTACAAACTCAAACCAGACCTGAGACCTGACCCTACCAAGTCAGCTGATAATTATCAAGGTTATTGCTACAAATGTCTAATTTCACGTTCTAAGTTTGTTTGGTCACGGTTCAGTTTGAGCCCAAAATGACTGAGTAATATATGAACGACAATATTAGCTCAGGGGTCTTTCTGAAGCCGCTAAAAAGCCCTAAAATGGAGCTGAACTAACAGGCTCGCTTACATGCAGCCCACTCCCATCGGTGCGACTGGAACAGAGGCTACAGCACACAGCGTAACCCTCTGCATGTACCACTGAGCCCCAAGCCTCACATTTGGCTCCAATCAAATCAGCAATGTATTTGGCCCAGATATATAAAACAGATGGAGCCAAAACACGAGGTGCGCCATTCTTTCTGGCAAAGGCCGATTTGAGATCATCTTTGCCCGGCTTGTTATTTTCAACTTTTCACCTTTTAAATGTAACAATTTTCCGTTGAATCCAAAGCTACAAAGCGTCTCCACCGGAGCTGCGGCCGTGGCCTCCTGGTGACAGTAATAATATCTCAACCTCTGAACTGTCGGTAACTGGAGAGCCAATAGATCTGAGCAGAAGGCTGGGTGTGAATGTCGCCTTAAAAGAGTGTCTCGAAACATGTTGACCTCCGCCGGGGAAAAGCCAACTCCTGCTTCTGTTGCTGTGAAATTATATGCAACAGTTAAGACATACGCAGAAACATTAGGTCAACAATGCAGTGGCCAACTAACAACAAACCTCTATTCTCAAGCTTTGAATCCACTCACACTTTTGCAAACTCCACAAAGTGCCAATGAATGCATTTGAGCAAAAAGTTAAAATCAACCATTTCATTGTGGAAAAACTTGCACTGTCACTTGCATATGTTGACTGTAGTGACTATTTATAGATGCATACTGTAATTGCAGAGTAAACATTATTTGAAAATGCTTTCCCATTTAATTTGATAGCGCTCTAATTCACAAACCCACCAGATTATTGTTATTATGTCTGCGTCCTTTCTACTGGCCAACAACATGCGTATGTTAATATTGTCTCCAGTTCCAGATGTCTTTATACCAAAATAAATAGACATAAGTTGATATGTGCTGACAAAGACAATGCGAAGATGTGGAACTTTGTGAAAGTAACAACAGTTACTATTACTGTACAGTTACAGTTACTGCAGAATGGAACTGAAGAAGTATTGATATGATGAGTCAGATTACGTTCTAAGAATTACCTGAAAAATCGAGAATAAAAATAGTTAGTTAGCAGCTGCCAGGTGAGCTGTCAGCAAAACACCCAGGGGCAGGTGCACTGGACTCTGCTCTGATGGAGCTCTCAGTGCCCAGCAGGAGGCCCCTATCTGTAGAGGAATGTCAAAACTGTCCTTGTCCGGCCCAGCCTCAGGTCCAAATCCCCTGCACTAAATACAGACCAGGTGCCCTGACTGGTTAGCTCTGTCTGCTCCAAAACCATCCATCCATTTTTTGTTTGCATACAATACTTTGCCTCCTTATAGTCTCATCACTGTTACTGTGACATGGAATTTGGATGTATACAAGTGAAAATAATATACAATACAGACCAAAAGTTTGGACACACCTTCTCATTCAAAGGGTTGTTTATTTTCATGATTAGGAAAATTGTGGCTTCACATTGAAGGCATCAAAACTATGAATTCACTCATGTGGAATTATGTACGTCCTAAAAAAAAGTATGAAACACCTGAAAATATTTCTTATATTCTAGGTTCTTCAAAGGAGCACCTTTTGCTCTGATTACTGCTTTGCACACTCTTGGCATTCTCTTGATGAGCTTCAAGAGGTAGTGACCTGAAATGGTCTTCCAACAGTCTTGAAGGAGTTCCCGGAGATGCTTAGCAGTTGTTGGCTCTTTTTCCTTCACTCTGTGATCCAGCTCACCCCAAAACCATCTGGATTGGGTTCAGGTCCGGTGACTGGAGGCCAGGTCATCTGCCCAGCACCCACCACTCTCCTTATTGGTCAAATAGACCTTACACAGCCTGGTGTGAATCTACAGTCAATAGTCATGAAAAGAAAGGACACTCATTGAATGAGACCAAACTTTTGGTCTGTACTGTAAATTTCTTAAATTTAAATTAAATGGGAAATATAAAACTATATAGATTCATTACACACAAAGTGACATATGCCAAGCCTTTGTTTATTACGATTTTGATGATTATGGCTTACCGTCCTTTTTCAAAATAGTTTCTGAGATGTATGGGGTTTTTTAAAGCTATGGTTTTCAACATAACAAATAAAGGCTCGTTATCTCACTTTGCGTGTCATGAGTCAGTCATATAACAGTTTTCATATTCTAATTTTCTGATTTCTGATCTGTATGTGTACGTTTTAACCATAGTGAACTTAAGGGCACTTAAATTCTTTCTTTCATTCCTCAGAGGAGAAATATAAAAAACAGGCATTTCATGTACTTTAAGTTGAAACAATTTGTGGAAAACACTTTTCAGATCGACACCCCCAAACTACGTTTGAGGCTCACTTGTGACTCGACTGCAGAATGGAACTGTAGAAGTATTGTGAATTGTAAGCATTGGGAAGAAATGTACTGATCACCAACATTATCTATGGCCAAAGCGGAGCCTCCAGTGACTGACTTTGCGGCAGAATACGGAGTTATTTATTTTATTACTGGTCAATATTTTTTTATTAATATGTTTAAACTGAATACATATAGATCAATAATGAGCCATGGGTGTTATAGAGTGTTATAGAAAAGCACATGATGTCTTCCTTTATAAGCCTGCTTTGGAACCCACATGGGACTGTACAAGCAGGTATAGTGCTGATCCTTGTCAGCTATGGGCCCATTAGTGCTCTGGCAGCCCTGGATCCAACCATTAGCCCCACATGTTGGAGGTGTAGTAAATGAGAGATGGCCAACACAATGCACTGTCCCATGTGGAGCTCATTTTGTCCTTTCACTTTGAGGAGAAACTGCACATACTTCAATGATTTGGAAAAACTGGTGTAAGTAATGTGGGCCTGCTTCTCGTAGTGCAGAGGATTGCAGCCATCCGTATGGTCGCTGTAGGAGGTGCTTTGAAGAAGGTAGTCCATGAAGGCTTAGGAAGTAACAGACTTGAGGACTGTGTTTGTAATGTCTCAAACCTACTCGCTTTTCATAACATCCATCAAGTTATCCTTTACAGCTTGTGATCAAATGAGACTCCAAAAAGGTTCAGCTTGCTTTGCATTGTTGTGCGGCCTGCGGAAGATCCAGACAGAATTTCAGAGACAAAAATCCACCACACCAAACAGAACAGCTTCCCATACATTTTAGATCAAAATGTTATGGAAAACATTCAAACCTAATTTAGTTCATGCAGAGTGGACTGGAGTTAATATGGAGCAAAGAATAGCCTTTACAATATTATGATCACAGAAAATAAGTAAGTAATCTTTATTTATAAAGCGCCTTTCACAGCCAGAGTCACAAAGCATTTGTCTCTCAGAGATGGGAGCGAGATCGCCGAACAGGAGGCGCATGTCAGACCTATTGAACATACAGTGAGTATGGAGAGGTTGGATGAACCTAAAGATACACTGTACAACTTTTCCTGTGGAAAGTCTAGGACTGAGTCATAAGTTAAGTTTTAATTTATTTATTATTATACATTTAAGTACATCGATGAATCAGATTAAGAAGTCCTTGGCCACTGTGATGTTGTGGTCTAACCTGACTAGCATGTTTTTGAAAGTAGAGGAAACCGAAGCACCCAAAGGAAACTTACACGGGAAAACTGCCCTGTCAGACGTCTTCATGTCTTTAGTGAAGGTAATATAATAATGCTCGTATATGCCTACAAAACGAAAACACTGGCAGAGGGGTAATGTTTCTTGTGTACAGTTTCAGCAGTAAGAGCAGCTGTAAACCCCACACAGTGAGCATGAATTAAATTAGTCTAAGTGAGTGCATGTGCAACGAGATTCACATACGTCACTCCTGGAGACATGCCACCCTGTGTAAACAGCCAGCCCAGGCTTTAGGCTGATGTCCTGGGCCCTACGCCTGCAACTTTTGCCAAAAACAGGGGGTCTAAATGAGGACTAAAGGTCTTTATGGTGAGAGATAAACACAATACAACTACTTACTACTTGTAAGCATTAATGAGCTCACCTACAGTACGCTATAGAAATATACTAGTTAGTACATTTATGTAAAGATAAATCAATATAAATCAGTACTGGTCATAGCACCAAATAACTGTAAATATATTGGTCATTAAATAGTTTTGCCCACAACCAACAGATGGGCAAATCTCTGACCAATATATTTGTAATTTCACTGATATAATGATTCATTTAACCCAGTGCTTCCCAAAGTGGGGTCCACTTCAGGAGGTTCTCCAAAGGTTAACCACACAACAAATGATTTACATTTCTTTATAAAACGTACAGATTACCTCAGTGTTAGATTTACTGCATGAAACAGTTTTCCATATTTTTTTGGGTTCCAATTATTAAGCTCTGTGACCTGATACTCGCACCTATGACATGCGAGGCAGAAACCAAGTCGGGGGTAGCTTTATGGATTATTTGAGGTTGGAAAGACCTGCGCGTCAAGGCGAACTCTGATGTAGTCGGTCTGGATGAGAGCGAGTGCCTTCCTTCTGCTCAGTGGGGCCCTGCTCCAGGCCTGTTCCATCTGTGCCATTAGCTCAACACTGAGCAGCTCCAGCAGCAGACGCCCTGAAGAGAACCCAGGGCAATAAAGAGCAGGAGATTCCCTCCAAGTCCAACCACAGAGGAAGGATTCACGCTTCACTTTATTTCATAGTTCTCTCTTTATTAGAAGTCTGGTCCTACCTCATGTTCACAGGAACCCACGCAGCTCTTACTATTATATTAAGTATTAAATGGCATCTAGTTTGAGTATGTCCTCAGTTATAACAAACCATTATTATACTATTAATTTACAGTTTTGTGCCATTACTTCTTTACAAACACACTGCTATGTGAGAGCCAGCCTATTTTATGTAATACCTCTCTGTATTATTGGCCGTCATTGCTAAAGAACCATTATATTATAGTCCATCCAACAACGGTCAATAAATCAGAGACTGTGATACTCTGGTTTCCTCCATAGACAAAAAACATGCATGACTAACTTTCCAAATTCATAATATTAATATCAATAATAATTAATTTGAAAGAAGACATGTATGACATTCATGTAACAACATTGTTCCTCAGTCATACATCAGGAGTTGTTTTTGGGTCCATCCATGCTAATATCAGGAACCTCTGGAACAAATATGTGACTCCCTCCTTAATAGTATGTACCACTATGACATCACGCTCAGCATACATACGGCAGTGTTTACAGCCAGTCATTTTCAAATTTGGGAGAAACAAACAGAGATAGGGTAGGATGATTGCATGATTTACTCATACTTGTTTCACCATATATTTTCTACTAAAGATATAATTTCACATTCTAAAACATGAAATTATGAATTCTATAGTCTCATCATAATTTGTAATAGTCAAAAATAATATGCAGATTTCCTAACAGGCTGAAATGTACATATTTACCTGGCCAAAAATGAGGTGGTCGATTGCATTTGCAGCCCCAGACACAGTATACGCTGTTACCACTATGGTCTTTGATTCTTGTTTCGCACTGGGGCTGTTTTGTGCCATAGTGACTGGACTGAAGACAAATGGGAGTGCGGCTGACATGGGTTTTAGCTGAGCCAGGCCAGACCCGGCGGTGGCGCGCTCCCTACAGAAAGTGTTCTTGTTGTGGGCGAATGTCAGAGCTTTATTTACCCCTCAGCCTGTGTCTGGTATTCTGGGGTCAGCAAGGGTCAGCCCTAAGCCAGTTCCTCCACGGTAACAGAGAGGAGTACCTTTCAATCCCCTCACCCCAGCACCTCGGCAGAGCTGCCCCAGATTAGATTTCACAACACAAACTGTCAACAGTAAACCATCCATGACAGTTGCTGGGGACAGCCCTACTATAGCTTGTCCAAGTAATAATACCAGATAAAAGGCATGACCAAAATAACATTAGCACATGTTTTATCACTTTGCGTGTTTTTGTTTTTTTCTTACGACCTTTGCTCTGTAAGAAAAAAAAAACAACTCAATCAAACCAAATACTAATACATTCAAAAGGATTTCTAGATCGAAGAGTGGGTGATGTGAGAGAAAAGTAGGTTCAGAGAGTGTTTGGGCCTGTGTCCTGGCTGTGTGTAAGTAAATCATCTTTAATGGTCTATGCATTACATAGAACGCTTATTAAGTTGGTGTTATTTCCATTCAGTCAATGACAGAAGCAAGATTCTTACCATCACCATCCATTCACTCATTACATTGAGTACTAATGTACTCAATGAGAACATGCAAACTCTACACAGAAACGGCCTATCTGGAATTGGAATTGAACCCGGACCTCCTTTCTCTAAGTGTGTGTGTTTGTGTTCTTGTTGAACCAAATAAGCATTTGCTTACGCTTCAACATTTTATAAACCGTATATTTATGCTAATTGAGCATCCTATTTTTTTGGTTGAATGTTTGAAATAAATAATAAAATAAAATGTGTGAATGAAGGCTCTATAAGCCTCAGGGCTGCAGCAGAGATTAGGAGCAGGTGAAAAGCCATGGTTGTTTGTCACACTGACACGTGGATATCAGGTGGCAAAACCTACCTTCAATGCAGTTCAGAAATTACTGTATAAAACGCACTCTTTTCTTTCTTAAAAAAAGAATCTTCAAAGACATCACATACAGTATGTGCATCCATACATACAGAATGGACCCATGCAGAGCAAGCACAAAGTACAAAGAGTTCACCAGATTCCGAGAGCGGCCATAAGCTATATGACTATTCACTTGTAATTGGATTATTCTGAGGATGCATTCCAACTCAAATGTCAGTGCACAAATATGATTGCATTAACAAGCTCATTAGAGGCCCTGGTACCATGTGAGGGCCAGGATAGTGGCTCCCTGTGGATATAGCGTGCTAATACATACTACCAAAAATACATTTTTTCCCCAACAAAAATCCAACAGCACTAACATTGCGAGGCAGCTGATGCAATTTGAGAATAAGAAATAATACTTAGAAACGCCTGCTCTGCACTTGAATGATGATCCTGCAACCCGTTGGGCACCCATGGGAACCATCTCGGTATGGACCAAAATGGATTTTGGTTTGGACCATAGAACAAGTGTTTTACCAAATGTCCATTTAAGGGATTAATGTGGGAATTAACACTCTGGATTAAACCCATTTATCCAGGGTCTAGGATTGTTTTCAGGATTTATTTAGGGTATACATAAAAATGTAAATGTATAAACAGCCATTTTTTGTTAAAATGTGGTGGAGCATCAGAAAAGGAGCCAAAATCCTTCTCTAACTGAACCTTATACTCCCAGAGCAAAGCAAATGCAAAAACAAGATCTCAATGCTCATTACAGACTCAAGTATTTCTTCTAGACAAGTTTGAGCCTTGTTTCAGATCTTTGAGAAGAAGGCTTATTGCTCAACTAGCCTCAACCCCATCTTTCATCTTTCTACTTTGTCTCATCTGCCGCTCAAGTTGAAATGTTTAAGTGCTATATTTGTGATTCACTGAATAAGTCAGCCAAATTAATTTGTGTTTTACAGAGAGATACAAATGCTTTTTTAAAAAAAATACTAGTTACTTCTTTAAAATATATATATCAGTACCTTACTTTACAGTTACTGCCCAAAGAAAGTAATTAAGTTACATTACTTTGGATTACTTGATTTTTTAAAGTCCTTTGAATAAAGGTCAACTACAAATATCTCCCCACCTGTGATGAGGAGAAGTGTGGGAGCTGTGCTGGAGAGAAGGATGAGGGCTCTATGCAGTGCATCCTGGGTAACTCCAGACACCCTTTGCATGACACCATGGCCGCTCAGAGGAATAATCAAAGCAACAGGCTCCTATCACTACGCTGCTGAACGGAACGTTTAAAGAGATCCTTTGTTCTTTCGGGTGTCAGATTATACAACAAACCTGGATGAGTCTTCTCTGCTGGACACATGAATTTCTCCTACGGGGGATCAATAGAGTATCTATCTATCTATCTATCAAATAAGTTGTTCAAAACTAGCTCAAATGGCAGAACATTAACATGAAAGTAAATTACTGTGTTGTCCATTGACTGTGCTGTCCGATACATCCGCAGTTTGTATCCTGCGTGAAAAGTTTCTGAAAGACGGCGACTCTACAGTAGAAAGGGATAGCATCTCTTCTACAACGTACGCTGCTAAAGTGTACTTATTTCAAGTCTTTGAGGTTTTACCTGATGGCATCATTCGAGTCGGTGTTGTGCTGTTGGAGGCAGGGGCGGCTTCGCTGAGATGTTCTTATAATTAGCTTAATATTTGAATGTAACGCTGCAGGTCTTTTAAAAGATTTGAGGATGCACTCACCAAAGTTTGTTTTTTCTATCTATTTGACTGACTTAGTTAAAATAGTGTGCATATCTTCTCCGCCTCCACCTACTTTGATTTTTGAACAGTGTCCTAATTGAACAAGTAATTCTTCTGGTAAGATTTTTCAAAGAGTATAACTCACCAAGATACACATTGATTTTTAAAGTACTTACTGTATGTACTGCATATACTTATTATGGTGAACATTTTCATCACATAATACGACTTGACCTGATGGAGGGATTAAACAATTCAATCTGTGAATCTGAATCTGAAAAGTTCAAACTTTTGGACATTTCAATTCTCAATGGAAACTGTTGAAAATGGGTCAAGGGAACAGAGCACTAAAGAACCCGAGTGACAACATCTGCAGACTCAATTAGACCGTGTTGTCAGGGAAGCTGTTCTGGATCACTTTAGAGGAGTCCCTCTCCTCTCCACTGGCTTTAGTTGGAGATATTGGTACTGTCCCTGGTGTTAATGGCAAAGTGACAGCACTGTGTTCACAGCTGGTACATCTCTGTACCGGGGTTGTGACCCGTGGGCCAGGTTAATGGGAGCCATGGCACTGAAACAGCAGCAGGACTTTGAAGATAATGGGCAGCGCTGTCTGTAAACCTTTAACACTAACCAACTATGAGGAACTGCACGTGTTGTGTCTCGTTTCATTTTGTTATTTCCTAAAAGTTGTTTAAAGGTGGTGTCTGTAACTTTAGTTGTTATTCATTTTGAAAAAGGGGCCACTTTTTGCTACAGGGAGGGCCTATATAATAAGGGCCACCTTCCTTTTTACTTTCTCCTGCCGTCAAATACTTCCAGGTGTCCCCCTGCTGCTTTGTGTGTTACAGGGAAAACTTACAACAATTCAATTAAAAGTCTCTTTAACATTTAGCAACCAATTTAATGCGTCTTATAATGCCACCAGAGCTCTGCACCCCATCCCTGTAGAAGGGAAGCGCTCATGTCTGCTGTAGTGCACATGTTTACATTCTTGTAAAGTGAGGCTAATCGGCTGTTTGTCTGTAGCCTGTGTTGTGGCCATTTGGTCTGGTCTCCCGCTGTCTTCAGCCTCTGTCAAAAGCACCTTGTCTGCCTCGATGGGCTTTAAGTGGGTTTGTTGTGCCTTGCTCCATCCACTAGCTAGCTCCACAATGCCATTAGGCTAACCTAATATCATAATTATTCTTATTATATGTTCATAGGTTTTGCTTCCGGAGGCGAGCTATGGAGCACCTCAACTACATTGTCCTCTACATGCTCTGTGCTGTATCGGGAACACGCATGTCATAAATCTTACTGATTATGCGAACCTGTTTATTCAAACATGTGGATATCTCCGGAGTTTCTAGTGCTATCAATGTATAATAAAAAGTGGTGATCTTATATAACATATCCTTCATTCATTTTCTACTCAACTCTGTAAACAATGTTATTCTCTTCTCAGTTTCACTTTCCTTTCAGGTGGAGCTGTGCCATGGTATTTTATTTCAATGGGAACGATGTGGCAAGCCTAAAAAATGTCAGTGAGCACAGCTATAGTAGAAATTCATCATAAACTTGTGGTGAATGTAAGGCTTTGTTAAGTGAAGATCAGTAACATTTCAAATGTTATGATGGAGAGAGGTTGTTCATCGGCAAGCAGCAGTTAGACCCGCCCCCACAGCCTCCTGATTGGACATAATGAATTCAAATCCTTGATAGACAGCTGAGGCCCCTCACCAATGGTCTAACTATTCTCCTCCAGCAAATTCTACTGGTGTTGCTTATTCTAAGGAGAGGGACTATGTTAAATGTCTGTTTAATGGACATTTTGTCATATGATAAGAAATATGTATAATTTCCAAAATTCAACACAATTAAAGTTGCAGACATGCACTTTAATGACACCAAAGGCTACAAGAATGCAGTGAAAATTATGACAACCAGGGACATGGGGCTTGATTTCTTGAGTAGAGTTAAATAAATAGGATTATCATTCTAAAACAAAGATGACAAATTAGAACACATTCCACAATTATTTACGCTATTACTTACATACTAACCAGCCTTTTACCAGGCTCACAGGCAGCCTCTTGTTGACGTAGTGGTTGTATGAATGAATGGACGTCCATGGTAAAGTGTGGAGCAGACAGCAGCGGGGGGGCTCCAGGACTCCCGTCGGCTTGGGTTTCAGAAGGGGAGGTCTGCCTCTCAAACCCGGGACAAACCATATTTCACCAGGTCTACCGCCGCAGTCCTGCCCCGCGGATATCACCAGCAGACGCCTAATGATGGAAAATGAATGCTCCAGTGCACCCCGATAAATGCCCCCAGTGACAACACCTCCCAAGTATTTACAGCCGAGCATCAGGATGGACTCCAGAGGGCCTGGCCTGTGTGAAGGGCCACTGGGGTATGAGTAATGATGGCTCTGAGGTAACTTTCAGGCTTGGATTAGAGTTGAGTTAAAGTGTGTCAACGTGCAACTTTGTGTAATCAAGAGTTAACCCAGTCCCAATGCTGCTATTTGCCTTTTTGAGGTTTCCACTTCATCATCATCGTGTTCCATCCTGCACAGGTTGGATGTTACTGCTTTTCAGCCGTTTCGGTTCACAGCTCTTCTATTCCGTTCAGTTCGTTCATTGTTAAATAATATCTGTCCACATTGATAGTCTCTGCCTCTCTCTGAAGTGATCCTCCCTTCTAAAAGGACTTAAATGTGGACTAAATAATCTGTTTTCTTTCATGGATAGTCTTTGAGAGCTCTTAAAGACATATAAGATATATGATACAAGACTCTTGTTTGTCCTCTAATCTCCTTGGTCACTTTGTCCTTTCATGTTCCACTGGGAAAATATTATTAATGCAACACCTTTTCTTAAGAGAGACTGCATTCTTGAGCCAGGTGGCAAGCTGGCTTGGGGTGCACTCAACTTTTACATATTTGTCCTTTCCATGTAGTTTACAATCATTTCGATGTATCTGTAATAGATTGTTGTCAAACTAAATAAACTTAGAAGTGTGAGCAATGATCATTAAGAATGTCAAGCTATCATGACAAGGCAAAGTAATTAGGCACTTAGGCGGGAAGGAAAAATCAAAAGCATGTTAATTAACATTGACAAATAGGTCAGGAAATTTGACTTCAGAAGAAAAAAGCTGCCTGTTGAAAATGTACCAAACTCTAAATTTAGTCCTGTGTGCGTAAAACCCCCGTCAGCAGCAGTATGGGGTGCAGACAGTGAGAGCGGAGGAGGATGGGGAGGGGGGGTCCATCTGTCCACAGTCACTTGATCCTGGGAGTGTGCGGGGCCTGGACTCCTCCCCGACCTTCTGTGCTCTAGAAAACCATGAGAGCAGAAGAAAGCCACCACACACAACAGGCTCCAGACCAGGCTGCACTATGGAGCTCCATGCTTGTCTGGCCCTCACCCTCCTCCTCACCTTACCGTATACCCAGGCCATCCACGGCCTGTACAGCTTCGGACAGCATGACCTCTTCTACAAGAAGAACCACTGCAAGCCCATCCCGACCAACTTACTGCTCTGCCACGACATCGAATACACCGAAATGCGCCTTCCCAATCTGCTGGGGCACGAGACCATGAATGAGGTTCTTCAGCAGGCTTCCTCTTGGATCCCGCTGGTGCAAAAGCAATGCCACCCTGACACCAGAAAGTTCCTCTGCTCCCTGTTCGCGCCGGTGTGCCTGGACGACCTGGACGAGCCCATCCAGCCGTGCAGGTCCCTGTGCGAGAGCGTGAGGAACGGCTGCGCACCCGTCATGTCGGCCTTTGGGTTCCCATGGCCCAAGATGCTGGAGTGTGAACGCTTTCCCCTTGATAATGATTTGTGCATTCCACCTGCCAGCCCTGGGACAGTTGTGCCAGCGACCAAAGAAGGTAGGCAAGAAACAGAAATAAAGACAGAGAGACCTACGCTAACAACACACTAATATTTTATTTGCACTGATACATTTAAATTGTGTTCAAGAATGAAAACAGTCAAAAATAATTATCTTCATACGTTTTTGGAATATGTCAATAACAATATTCAGTCAATAAAATGGCAATCCACCAAAATTCCAAGCGCAGACCTCCGCCAAGAGGCACAGTTCCAATCCTTAAAAACCTTTCTGGTCCACAGTGAACCGGATCACCTTCAGAATTCAATTGTGTAACTGAAAAATTTCCAAGTGTTACTGAATATGTTGTAGAAATAACATATTCTGTTTGATTTGTGTTGCAAACTAACAGACAAACGAACCGTGGTTATAACATAACATGAAACGCTCATGAAGTAGGACGTCCCTGTGAATAAACATACATATTAACTGTCAGTGGTAAAGATGCAGTCAGCTAATGTCCGTGTTCACGTTTAAAAGCTTGTATCAAAGTTGACTGGTTTTCAGTCATGTCATTTAATATATACATTCTAATGGGTATTATATTGCAGTGTAATAAATGTAATTTATTGTAATTAATTGTTTGTTAATCAGCAACATAGCTCAGAAGGTTTTGGAGGAATTAAACAATAATTCAATCTGTGAGTCTCAGAAATGGGACAAGGAACACGATCAAATTTTGTAGGTCATGCTGATCACTGCCTGGATCCAGGATTTTTTTAAAGAATCACTCTTGAAGGAGGTCTGCGCTGTGATTTCTTAGTTCTAAAGAATTCAGACGTGTCTTGCTTGTGGCTGAAGGACAGGTGACCATCATAATCTGTGGTTAGCAGTGTGGCTGTTATAAGAAACTCAACATAAACTGAATGAAATGTGAGATTTTCCAATGTATTCAGCTTCTCAATGTTAACAATATTGTTATGTTTACTTCATAGTTCCAAGGGTGTGTGACGCTTGCAAGGAAACAGATGAAAACGATAATGAGATTGTAGACAACCTGTGTAAGAACGACTTTGGTGAGTACAAGACAATACTATTACTTCTTTAAATGCAAGAACTTTTCTATTGCTACACAATGTAGATTATTGTTCACTCGATCTAGGCCAGGTGTCTCCAACTTTTTTCGATTGGGGAGCTATTCTTACACTGAAATGGCAGAGAGCTATTCTTTTTTGCAGTCATGATTAAACTGTACTCTATGTAATTACTGAAAAAATCATGGACACTAAAGTAAAATATGAATGTATAACTCTACAGTAGTGAACGTAAAAAAAACATTAAATGACTCCAAATGTAATCATTTAGACACGTGTCAGCCCCCCAAATCCTTTGGGTAGCTACCTGAAATGGGGTGGCGAGCTACTCGGAGCTCCTGAGCCATAGTTTGCTCTAGAGTCTAGACAAATTGTATTGAGTTTTATTACAAAGTAAATTGCTGTTACTTTGTGTAACTATAGTTCTATGAGTGTGTGCAAGCCCCCTTAGCTTTGTTAAGTGTAATTTGCGCATTCAAAAAATGGGTTTAGACAGATTTATTGAATCAACAAAGTTTGGCTCATATTATTGTTTTTATTTTTTTTTTGCAATATTGCACATGAAATGTCATTGGGAAAGGCATGGGCATAACTGACCTCCTTCTCTCGTCAGCTCTTAAGATCAAAGTGAAAGAAATCTCCTACATAAACGGCGACACCAAGATCGTCCCCGAGACCAAGAGCCGAACCATCTACAAAATGAACGGCGTGACGGAGCGTGACCTACGTAAGACTGTGCTGTGGCTGCGCGACGGCCTTCAGTGCATCTGTGAGGAAATGAACGACATCAACGCCGCCTACCTGGTCATGGGCCAGAAGATGGACGGACACCTGGTCATCACCTCGCTCAAGCGCTGGCAGAAAGGGCAGCGCGAGTTCAAGAGGATCTCCCGCAGCATCCGTAAACTGCAGTGCTGACCGCAGCGAGGAGGTGGAGTCAGGAGGATAGTGAGGGGGACAGAGAAGAGATTATATTCACATTTCAGACATACTTGACCACTGTTGGGACGGATCAATGATGTATGGGTCAAAGAGGTACTGCTTTGCAAAAGGGTGACGAAAAAAGTTGGTTGGTAAATACTTGGGCTGTTGTCGAATTGTCAACTAAAAGGTGGGCGTGCAAAATGCTCTAAATAAGAAAATATGATCATATAGCTGAACCAGACTGTAATTTAGGAATACAATCACTGAATTATTTAGCAACTAGAAAAGCACTCGTAGAATGTAGACCTAGAGATGCAATGACATTTCTTAAAAAAAAATCCTGAAGACATCGATTTGGATCATCTCTAAATTGTATCAGTAGTTCACTGGACCATGGCGTATGTTTTGTCCAAATCCTCCAAAAATGTTTTAGGTATGTTGCTCACAAACAAACAAACAAACAAACAGACGGACAAACACAGGTGATCACATTACCTACTCAGCAGAGGTTATGATCAATGATTCAGGTCCAATACCAATATCTTCTGCTTTTTTCTCAATACCTTGGCATTTTTATAACCTGGCAAAAGCCAGATTAATGATTGTGTAGGACTCAAATGAGTTCTCGTGTGTTTGTGAACTCACAAATACTGTGAGAATTCAGCTTGCAAGCAAGGTCAGCATTTTTGTAGTTTTCATATAAATAAAACTAAGTTGACAACAAAAAAATTTGGTTAATCACGGAAACATTGACCGATTAATTGACGAACAATTGACAGCCCTTGTAAATAGTACTTTTAATCAAAAATAAGGTGAAATCATTGTTTTTAAAACCTACTATATAGAGTAGGCATGTATGATGTTTTCTTAGGCGCGATCACACTAGGTGGTCAAATGTACTTGGTTCACCTTAAAAGATCATGAAGAGTTTAATTGCAAAAACAGATCCATGTAGAAAAATAGTCAATAAGTTATACTCCTCTGGCAACAATCTTCAACACGTTTTGTCGTTAGCAATAAATGTGAAAGGAGTGGCTCTTTGAGGGTGAAACTTAATGTGTATGGCACTAAAACAAATGTTTATGCTTAAAACTGTCATTGGGACAGACATACACAGAACCAACCTCCTTCCTTCAGCTGTGTTTTGAAATTTGTGTTATGAAAGTGAAATGACAAAGAAACCAGTGTATACTTCACATAAGTGAAGTAAGTAAAAAATTATACTTATTGTTAGACCATAAGGTAAAATGTAACCCAAAAAATATATCATATAATAGTATGTTTATGCCATATTGCTGAAAATAATATATCATTCCAAAACCAATTTCAGTGTTGATTAATATATTTTTGGATACTTAGCCCTACATCCATAAACAAAGAATAATTAGCTCCAAGTGTGAACGCACCTCAGCCTTATTGTGAAACTGATACCATCTGATTTGAATAGATTCAAGCTATTCCAGTGAAGTTTTATTACAATCCCAAAAGATATTTACTAACCAAAGTAGCAGTCATTGTGCCGGTTCAGTGAAATTGTCTCACAGAACATTGTAAACTTAGACGAGTGACGCTTTGTTCCGTTTCATGTGTAAAAACCTGTTTGTGTGTGTTTTCTATCACATCCTCCTCCATGAGAGATAGCGGGCTATATTCTCTTTCTGCACAACTCTTAAATGACTGTTTCTTGGTCAGAATTTTGTAGGCTTATACTTTTCTACAAGGATATTTTTCTACTCCACTCTTTCATATGTCCATGTTGTGGCTGATTATTGTTGTTATGTTGTGGTTTGTTGATGTAAATGGAACACAAATAATCAAGTGTGAGTTTTATGACCTATTTACTGTGTAAATAATATTATCTCTAATTCTGTGTCAAGTCGAATAAAAATGACAAATGGTTCGTGTTGTTTTATATGGAAATCACTGCACATGCAAAGGCCACTCTAATGACCACATGTACCGTCATTCACTGAACAAGCAGAAGTGGTTGTAAGTAAATGGCGCCACCTAGTGAAAAACGCCTGTCTATGCAGGGTGTCATAGAAAAGCTCTTTTCTAATAACTTTTGACCTTAGTCGTAGCCTCTACCATTTTCACGTACTGGGGTTACAAAGCTTGGATACATTGTTTACTTTTTCATAAAACACATTTTGGTTGTTCCAACAGACCGTAACATTCTGGTGATCATTTTAGAAAACCTTTTACTTTTGGTAGAAGAAAGATTTGTCACTGGTTGGGCGGAGAACTGATTGGTGGAATGAGAGTAGTCCTCCCGTTTACACTTTTCTGTCTGAGAAATCTGATATAAAGATGAGACAGAGGACAAAAATACATTTATTTGAAAACTAGTGATAGAACCACATTTTTAGATGGTGCCATGATGGTGGCTTGAAAGTTAGGTACTCCAGCTTTAACACAGTTAAAGTCCTTTAAAAGAAAAAGAAACATTCTAGTCCAAGAACAATATGAATTTTTATGTAGGTTTGTGGTTTGTTCTATGACAGAAATGGAATGTCTGTCTGTCATGTTGTATAAGGTCTGTGATCTCTGTGGGAAAACCTGACTCAATGAAGTCGGTGAGAATGAGGCCAAACACGGTAAATATAGAGCGCCGGGAAATCACATTCTGAAATTGAAACCAAAAGGTGCATGTTGTGGCTGTATTCAAATTTCTGAAATAGACGTTCTTCTAAATGTATAACTTTACAGGACTTTCTTCTGTTATAATAACTTAATAACTGATGTACATAGTAACACAAGTCACAACTGTAATGGGAGGACCATCGTTTGTTCTCACGCAAATAAAATCAAAGCTATCAATATTTATGAGACACAAGAGAAAAGGCCAGCGTATGAACCATTATGTTTGGAATCGTTAGCTAGCTTTATATATATAGCAAGTGGTATACCCACCACACCAGACAAGACTCAATGTGTCGGGTGTGCAAAGGAAGACCTGAGATGATCTAACACATGCTGGCAGGGAAGGCCTACATGGAACGCCATAACCAAGTGGCTGGAAACCCCAAGGTCTAAGTGGGAAACTCCTCCAAAGGTGGTGGAGAAAAAGACCGACCGAATGGTAATGGCGAACCAACCTGACATCGTGGTGCCTGACAAGGGCAGAAGAAAGCCCTGGTGGTGGACGTGGCAATTCCAAGCGATGGCAACATCAGGAAAAACACGAAAAGCTTGAGAAATACCAAGGTCTCAGAGAGGAGCTGGAGAGGGCCTGGAGGGTAAAGGTGACAGTAGTGCCCGTGGTGATCGGTGCACTCGGGGCAGTGACCCCGAAGCTAGAAGAGGGGTTACAGCGAAAATCCAGAAGTCCAGAAATGTGCAGTGCAAGGAACAGCAAAGATACTGCGCAGAACCCTCAAGCTCCCAGGCCTCTGGTAGAGGACCCGAGCTTAGAGGGATAACCGCCCGCGGAGGGCCAAAGGTGTGTGTTTTTTAATATATATATATATATTTATATATACACATACCATCCATCCATCCATCCATTTTCTTCCGCTTCATCCGTTGCCGGGTCGCGGGGGCAGCAGTCTAAGCAGAGACGCCCAGACTTCCCTATCCACACACACTTCCTCCAGCTCGTCCGGGGGGACTCCAAGGCGTTCCCAGGCCAGCTGAGAGACATAGTCTCTCCAGCGTGTCCTGGGTCTTCCCCGGGGCCTCCTCCCGGTGGGACGTGCCCGGAACACCTCCCCAGGGAGGCGTCCAGGAGGCATCCGGAACAGATGCCCGAGCCACCTCAACTGGTTCCTCTCGACGTGGAGTAGCAGCGGCTCTACTCCGAGCTCCTCCCGTGTGACTGAGCTCCTCACCCTATCTCTAAGGGAGCGCCCAGCCACTCTGCGGAGGAAGCTCATTTCGACCGCTTGTATCCGCGATCTTGTTCTTTCGGTCATTACCCAAAGCTCATGACCATAGGTGAGGGAGGGAACGAAGATTGACCGGTAAATTGAGAGCTTTGCCTTTCGGCTCAGCTCCCTCTTCACCACAACGGTCCGATACAGCGACCGCATCACTGCGCACGCTGCACCGATCCGCCTGTCAATCTCACGCTCCATCCTTCCCTCACTCGTGAACAAGACCCCGAGATACTTGAACTCCTCCACTTGAGGAAGGGCCTCTCCACCCACCTGAAGAGGGCAGGGCACCTTTTTCCGGTCGAGCACCATGGCCTCAGATTTGGAGGTGCTGATTCTCATCCACATACTGTATATTTAATATATTATACTGTATACATTATACATTATACATGCACACTGCTAACACAATATATAAGTAAAAGAATACCGCTAGTTTCGCGTCAGAATGTACTAATTTAAACATTAGAATATATTTGAATATTTAATTATAATTTATTATACAGCTTCTCACAGCAGCAGTAGAACATTCCATTGACTTGAATGTAATTCTACCAATAATTTTTCTTGATAACAGAACTCTCAAACCAATAATGACCGCTGCCCTTTGGCAATGCAATCTCTGTTTGTAATTCAGGTGTGTAAAATACTAACATTACTCCGCAAGTACAATGAGCTTTCGACGCCTGTCACTACTTCTGTCTGTGCAGAATAAACAAATACCAATTAATCAATCAACACCTTTAAATGGTAATCGGAGAAGACATTTTACACATACATCCTTAACACACATGCACGGAAGTTTTCAGAATTTGTTGTTAACATTTTCATCACAAAAATACTGTTTTAATGTGACAGAAAGCGATCGCGATCTACCCGGAAGTAACCATTAACATGAAACAAACATTTTAGGACACATTTGAGGAGGATCTGATGGATTTAGGTTCGGTATATAAATGGATAACTCACCACTGATGTTCAGAATTCTTTTTTCAGTTTTCATGTAGTTCCAGAGAGTTTTTGAACTAGCTAGCTTAGCTGTTAGCCGCCTAGCACGTCCCGCTGAAACCTTTGGGAGCTAACTATTTTATTTGCAGTCATTAAATTCATTTCGAATTATAAGGGCTGTCTAATATTTGTTCAAATATATATATTTATTATATGACTTGGATCGTTCGGGCGCTCTGATTGGCTGATTTGCGGTCTGATTTTTTCCCATCTCGGACCGTTACCGTCATGGTAACGGTCCGCAGCGCATATCAAATTATATCTTTCCTCGCTAAAAAAGAAATAATGAGCAACGAATGGGAGCATTCTCCAGTGAATTCTATTATCCGGACGAGTTCGAAGACCCAGAGGAAGTAATAACAGCAAAAAAACAACGAAAACACAACTCCAACAGTCAAGAAGAGATTGAGAACTTCGTTACAGACCAGAAAGGTAAAAACATGATTAGGAAAACCAAGTCGGACATGAACATAATTCACAAATATGTAAAAAGTATTGGTAAAGACACAGAAGAGATTGAGAACTCACCAGCGGGCGACCCCAATCATCTGATAAGCAAGTTCTTCATGTCACGATTTGACAGTTTGGTTGCATGTGTTTTTGCTAGTAGAAACGGTTCGAAATTTGCAAAAATTAAAAATAGTCATATAATAAAACATTTGTTAACCTTGCTTGCTCGGTCTGTACAGAGAAATATCAGACCTTGGTCTTTTTGCACAGACCTCGCCACGACTCGGTCTGTACATCAAGGCCGCGGTCTGATATTTCTCTGTACAGACCTCGCACTCGTTTAATAAACCGTTAATATATTTTTGTACATTTTAGAATTATATTTGAATTTCGAAGTCAAAGCCCTAGTGTTTACCACCAGCGCTGTAGAGGCTAGAGGACGCAGGCTGTTCACTCCTCGCTCCGTGAGTGGAGGAGAACGAGCGTCCCGCTAAGTCTCTACTCAGCACTTTTCATGGCCTGAATTCATACACAAGCTGAATGAATGAGCTCAAGTTTACGGATTATAATACAACTTGTATGTAGTAACAAGCATTTTTTTGAACTACTTATTCCAAAAAAATCGGGTATAGCAGCATAACCCTAACCCTTTAATAATCATTATCGGATATGGGTGTGAAATTCTCGTATGGTGACAGTGCGCCTTTCCAACCTCATTCATTCTTCATTCTTGTATGACTCACGTGTTCCCAGCGCTGTGACTAGTTTTCATTCATAGTTCAGGTCCAAATCATTCCGGGACATTTCTCTTCTGTCATGCTGCAGCTTTACTATATATGGAACTCCCCCTCAGACAGCAGTGCCTGGAACCAACAAAATCAATTCACAAAATCACAATTAAGCAACAAAAATGTCAATGTTGGTCAATTTTTACAGCCACAAATGTTTCCCCAAATTTCAGAAAGCAGAAATATCCGTTTGGTCATTTTATGAATCATTCACTTACAACAGAACACGAAGACATTATGGTCTGGCCATAAACGTGCAATCCAACAAGTGACTGTGAGTGACATCATGTTGCCTTCATGAGAGTGGGAAAAGTCCACGCTGTAAGGATATGGACAGACAAGTGAACAGGGGAAATCATAATGACAATGCAAATGCAGCACAAGAGAGCGGAACTGTGGACAATGCCCTGTGTTGTTTGGAACATTGCGGGAACATAAGGTACTTCTTGAATGGCATGACTTTGCACATTTTGTATTTGACTTCCGTGCCAGGCATTACCAAACTATGAGGCTGGAGAAGTAACTGCAACCAAATTAATTGAAACATGAAAACATTAGGTTATTGCCTATTTCAATACATTATAATTTCTTCAAGTTTACCAAATAAAGATATGTCACTTTCTTTGCTATTTGTCATATATTGAACCTTACATTTCTGGTATATTTCGTTTACATTGGTGTTACAATATATTTGTGCGTGCATGCATAATAGATTGCATTGAATTGGATTGGAATTGTATAAGCAGATTGGCTGAGTGAGGGTGGTCCTCAATACATGCACGTAAGAATCAGTGATAGAACCAAACGGTTTAAGAGCCGGGAACTATGGTGAAGTAGAATTGATTACAAAGTTAGGTTTTTGTGGTTTCAAAATTCGGTACTCCAGCTTAAGTAAGTAAATTGTATTTATGCACAAAAAAACATAGACAGAATAATATGCTTGTGCAGCGCAATCATTAAAGTCCCGGTCCAATCTTGCAAGTACAAAAAACAAAAAAAGATTGATGCAAATTCTGGGGCGGGTGCGTTTTTTACGACGCCCTTGAAAGCAGCGCGGAGGTTTCGCTTTGAGAGTTGGCAACAAAGGCTCTGGTTCCAAAATTATTGTTTGGTGTTTTCAACCTATGGGGCGCTTCTGCCAACTGCAGACTTACAAATGAGCGAGTGTGTCAATCATAAGAGGCTTAAAGAGCGTTTGAGCTCCAATGGCGTCTGTCTGAAAGCAGTTAGTTTGACGAGGTTGAAAAAGTCCGCGGGGAAGTTCCCTAGGAAATCCCCTACGCGCTCTACTGGGGGATATTATTCGCCTGTGACTGCGCGTTCTAACCTTTCCCTCGGTCATAAGTCACAAGACAAGGCGTCAAAGCGGGGCTGGTTACAAGAAAAAATAAATAACTGACATAGCATTGAGCAAATTGAAGTTGAACCATGGATGCGGATGAGAGCGAGGCGACGCAGAGCAGAGCGCGGAGCTACGACACGTTAAACACCTTGTACCATGAGACGCGACAGGAGCTCCAGCTGCTGAACCAACAGCTTCACGCAAAGGATGGAATCATATGCGACCTGAAGGCGAGGCTGGCCCGCTACGAGAGGACCTATATGACGGTGGGCGACAACGAGCCGGTGGTCCTGGGCCCGTCCATGTCGCTGCTGGAGAGCCTTTGCAAAGAAATATGCAAACACAAGCACGAGAGGGACGAGATGGAGCAGAAGGCTACGCGGCAGCAAGAGGTACAGTCTATGGTACAGACATGTGGAGTTGTTTCTGATGAGTAGGGGCGAGGAGGCGAGAAGCGTGTGCGTAAAAGTGCACAATTGTGCCGCGCGTAAATTGGAGACGCGCGGGTGGTGCTGGCTGGCGCTTGTTCAACCCACGTATCACAAATGTTTCTTTGCATTGGGGGCTACGCTAGAAAATGTTTATTATTGACAAAAAAACATTCATCAAATTGCACAATCAGGTTAAAGGTGTAGTGCCACATCTTGTTTGTTGCCATGGAGATGTTAAATAATAATGGCGATTAATAATAATGATGCAATGGTTTATATCTGACTTTTTTTGGAAACTCAAAGACGTTTCGCATGGCATTATTCATTCACTACACGCCTGTAAATGAACTACGACTATAGCTACGGTGTTTGCCACTTTACAGCCGCAGCTGCGCCACTGTGGGACCTGGTGTTCCCAGAGGCCTCCTATCACAGTACTAACCAGGCCCTGCCCTGCTTTGATTCAGAGGTGTGTCTCTTTCATATGCAGGTGGCACCATATAATTTATTTGCTCAATATTTGGGCTGTAATAACTTTTTAATGGCAACAAATTGATTATTGAAAGACATAGCAGAGTTAACCAATTAGTAAATAATCTTTAAAGAATATCTTGAGCAAACGATAAACATGGAAAGCATTGCACCAAGACCGAGCAATCACTCATCAAACAACTTCTTATATTTGATTGTGCATATTTCCCCACAGTATACAGATATAGCAACATAATTCAAATGGTTTTATCTTTGAGTTTGACAGTTCAAAGTTGGGGCTAGAATGGTCAGCTTTTGTGTCTTTGGGCAAGGGAGGACAAAAAGTGCAGCTGGCTGTGCAAATACTCATTTTAAATAACAACTGTGATGGAAAAGGAAAACATTTAAACTTGTCATTTTGATTCCAAATATAGATTATAGGGTTTGTTTTCCTCATTTGGCTCCAAGTGTTTTCTTTTCTTTTTGATTCCATCTTTTAAACATAGTTAGGGAAGTTGAAGGAATTTGCTCTTGAAGAAATTGTAAGAACCAAAAAAAACAATGTTTTTTAGGAGCTGATTAATTTTTTAATCTATTTCTTTGCAATTGTTTTGTATGTTTGTTTATATTCCATTAACATGTTTATGCCTGTATTTGGATTTCATGTTCAACACAAAAAAATGACTGCAAATACATCAACGCTGAAAGTATTTTAGAACTAATGGACTTACATTTGACATTTTTGCAGTGTAGTAGCAGCATTGGAGCATTTTCACTATTTGCATTAGAGAATAATCGTTAAATTATTGTGTTTGATTTCACAATAATTATAGCTCTGAAATTTTTGAAATTGCGACACCCGTAAGGGGTCAATATTAAGATGTTTCCCGTCCAGCTGTAAAACCAAAATATTTTTAGTTTTTACACCTGAAAAACAAAAACAAAAAAATATTGCAACAGGAATGTTCCTTTAAATGCAGTTAGTAGTTATTCAAAGTTCTAACAACAAGAAAGAAAGAAAAAACTTAAAAAATATATTGCATGATTGCTAATATCGCATTGGGCGTTTGCACATTTCAAACAAAACTCCAAGCACTCTTATCTGTTTTGGTTATGGCCGATCTCGCACGCACATCGAGTGATCACACAGGAACTAAGACAGCAGATAAGAGAAAATATTCCCTTCAGACCAAAGACAGAAGTCCAAAGATAGAGCTGTTGCTACTCTGTACGAGAAAAAAACAGCTTGAATCTGTTTTACAACCGAATTTCCAGAAAGTCACCAATGTTTTGTAGTTGCATGGACGTGGGAATTCTCAGCAAAAATATCGGGAAAAAATTGCAATGTTCAACGAATTGATTTAGAATATACAGATTTTATTCTAATGTTAAAATAACTGTAGAAAATCTGATTAAGGCATATGTAAGTTATATGTATGTTTTACAGATGTGATGGTAGAGAAAAACAGTAGATCTACAGGACATACATAATCAACTCGATTTGTTACAGTGGTAGAAGCTCGGCATTACGTACAATAGTGTACTGGTCAAAGTATCTATTGTGTGCGGAATGTTAAAGCCTGAAGTACCTCATATTCAAAGCAAATATAGAAGTTTGTAATAAAATCCATCTAACTAGTTCCTCATTCTCAAAACAGTTTGGTTCCAATTGACACAGAACCAGTTTTTAGCACCTAACAGCCACAGCCGGCCCACTGTGGCAACCCGGCCCTGCCCTGTTCAGCGTCTGAGGTGTGACAGGACTAGGCTTCCATATGCAGGCAGCAACACAAGAGACATATTTGAAGTGTGTTAAGGTGACTGTGTGCAGGTTTAGTCTGTTATGGTCATAGCACTACCCATGCACATATGTTGGTTAATATGATCAAAAGCCATATAAGTTCCTTCAATGGACTTTTGTGACACAATCTGAAATGAATCTCTGTATAAAGAAATCATAAATGTGAGGGTTAACAACTGAATTCCAGAGCTTTACAACCAGGTAAAGCATGACTGTACTGGTGGAGCTGAGGTTGGCTGGATGATACCGTGAATGTACCTCAATGGTTACTTTATCGACCAATGTGTTTTTAGACTGTATTATTTAGCCATCTTTAAATCAGCTTTTTCAAACTGAAAAATAAAATAAAAGGAACACCCTCCTAGTCCAATGCGGCACACACTCAGAGAGCACACAAAATATACAACATTAGTAGCTAGTATGCTTCCTAGCAAGCTGTATATACCTCATAAGAGCAGCAAGTAAATATAAATATATCTATCTATACATACATACATTTTCTAATAAGAAGACGGTCTGAATTGTTCACAGCATTTAACTTTTATAAAACTCTAAATGACTCTTTGAATGATCTTCCCTTTGTATTGAAACTGTTTTAGTCGATCGATTTCAGTGTCAATTGTTTACTGTTTTGTTTCTGTACTTTTAACCTTGTTTTATTTATATACTAGTCTTGTGCACACTGCAGACTTTTGCAAATGTATTCCAATGTGGTTTTACTGCAAATGGCAAATAAATGAATCTGATCTGAACTCTTTCTGTTGCAACACACAGAATCTATTACTTAGGAAACAGAAATGTAACTGTTCGACGTTGGTGTTGCAGGAGATCCAGACCCTGGCGTCGGCGCTGCAGGAGAAGGACAAAGAGCTGCAGAGGCTGCGGGGCGAGCCGGGCCACGAGAAGGACGCAGAGCTGGACCGGCTTCGCTCTGCCCTGCTGCAGACGGAGCGGTCCGAGGCCACCAGAGCGGTCCTGTGCACCTCCCTGGCAGAGGAGGCCGAGCAGCTGAGGGGGCAGCTCTCCGCCACCGTGCGAGTGTGCAAGGAGCTGCTGGAGAGACTGGAGGCACAGGGAGCAGAGGAGAACCGGGGGAAGGAGGCGGAGGAGGCACAGGGGGAAGAGGTGTGTGGAACTGATGCTACAGATGTGTGTGTGTGTGTGTGAGGTGATCCTGGCATTTCTAAATATTTATTGGAGATGACAAGAAGGGCAGGTTAATGAGGCAGGCCAGTTTAGGCTGCATTAAAACCACCTCCAGAATTAGATTTGAATAAACAAAACAATGCATTAAGCGATCAGCAAATATATTCACTATTGTACAAAATAATTTCTTGGAAAGATCTACTGCTAAAAATGCGAAACATAATTTAATCAATGGGAATAAAAGTGAAAAAATTCAAGCCAGGCAGGCGCTCTTTGGAAATGTTAATAATAATTAAAATAAAAATAATACAATGATTTTATTTAGTGCTCTTTTGAACACAAAGACATTCCAAAGCAATTTTTCTTTCAACGCATACAAAATGAGACTTGGGTGGCATCTCTGACTGCCACCCCCCTGACCCAGAAATGGATTAAAGGGTAGAAAATGGATGGATGGATGGATACAAAATGGTGATAAAATATTACTGTAGCCACAAAACCAGTTTTTGCCATCTGCCCCTCCGGTCACCACCATCATACAGGCATTCTGTATTTAGACTGGCTTATTAAATGCTGAATTAAGTTATTATGTTTAATTGAGAACATTTCCACTGCATTTACTAATCTACCAATGATTTAATAATGGAACAAGCCCTACTTATGAATTGGAATTAGAGAAAAATGCAATCGAGATCTGTCAAATCTACTCAAAATAAGACAATTGTCCCTAATTTCTGCCCTTTCATCTTGTTATAAAGAAAAAGTTTAGTTTAAAAATACTTACGTAATCACATCTTTTGAGATCAGGAAAAGCTCAGCAAAACACTGTAACAATGGATTAATTATAGTATTATTATAATATTTAACATTGTCTTGTTCCTGGAGTGTTGTGAGCGCTTCAAATGAATGTCTTGAAGATATTCTGTCTCGTCTCATACCTACTAAATATGTGTGCTAAAAATATTTATATGTTTTCTTAGAATAACAGTGGAATAATGGAAGACAGATACAAAAACAAGTATTGTAGATAGAAATGGTGGATTTTTAATGGATTACCTACATTTGTGACTCGGCATCCGACACTCGAACGTTTTAATGCTCTGTTGTATGAACCATTTGTGTCAAAACGCTTATTGATGATTAGAAAACCCTAGTGTAAATAGCACATGTAGTCCATACACAGATGCGGGAGGATCAATCCAGTTTTTTCTCGAAGAACTATTAATAGTATTTCTCGTGCATGTTTTATGATAACACTTCGTTTTTCTGTTTATTAAAACCTCATCCTATATATATATACACACATTCTAAAGGATTTTGGACAGATGTGTAAATACTGTATTTTAGGGCAACATGCACAAGTAGATTTTTTAACGTTTTTAATGCTTTGCCTGCAGAAATTGGACGCCACTAAAGTGATGGAAAGACTGCAGAGAGAGAACCTACAGCTCAAGCAGCGCGTGGCTTATGTGAGCAAACCATTTGTTTTATCGTTATGTTACTGCTAATTTAAATATATCTGTATCAATTTTAACAACACAGCAACCAAATCTAACAAAAACATTCACCATCATCATTTGCTAAATAGGTTTGATTTTTAGGTAGTAAAAATACTACTAATACTTACAATAATCACATTACATCATTTGTCTCCAAAGAGCGTAGTTGCCGGTAAACTATTCACTGTTCTTTCACTTTTTAAAAAAAGTACGTTTTTTACTGTCATAGAAAGAGGAAGGCATTCAAACATGTTTGGCTGAAAAGCACTGATGAAATTCCCCCTTCACTCATCGACCATTAACTAAACGCAGATTCAGATCTTTAAACTTCAACGTTTTATTCTTGTATTTCAAATGTTTGTACAATTTATCTCTAATTTTCAACATATATCTTTAGTAACTATTGAAATATGGAACCAGTAGGCTTTAATCTAGCCCTAATCAACACAATAAATGTTCATTTTCTTTTTTTTATCTATTGAAGTCCAAGTTGCATCCAAACAAAAAAAATACAATATAACTTTGACAAAATTGAATCAAATCTTGAGCAAACTTCATGTGTTATTATGAAGCTGAAAATTGTTGCTAAATAGATGTATTGGGATGAAATATAATATTGAAATATTGAAATGCAATGACACTCATACTGTAAGCAAATATTATTATTAATCTGTATTTTAAACAAAACAAAAAATTGGTCCGTTGAAAAATAAGACATGTATTAGTGGTAATCCAGGAACATTAGTTTGATTGGATATTGGTTCTATGAAATATGATCATCTGATGTTCTAATTTGGCCTTTCAATTGTGTTGCAACTATTTACTGTCTGATATTAATCCAGGACGTCGAGGTTTGACTTTTAACAACAAAAACTTGCAAATGCAAATGCAAATGCTCAGCTCATTAGTCTACAGCCCCTCTCACTCAAATAACACATAATGTCCAAACTGGGTCAGAACTTCTTCATAAAGGTGACTTGTTGGGTTGTTTGATTGAATATACTTCATCAACAGAATCATAAAACGTCTCCTCAGCATGTTTAAGTCTATGGTTAAAAAAAATTATGAATGGATTAACTAGTCACAGCCCTATTCTGAAGTAGTAAGATCCAACACAACTATTGTTATAGGGCTTGGTCTAAACACACAGGATAGACAATTAGCTATAACCACACTCACTACAGTGTTTGTGTGTGTGTGCGTGTGTGTGTGCGTGTGTGTGTGCGTGAAGACCCCGAGGAAGAATAGCCACTGCAGCTCACTGGCTAATGGGGATCTCATTAAAATAAATTAAATGCAGCTACGAGAATAAAATGAAACACACTCTGACTTGACAGTGGTCTTGTGTCTACAGGTGCAGAGGCTGAACTCGCAGTGGCAGAAGTACGACTCGAGCAGAGAGGAGTACATCCGGGGCCTGTGCCAGCGCCTGAAGGAGGGCCCCAGCTCCTGTCCCGTCCCCGCCAGCTCCTCCATGCTGCACCAGGAGATCGCTCGCCTCAACGGCCTTCTCGAGGACAAACTCCGAGAGAGCGCAAGACTGAGCCGGGACCTGGAAGACGCAAAGAGACACGGCAGAGAGCGTGTGCAGATGTTAGAGCAGCAGGTAGGAGCGTTCAGGGGGATTCAATAAAATATGTTTTTAAAAAAAGACATTGAAAAAGTATGTTGAGTGTAATGTTATGTTTGGTGTTTTTTGGGTGCCCAGGTGTTGATCTACGAGGAGGACTTTAAATCGGAGCGAAGAGACCGGGAGAGAGCACAAGGAAAGCTGCAGGAGATGAAGGAGCAAGTCCGGCAGCTAAAGCAACAGCTGCACAAACAGGTGGGCTTTAGTTTCAAAGTAACTCATACAAGCTCTCATTACAAACGTACTGCAGTAGGATTGTCATGAACCAATGGATTTGCAGCCTCCGCTACCAATGCACCGTCTGATTTTGGACCAATTTTCATCAGATTCAAAATTATTCAAACAATTTTGGTCAGATTCCCATCCTATTTTTTCCATTTTGGTCTGATTTGATATATTCTTTGGATGGATAGATACTTTATTGATCTCCTAAAATATAGAAACTTGTATCTACTCAAACTGCCTCCTCGATTGGTGGTCGTGTAACTTTTAAAACATTTTATTGCATGCAGCAAACAAGAAATATTTTAAATTATAGACCAGAGCAACAACTTTCCTTTTGCTCACATTTCTCCAATTTCAGAGCTTCAAGAGGGTATGATAATGTTGATTAGAGCACTAGAAACACATAAGTGAAAATGTCCTTTTACAGAGAATTGAATTCTTATGTGTTTGGGATCAATAATTTTCTGCCAGGCCCTCTTAGGTAGAAGAAAAAACGTTGCACCTCCCTCCTTACATCTTTAGGGAAAAAAGTAAAATATTGACTAACAGGGTTCTTTCTTAATTATGCAATAGACAGCATAAAACTTCTTTTCTGGTTTGAGTTATTAATTTACTTTTGCCCGCGTCGCCCCTGTCATCGCACAACGCTTTCCCAAGGGGGCGGGCACAAAAACGATCTGCTCTTAAGGCGCGTTCAGACCAAAAGCTTCAAAAAGCTTTTGACGCGCTTCAACTGACGCCGGGATAGTTTTGTCCTTTTGGTGCTTGAAGCTTTTGACGCGAGTGACGCGCCTGACGCCGGTGGGAGGAGCTTCTCTGTTGTCTGTAGTCAGAACAGCGGTGGATTTTTCAATGAGCAGCGAGCCTTTATTTGTTATATAAAGCAAAATAACGTTGTTGTAGGGCTTCAACAAAACATGTTCTGGGTTCACCACAGACTTGAGAGGCTGCAGTGTTTGCAGAGTTCCGTCATTTACTCCAGGAGCTGCGTACGGAGGAGTTTCGCTTTCAGCGGTACTTCCGCATGTCACTCGCCCAGTCTGAGTTCTCAAACCCCGGAGCTCGCCTCTCCCTGCCTCTCCCTGCCTCTCCCCGGCTCTCGCTCGCCTCTCCCCGGCTCTCGCTCGCCTCTCCCTGCCTCTCCCTGCCTCTCCCTGCCTCTCCCTGCCTCTCCCCGGCTCTCGCTCGCCTCTCCCTGCCTCTCCCCGGCTCTCGCTCGCCCGGAGCTGCCTTGCTCTGAGCCAGACTCATCGTCAGCCTGTTCTTATTTTAAATAAACTATGTTTACTACACAGCATGTGTACAATGATTTTTGTTACTCAGAATTTTACTACTCATACAAATAATATTACTAATAACAATAATGACAATAAAACAGCAGCAGCAGATACATGACTTCTCTTCATGACAGAGACAGACCCTCTGCTGCTGCTGCTCCTCGTCTCCTGATTGGTTGAAGCCCGCGTCAAAGCTTCAAAAGCTCAGCTTTGCTCAACTTCGGCGTCAAAGGGATTGTTGTGATACGCAAGCGTTTCGCGCGTCAAAAGCTTCAAGTGAGCGCGTAGTACGCGCGAGTCTTGAAGCTTTTGACGCGCGTCAAGTGACGCCGGGGCTCTCGGCTTCACCTGACGCGCTTCACCATTCACTTTCAATGGAAACCTGACGCTTTTGACGCCGAAGTTAAGTCCGGTGTGAACGCCCCTTTACCCATCTGGTGGGAGGAGCATGTTTGCACACTGCAGCTAACCCGCCTTTCCTCTTGTCTTCAGCAGGGGGCAGCAGCGCGGGACAGTGACAGAGACCTCGTTCCTCTGTGCCGCGTTCACATCGGGCACCGGATCGCCCCCAGACGGACCAAAGACTCGGAGCACTTGGCCAGGAACGGGCCGGACAGAAAGCAGCAACAGCAGCAGCCGCCGCCTAGAGCCGCCATAACCCAGAGCTCGGCCTGGAGCGACAGAGCTGACCAGTCCGAGCTCCGCTGCCCTCGGTGCCAGGCCCGGTTCAGCGACACCCAGGCAGCACAGTACTTAGAACACTGGGAAGAGTGTGCCAGGCTATGAGCACAGCTATAATGACAAAGACTTTTTACAAACCTGAGAAAAGTGCAAAGGAACACTAGACCCGGCTTTCATACGTACACACTACACAACGTACAACTATGGGTGGACAAGGACACACATCTGACAATAAGCAAAGATTATTATTCACTATTTCTGAAGAAAAAGAAGTAAAATCAGCCCACAAAGAATTCATTTTTTGTTTTATAAGTCTGTCTTTGCTGAAAAAGAAAAAGTGTATCCATGATCTACAGTAGATAATCGTCCTGCTCTCACTTATGTCTCCATATTTTGATTTTTCAAATTTACAACCAAAACAAAAAATACCCTAAAACTCCCCCTCGAATTTTTCTCGACACTTTTTTAACCACATATTCAAAATCTCCAGCACATTTTGTTGAAAGTATAACGGAAATACGCATTTACAGCTCAATGTTGTGGCTCAAGAGGACTGGCAATTCCATAATCAAAAGGTGGAGCACGGACCAAACGAGGCGCTATCTGGTGACAAGGCATGTCAATTTTGAAAAGAGTTTTACCAGCTCAGATGACAAAAAAAATACAAAAATACGAAAACTGTACTTATTGTGTTTCTTGGGAGGAGGTCTGGAAGATGGATGTATGGTATGGATGAATAAGAAAGGAGGAAGAAGCACAAGTGAAACCAATCATATTTTAAGTACTTTTGAAAGATATTCTAACTTTCAGATTTCAGGGTATAAAAGTCTTTTGACCACTGCCTGTCGAGCAGAGGCAAAGCCAGCTCCCACTTGTCTTAGATTATATTCATTTGTTCAAACAGACCGTCTTATAACCTACATTTAACAGATATAACAGCTATAGCTAGAGGTTTGAAGAACTAGTTGTAGAGTCCACCCTGCTGATTCTATTTACGTGGAGGCGGTTGCTGTCGACGTGTGTTTCAAATGTTCTTTTTTAGATAAAATAGTTAGTACATAATATAGAAACCCCCTTCTACACGGTGGGGAAGTGGATTTGAAAGCAATATACCAAATGTCATATACCTCATTGTTTCCTATTGCAACACTTGCACTTTTACTGACATTCAGCCGTTGTTTTGACTCAAGTGCATATGGTAGGCGTTCATTCATGCCTTTTTACTTTTTGTTAAAGTACTAAAGCATCAATGTAAAAAAAAAAAAAAAAGTGGCAGTTTGTAAGAAGCATCACAAAGAGCAATATTTAAGAAAACATAGGTCACATAGATTTCCTATTTTATAATGTTTGTGAATTCTTGCTAACATTAATGTAGTCTTGCCTGTCAAATGCACAAATCTATGTATTGTGGTGCTATACAAATATTATAATTACTTCTGTAAATTATTTATATTTTCATAACAGAATATATGTAAGTATTGTGATTAATATTTATTTGCTTGTACTAAAATAGTAACTTTATTAGTGATTGTTTACTCCTCTTTCCAAAGCCATATATTATGTCAAGATTGTCTTTATAACTGGAATAGAAATGTTTTATAAATATGTTAAGTTTGGGGTGGTATATATATTTTTGTAATAAAATACTTTTCACTTAAAAGTTTGTTGTGTTTGTAGTTTTGTGGTATTAAACACTTTTAATTAATCTTTTTTTTTTTTTTAAACAGGCATCTGTTTCCAAAAACATCCAAATTATTGACATTTCTGGATTAAGTAGATGACCAAACACTACATTTGGTGTTTAACATAAATCATAACTCTCTCCCTGATTATAATAAAAACTAGTCTTCGGACGCAGAGGCCAAAGGGCTGCAACGTGCAAAATAATGTGGAAAAAGGCGTAGCTCAAAATAAGTTTATACTTTCACCCCTTTTCAAAACATGTTTTAAATTCCTATAGATTCAAACTTGTTTTGGAGCCATTTTTATCTTGTGCATGCATTTTTGAAATTATTACATAAAAAAGACATAAAATGCTAATTTCAAATTAAACATAATATATTTTGAACAGAATATATTATCATCATCTTTCTCATTAATCATTTCTGAAGCATGATTTCAATAAATACAGTTTTTGCTCTTCTTTCGCCCACCTCTTGGACCCCCACAGTGGAAAACCCCGGATGGTACAGCCTGGAGGGGCCCCTGCTCCCCCAGACACACACACACATTCTCAGCTGTCCTCCAGAGGAGAGGAGCAGACAAATGTTTGTTTTCTTAAAATGTTACTCCAACTGTCCTATCAAACTGCGAGTGAGTAAAGTATCTTGAAAACAAGGTACTGGTCACATGATAACCCACCCCCACTGTGCCTGACAGGCCCAAAAATACATCTGAGTTTAGTGTTAGAAGATCATCACTTCTCCTTTTTATCCACCTCCACATCACAGGAATGGAAGTTAATTTGGCATCAAGAAAATTGCACAAGTGCAAGTGGAGAGTGAAGGGGTAACTGAACCTCATGGATTTACTTTAACATATGACTATATATAGAAGTATAATGAAAACTTGATACTTTTGTATGTTTTCACAGAGAATATGAACGGACTGGATTTACAATGGGAGTTCAGTTCAAATGAAACACTTTGTTTCTACGGTAGGTGTATTCCACTGTTGTCTGAAATAGGTCAAGTATCATCACTAGATTGCTAACTATTACATTCTCATGGTTTCCAGGGAGTGTTTGCATATCACAGTGTGCCCAGCAATCACCGCTTCCTTTTAAGCTTTGAAACTTCGTTCTGGCCTAACCCCAGATGCACACCCTTGCACTGGGGATAGTCCCTGTGTGCATTCACCCTGTGGGGTAGAGTGGAACAAAGAGGTCACCCCCCCCCCCCCTCCCTCCTGACCATGGGACTTGGGACAACAAATCATAAGTTACCATGTGACCTTACTTGACAAGTTTCTTTATGCTTCGAAGAGCAAAAGGTTTGAGCTAAAAGGTACAAATCGAAATGGTGAGCCCATTTGGGCCTTTAATCTGCTGTGTATCCACAAAAATGGGAATTTCCTGCCTTCCAGTGGGAAGTCCCGTAAGCAAAGATAATAGTTGTTTGAAAGTGGAGTGCTGTTTACTTCCCAAGAAGACTTCCATGTGCAGTTTGTGTGGAGATAATGCTGAGTGACTGAAAGAGCAGCATTAATGATGTGAAGGGGAAGAACAGACAGGAGACTGTCGCTTTAAGAGGGAATTCCCTTTATGGAAGTTCTATTATTGCTCAGCCTCTGGAGCCAGACCCTCTAAGTGTCTGGAGGCCCCTGCAGAGGACCTACAGTAGACCAGGGAGTGTCTGGAGGCCCCTGCTGACTCTTGCAGAGGACCCGCACAGGCTACTGTGATAGGAACCCACATCACAGGACTCATAAGGTGATGAGAAAAGGAATAATAGAGGCCAACTAACATGACAAAGGCAATCTAAAGGCTGGAGCAGATTTAGGGGGGGGACTTCTCTCAGCTCCGGGGAATCCCAAGATGTTATAAAAATGGCAGATGGAACTAAAAAGATTAGGAGGAAGAAACTAAACAAAGACAGTACGCCCTCTTCTTTCAAAGAATACTTAACCTACACAAATCCACTTCCACAATAAATACATTTATACCTCAAAGACAAACATTTGAGTTTTGTGTAATTTTCCCAAAGATTGCAGCAGATAGTGATGGTCATTATTTGTCCTCATTTTCCCAACACACACACAGACAGTAAACATTTCCTATCAAATCATTTAACTGGCATTTTCAATGTGCATTTCACTATATTGATTTAAAAAGATCAGCATAATGAGCAGACTCCAGTCTCTTCTGTTGACTAAAGGCAGACACAACTTGAGCTGAGTAACTTTTAAACCCCAGATGATGCAACTGTATTGTAATAAAATCTATGTAACTAGGTCCTCTCAAAACACGTCACTATCACTAGTTCTCACATGCATGCATTTTTGGCTTCTTTCACATCTAGCAAGTATAGTGACTCACAGCGCTCTTTCTCTTCGAATGTCTAATAAAGCGGTCTGAGCTAACATTTCTCAAGGTCTTATCTATGTCTAGTACATTTTATATATAAATATTCAGCTGCTTCTAAACTTATATCAAATTGGTGTATCATTAAAATACAACATCTACATGAATGCTTTGAGATTCCAAAAGTGGTGTCAAAACTAAGCACCATGTATTCATCTATACCTAAAACAAAATATAAATTAGAAACTCACAGCTAATAGGTGAAACCCTTGAAATCTATCAATACAAAGTTTGAAACTCTAACAGCATTATTAGCACCCCAGTTTCATTTAATCGTTGTCAAAACTCGACTTGGTTGAAATAATGCTTTGGGTTTTGTCCTTCCCTACAAGTCATTGCTATCAAACTAACATCATGAGTATTGAGTAATAATGAAAACACCCAATTTATTAGATCATCTAGAAGGGTGTGTGAAAAGTGTAAAACTAAAACCCATAAGAAAAAATGAAAAATATTGGACACAAGACACTTCCTGACATACTACTGTATTCCATCTTTCAAAAAAGAAAGACAAGATTTAATATTACTTAACAATATGTTAAAAGTAGCCGGGTTGGCTTCAGTGTTAATACAATATACACTCTAGAACAGACTGCTAGTGTGAGGATTATTCTTCTTTTTCAATTCATTCTCATACAAGCTAGGCTACCTCATACAGGTCAGAATGAAACAAAACGAGTGGAACTGGTACATTTTTACTCAACAGTTTGTTAAACAGAACTTAAAAACAAACAAAAAAAGAAACATGATCAAGTATTTTCCGTCCTTTGTGTGAGACCGGGAGATGTGTTGGATGTGGAGGACCCCCGTCAGAGCAGTGAGGCGGCGTGCTGGGGACATGAGCCACAGTGTCCAAGAATACAACTTCCATTCATTATATATATATATTTATATATATATATTTCACGTTTCCATATTTGTCTTTTTTGGTGTGGAAACCATTCTCACATGACAATAAGCATATATTTTTCATAACAGGTAGAAATCATTTTTGACCATGGCTTGTTCAGTCGGGTGAACTAAAAGCACACAAGCACGCGGGGTTCATGGGGAGGGGGTCCGTGAAGGGAAAGCAAAGGCAGCGCGTGTCTGTGTGAGAAAGAGGTGGGCACCGAAGGGCGGGGTCCAGGAAGAAAGCCAGGAGGAGTCCGTTCTGATTGTGTGACCCGAGACGGGATCAGTGAGCAGCAAATGTGGCCTTCTTAAGGCTGAAGTTGGACCAGTTGATGGAGAGTCGTTGCCGTGTCTGTCGTGCAGAGTCCAAGCAGAACCTGGAGACAAACAAGGACAAGAAAACTCACTTGTAAGAATATAGTCTAATTTTTTTTTAGATTTTAACCATGTTACAACATTGTCCCTCCCAACTTCTGGCAAACATGTAACCACCTCTCCTGTCTAAAAGCTCCTGTTTCAGTCCATTAGTATGATGTCATTGTACCCCTGTGACATCACACTTCAAAACCCCTGAATTAGTTTATGTTCTCGGGTGTAATGCCGTTTATTACACTACATGTTTGTTTTTTACATTTGAAAATTACCAAGTACAAACAAAAAATAACTTGTGCATGGGGAGTTACAGGCCTGAAGAGATTATTTTCAGATAAAAAAATGAAATGACAAAGTATGGACCCATACATTTAAAAGGCAAAACGTAATTATCGTGTCATCAATTACGCTCAACTGCCAATATTCCTCTTCCTCTTACAGATCACATGCCAAAACACAACACTATTGAGGCTGAGTTTACACGGAGACAATGTGGCAGTAAAACGGTATAGTTGGATGTCGGTTGCTACCAACCGTTCATACGAAGACAGTGTTCCAGGGGGGTGAAAACGTAAGTGTTCAGATCCAGCCTGCAGAGTGGGACAACTCAGAAACGCTGCACAGCAGGGAGCTTTTTCACACCCGCGAGAGGGGAATAGGTGTGAAATCCCCCTCTGCTCTGACCCCCACCTCCGCGCTGCTCCCCGCACGTAAATTTGGACATGCGCAGTAGCGGAGAACAATCATCAACAATAATGGCGCCGCCCACACAAACTAGCTACGTGGACTTCCAGCGCGGGACAGAGGATAACTCTACTCCTTCGTTCGTCCAAACGAGACCACGCGAAGCTCTAGGTTCAGTTCCCATTTTCACAGCTGCTGTTAAAATGCAGAATGATGTTGGTACTCTCTGAGGGTCTGGCACAGGAAGTGAGTATACTGCCGAGAGGGGGGCTGGGCACGGGGCTGGGGGTTGTGTGTCGTGTTGTAAAATTTATCTGCCCACTACTGGCCGGGCGCTAGAACTACATCGTTTTTCAACCTCATGTGAACGCTGAGACATTTGCATTAGGAGCCAGGTCGTTTCTGTTAATAGCCTGGAAACGTCTGTGCAGCGTCTCAGTATAAACAGGGCCTGAGGTACTTTTTGGCACAATGTGAGCTGCACAAGGAAGACTTAACTAAAAAGGTCTCTATCTACATGGCCAAAGGTCATCAGGGCTTACAAAACAAATAAGTATAAATAAAAAGTTCTAGATCCCTGTTCCACTTTATGTAAATAACAAATAATGACAAATTTCCTTCACATGCTTCACTGCAGCTTTATTAGTGTGAAATTATTATATTGTATATTATTTAGATATTTTTTCCCTTCTGAGATTGTTATTTGCTTTCTGCAGCGCAATGGTATTCAGGTATTCTTTGCGCTTTCACTTCATGTCTGTGGTGTATTTGTCATTGCAGCTGATCTAACACGAATAACTACACGTCCAAACACATGTTTAATATTAGCTTAGCTGATTCTTAACCTGTGCCCTTTAATGCATTAGCTCGTAGTAATTGACTCAGATTTCCTCACACAGACCTGCACGGCTTTACATGCATTGTGTTCTAATTTTCCTGCCATTCATGTATGTAAGACATCCACTTCACTTTCCCTCCGAGATTTAGAATCTCACAGTGGTGCAGTGATCTACGTAGGTTTCCTCCGGGTGCTCCGTTTTCCCCTAACACTAAAAACTTGTACAATAGATGAGAGTGGAATGCAAGTGTGTTTGTGGGTGTGACTGTCGGACGACAGATGGATAGTAGCTTAAAAGCTATAATGGTATATTTACAGCTCCTGTCACTCATTAATACATACCGTCCCATCCAAATAAATAAAACAACATTATGATTATTCCCTGATGAAAGAAGCAGTAGCACAGATTGATTTATAATTTTAGAAAATGCAAAAAAAGTGGTCCTCAACAACTGCCATCAATAATATATTTATTGCTCACCACAGGAGCGTGTTTGGCAACGCCCGAAAACATCACTCATAAGACAAGGACAACACCCAAAACCTCACTATGAGCATTACATGCCTATATTTCAATCCCTCAGGCCTCAAGCATTTACAGCTACTTATCTATATACTGTATATTGTGTGTGCTACTGTCCTGTGTGTGTGCTGCTTCACACTACAATTTCCCCATAGAATCAAATCCTTTTGTGAGCAGTACATTCATCTTCTGCTGCTAGTTTTGTTGATGTTTGTACCATTTTGTATCAAACCATTTGTGGTTTAGAAAAGTTCAAATCTTGTCGGATCATCAATTCCATGTACATAAAACGAAACAGTACAACAGTACACACTGGAATGTGTTACGTCAAGTGAAACCCAAAAATGTCAACAACATTGTCCTGATTCCATCTGAAGATGTGTTCAGCCAACGAGGACATTTGTAATCTGTTGTTTAAAGATTTTGAATGAGTGCATCACTCACACGCGTCACGGCTTGTTTTCTTTGGCTTCTTTGAACAATTAAAACACCAACAAATCTACACACCTTTTAAAATATTCCACCTCTCTCTCGGTCTCATCCATCTCTGTGCTGTCCAGGTCAATGTCTTTGGGCAGAAAAACGTCATCTGGAAACCAAAATACATCAAGTATAACAATTAAAGAGTATGTCTAGTTTACCATTACATCAGTTTTATGAATGTCTGTCAGCCACGTGCTTTTGCAGTATTTTTAATGCTGGTAGCCACAAGAGGAAGCACCTGTGGAGACAGACCACAGAAAGTTCAGACCACTACAATGGTCTGAACTTTTCACAACAGTGGGTGGAAAATCATTTATTTTCCAGAAAGAATTTTGAGGATTATGCAATCGGAAATAATTTGAGGGGCTAAAAATAGAAAGAAATATTACAGAAATGCCAATCAACTGGTCACAACAAGTCAGAATAAAGATACAAAATATATACAATAAAATTAAAAAATGTGACCAATTGCAATCAAATTTATAAAAAAAAGTTTACTCATGTTTTTCTGTATATTTCTGGCAATCAATCTGACCTTTTAAAAAGGAATAGATAACATTACTTTTTGACTAGTAGGATCTAAATCTTAATTAAAAAAAGAAAGAAGAAATTTAAACCATATCCCCAAAAAAACTGAACAATTATATTTATTGTGCATAGAGGCAGACAAGCATTATTCAAACTTTATCGGTACAGACTTAAAGACAAAAAATAAATAAATAAAGGAATTAGGTTTGGGAGATGTCTGGTTTCAGAAGTGAAATTTCTTATACCCCATGGTGTAGTTTTCAAGCACTACTAAAAAGGTACATTTTTTGCAACATATGGTCATAACTTTGCATGTTTAATGCTTTTACTAAAAATGTATGTCTCATAGATGTAATTCAAAAAACAGAAAAACAGCCAAATATTATAGTTTTTGGGTAATTTTACTTCCAGAACTGGAAGGCAGGTGGGCACTTCACAGCTCCATTGAAGTTGTAAAAGCAGTGCAGATAAAAATGTAATATTAAGGCGATATTCTGGTAATGGTACAAAAAGATTGGAGCCCACATTTACAGGTGAATCTCTGAACATTAGAATAACGTTAAAAGTATATTTACTTCTGTAAAAACAAACTTCAAATGTGAAACTTAAAAATGATAGTTTAGAAAGGTTCATCTTGTCTTCTTGGTAGAATAAAGTTATTTGGTTCTATACCACTGTGCCTGGGAAGAGCAGCCGATAAGGCTGTGGGATGTCGCTAGATGCTTCAAAAGGAAGACCCAAGTAAACCATCGAAACATGTCAAGGTAATAACATCGCTAACTTACAATTTGTCTGGTATAGAAAAACAAATAACGTCATATAAAACTCTGCACTGACCTATTGACGTATTGGATTTGTCGCCCTTCTTCTTGCGGTTCTTCTTGCTCTTAGACTTGGCCTGTGGGGACTCTGCGCTGGCTGGTTTGCCGTTCTGCTGGATGTGCTCCGGGTGCGGGGGCACAGGGGGTGGGGAGGGGGAATGGTGATGAGCGGATGGGCTCGTCCGCTCCTCCTTCAGCTGGGGCCTCTTCCCGCTGCTGCCGTTGCTGCTGGGTCTGGTCTCAGAGATGGGAACTGCGAGAGCTTCTACGGGCCTGAAGCGGCCTGCTTTGGTGTCCGTGGGTGGAGGAGGTGCTCCGTTGGCGAGCTTGGCCGCTGGTTCTGGGCTTTTCTTGGGTGCAGGCATCTCACTGGAAGCGGCCTTTGTCTGTTTGCTCTTAGCTTTGCCGTTGACCTCCATGTGCACGGTGGAGCAATTGTGCAGGGTGGAGCAGAGCATACCATTGTCCATTTTGAGATTTCGGTCACTGGTGCGTTTGGGGCAGTGGGACGTAAGGGGCTTGTGGTCGGGAAGGCGGATGAAGTTCTGGAGCTGCAAGTTGTCCAGGACGTTCTGGGCGCTCTGTTTGAGGGGCTGCGGGTTGTTATGTAGGGGGGCCGTGTTCTCCTTGGCCTTGTCTTTCTTCTTCTTTTTGGCGATGCGCTGATGTTGTAGTTCCTGGAGACGGAGCAGTTCTTTCTGAAGCGCCGCCTCCTCCTCTTCCTGCTGCCGCCGCTGCTCCTCAAGTAGCTGCTGCTCCTCAAGTAGCTGCTTTTCCTCTCGCTCACGGGCTTCGGCCTCCTGACGCGCTTTTTCCTCCAGCTGAGAAACAGGACACATGATAGAGTTTAGTACAACTGAAAGAAAACTGCTCTGAGAATTGTTTAAACAGCATGAAACATCTACAAATCTTTGTGTTCTCTCTTAAACTAGAGCTGCTGCTGAGGCAAACTGTTAGTAGTGATAGTAGAGCATTTGAAGATCCTTCTCAAGATTGTGTGTCTGGCCGACTGGTGCGAGATCAAACCCACAACCTTCTTGTCTCTGAGCATATTCTGAAATGTACTCGACGATGGATGAACCTTACCTTCTTCTGCTTGTGCCTCGCCCTTTTGGCTGCCTTAGAGCTGGATGGAGGTTTATTGTCTGCGCTGTTGATGAACTGCAGTAAGTCCTCCACCCGCCGGTGGTCCTCGACTCCCCCGTCTCTCTCCAACACAGGCACTTGATCCTCGCGCTTCGGCTGCTCCTCTTTCCGCTTGGTCAGTCGCAGACGCAACTTCTCTCGCATCTCTGCATAGTTTCTGCTGGTGGGAGCGGCTGGGGGCTAGAAGAGAAAAGATACTTTTATGACAAACTGATTTAGTTAGACATTTTACCTTCTGCAAGCACAGTGATGACATGAGCAGTTCCTTATTTGCTTGAAATATTATATATTTTATATATATATATATATAATATATTCCAAAAAAGAGGAATATTCCAATTGTCTCTTACCCCTCCGTGGCCAAAGAACTCGCAGTAGCAGCAGTCACAGTACTTCCCTTCCTTCTGGTTGGTGGAGGTGGAGGTAGAGGAGCTGTGTTCGGAGCAGCTGTCTTCGTCCTGGCTCTCCTCTCCATCGTAAGGCTGGTGCTCGTACGCCCCGTTCCCCTCACAGCGGTGGCCCTCACATTCTGGGTCGCTGAAAGCACACGGTGGCCTTTGCAATTCATTTAAACAATACAGACATTTTCAGAACGCTGAATTAAGGCCATTGTTTAAGTTTGTGCCATTGTTTAAGTTTGTGCGGCTCACCTGCAAAGACTGGGCGGCGCGCTGACTGCCCCGTCTGTGGAGGACACTGGGGGTTCGCTAGGGGGGAGACAGAGGCTGTGGTGTGCCTCGCTGAAATCTGGGGCTGGGGCGGCCATCTTTGGGAAAGTGGGAGGAGCCATTGTGGGCAGGTGTGTGGTATGTGGTGGGAGCAGGTTGGGGCTGGAAAGTGGGGGGAGGGAGCCAAGGCCTGTGGAGGTGTTTCTGGGACTGGAACAGGGCGGTCTGTGATCCTCTTTACCCAAACTGTGAAATACATCATCTGGAGAATGGAAAAGGACAATAAGAATTTCTCAAATTAATCATTTATACATAGTTCCCACAGACCAATGAATGTCACATGACCTCCTCGGAGACGCCATCTTTGATGGCACGCTGCTGTGTTTGTGCATTCCATTAAACAGAAGAATGAGAATAAATGTAGATATTCAAACGCAAATTGGAAAAAAAGGGCAACTTTTGAGCAAATAATTGTATATTAATACAATGGCACCACAGTTTAACGTGCTACGGACATGTTTTACATATTTGATCAAATTATGCAGCAAAAATTAACAAGCAATGCAAACATTTCTCAAAAACTTTAGATTTAATACCAGTTGGAGCTCCATTTAATTATTTTAATTATATTAACAATTAATTTAATTAATGCTAATGCCACACGGACACTCTGGATTGCTGTTATTGTTTATTTCCGCGTTTTTGACCGTATGTTTTGGTGAATGGTGGGCAACTGATTTTTCCAGGCGTAAAGAGCAGTTTATTTTATGACACAGATCTTTTTACAGAAGCAATGCTGTTTGTGAACATTGTTTTAGCCCACCATAGAACTATTATTATCTATTTAATACATTTACGTTGCCCTCGAGAGCCTCGGACGCGACACCGATCCTCCTCATAATAAAGTAATCTAACGCTAAATAATGAAACTCTCAAGTTACCAGATATCAGCATACACAAGTTAGTACTGAGTAAATTACGTCTGTCAACACATTATGAGATACGATACGCACCTGACACAAAGTGCTCCGAGCATATTCTTGCGTGTTTTGAGGGAGTTTCTTGCCTGTTTATCTTCGCAAGCCATAACCTCCGTGGTTGTTCTGACAAAAGCTTAGTCTTCTCACATTCATGAAGTCTAATGATGGGTATACTGTAAAATCCAAGTTTAACGGAACCTCCGGCACGATTTGAACATCCATTGACCCAGCAGGAGATGACCATTTTCAACTTTATCACGACATTAACACGTTTCAGCTTCTTTTTCTATTGTTTTGCCCACAGAATGCCAAGACAAATGGCGCCGGGTCGGCAAATCCCCGTATGTAGTGACGTCATGTGGGAACTATGTATATAAGGCAGTTCAGTCTTAACCCTTTAGGCGCCAGAGTTTTTTCAAGAAAATATACAATTTTGATTTCAAGATTTCAAAAGGCTATAACTTTAAAATGGTTTGAGATAAAGGCATACTGTAAATTAGAAATATCTTCAGTCTGAACCAAACTTTGGGATGGAAGTTGATTCGTCATCTAATTTGCATATTCTGACGTCATCAAGGTGGCGGCCATTTTGGAAAATGTTAATTATTGTATAAAGACTTCAAAAAGCTGTAGCTTGGGAGTTATTTGAGATCAGGGAATACTATAAACAGTGAATGTGAAATATATCTTTAGTATGAAATGAATTTGGGATAGAAATAAATTCCCTGATCCAGATTATACATAATGTTTTAGCAGTGGTTCGCAGCCATATGGAATTGTATTATTTTCAAAGACCTTCAGTGATCAAGACTGAACTCTTTATAGTTTACAGTCATGAAATCTGGAGATTGGTTTCAATATTTCCTTTTCAAAGAAGTAGTGGGCATACTATTTTTCGCAGTGGAAATGAGGCTCCAGGATTTATCGTGTAGAAACAGAGAGATGAAATGAATGGGCACAGAACATGTCAGATCGTCTCAACAAGAAACAACAGGCTCTTCAACACTTCTGGTTCACTTTTGTGGATTATTTTCTCTTAAGAACTGCCTTCATCCTCATCATCGCTGTTGGTAAAGGCAGTGAACGCGATTAGCGATGTGCTTTTTCCCGTGGCTTCTCCCGCGTCTCCCGCGATCCCCGCGGACGTCTACCCCGGCTACTTTCTCCCACATGCCCGTGTTATGATGCCCCTGTCCCCTCCACCACGGCCCCTGATTGGCGTTCACAGAATGCTTCTACCGCGGCCACACGGAGGACAAGCAGCCGCTGCACAGGGGCTGATTGTGGACTATGGAGCGTGGTCTCCCCGTCACCAATAATGTCCGTGTCTGCTTCACTGGACACCTGCGTGTCTTCCTCCTCTGAATCTGAGTGAGCCAGTACCAGACCAAGTACTTCTCTGGTACTGAAGACCTCGTGAGTAAAATAAAAAACACTCTCTCCCTCTGCTCTGCTCTCGCTCCTCTCAGCTCTACCGCTGCTGCTTCGCCTCCGCGCCGCTGCGCCGCAGGTGTTTTACGAACTTAATTTACTCTAAAACTTTCAATATAACCACACCCACAAATGCTGCTCATATTACAGGCACACATGTCCACTAACCCCTGGTGAAAAGTATTAACAAGATTCTGCACCACATTTTTAGATACAGCCTATTTAAGTGGGCAATGTTGCTTGTCGCAATATTGCGACTTTGGCGCTTAAAGGGTTAAACCTGAAGATTTGAGGAAACGGGTAAAGTCTGAGGCTCTGCTCCTGCTTTGTCTGATATAAAACCTGCAGCAACAGCAGCCTTTGAGGTCAGGTTTGGATACCCCCGATATAAGGTGTCCTGACAACATTGAAAATATTGAAAATTAATTATTATTGAGCTCATTTACATTTTCAAATTCATTTTCAAAGAAACATGTTTTCAAAAAGTATGTTGTAATGTTTGCATTCTTTTGACTTCTTTGGACTTGTTGTTGCTCTGGTGAAAAAAATACTATTGCAATTTGTTAATTTCCAAATGTCATTATGCGTGAAGACTAAATAGGTAACAAACTTTCTTATTTAACCAGGGAATTCCCATTGAGATTAAAAACCTCTTTTTCAAGGGAGTCCTGGACAAGAGGATTCAAAAGTTACACACATTACACAAAAATATAGATTCTAAGAACAATCTTACTCGACTGGACAGTGGTGGCAGTGCAGGACATGGGTGTTGTTGCGGAGGTTGCCATGACTACACGGCTGGACTCCATGAAGGCATCCTGGAAGTTGTATAGACACTTCTTCTTGGCGGCGCTCCTCTTCTGCTCTTTGACATCTGACGAGGAGCACGATGAGGACGAGGACGACGAAGACACAGAGGAGGAAGGAGGTGTGGGCAGGGAGCAGTGGTCTGCCTGGGGGCCAAGGGGTGAGGCAGGAGGGAGGGCTACGTCAGCCAGGGGGGGTCCCAGCATGTCACCTGTGGCAGAATGGGGGATTAAAAAAGGGATTACACAAAGTCATTGTACTTTCAGGATAAATAATGTGAACAAGAAGATGACGTCAAAACACATTTTCCTGGCATCACTCTGAACATGTGTTAAAGTGTGACTACTGAGCAACTTGGCAGATATTCAAGAACAATAAATAAGGAAGTGATGTCATCATATTGACCTGGTAAAGAGTCGGGCAGAAGCACAGAGGGGTTCCAACTCTTCATGACAGCAGCATCCCACAGGTTTTCAAACTTAAGAGAGAGGCACTGTAGTGAGCTGTTCCAGTCGCCTGTGCCCCCTGGCGAGCTGAAGCAGTTTGGGTACACATGCTCCGGTAAAGACGGGCTGAAAGCGGGCTGTTTCGCTGCTGAGTGACTTGACGTGGGGCTAGGAGGAATGGGCTGAAAACAAAAATAAAAAGACGTTCTTTTTTAGCAGTTTTCTTAGAACACAACCAGGACTATTCAAAGCTTTAAATCGGTTAAAAACAGCAGAACCTTATGGAAACAAGCGTTCGCTGGAACTCACTCCCAAAAACCATCAGGAACACGGACTCACACTAATTTTCAAAACCTGAAAACCATCTGTTGTATCTAAACTCAAAAGGTTATGGACAGAATTTGATGAGATTTTCAGAAAAAAAAAAACGATAAATCATGGTGGTGATCTGGATTAAAAAGAAACACTATATACATTTGATGCAGTTTGATTGTTGTTATTATTAACATATGGCATTGGTTAACAACAACAAAAATGTAAATTGAATTACAATAGCACACACTATTCATGAATATTCTAAATAATTACTGTTGAAAGCCTTTGATGCAACCTTTATAAAGTGTATGGGCTTTTCAGATCCAGTTTGAGCAAGTCAAAATGAACATGGAGCACACACGCCCCCTAGTGGTAGATACTTTAAACTGCTCACCTTGTTGTGTGACAGTGGCGGGCTTGGCGGGTACATGGTGGGGTGCAGTAGGGGTCGGGGGAAGTTGTGCAAGGGCAGGTGACCATGGATGTGGGGATACAGGTGCAGGGCAGGGTGTGAGGGGGGCGTCTTGGGGTCTGTGAAGAACTGGTGTCCCACTGTGGGAGGGGGAGGTGGGGGTGCACTGTGGAGTCGGCCGGGGGGCAGACAGGACGCGGCGGATGCGGAGTCTTGAGTGCACACGTGGCACTCACAAACATGCTGCACTGGTGCCACCTGGAGGGTTAAGAACATATGTACAATGTATATCTGGCAAATAAACCTTCTATTGTCTTCTACATGTGTACTCAAACATTTTTATAGGTTGGATTAAAAATGGTTGGTACATGGTTTATAGTTGCATTCCACAACTGTACAGGTGGTGACTCGCTTCTCCACAGATATAACTTGTAACTTATCCAAGTGAAGTTATAGGATCTCATACACTAATGCATAAGTCGAATGTAAAGTTTAATGACAAACTTAAATATCCAGGCAAACAACACTGAGAGGAACCCAAGCAAACAGCAGGCCCACCACAAGGACAGTTGAGGATTGCACCTTAAATAATAATAATAATAATGTATTTTAAGGATTTCTAGTGACTGGAAATAAATATTTATGAGTTGATTGAGTTAATTAATGTCTGAAAATGTAAAATAGAGTTTAATTATTCAACTATACTACTCTATATCAACCATTTCCTTGAAAAACAGGAGCAAGTGAGATGTGCGAAAAGCCACTGTGACTGTTTTACTGGTGGCGATTATGCAAAGAGGCGGGACAACATAAAATAAATGAAAACTATAGTTCAGACCCAGGAGGTTAAAATACGCATCATTTGAATTACTGACATAACCTACATTTTAGTATGTGCATTTTATATTAATCTCTAGAATAGTCCCCGGAGATTTAAGAATTCAGGAGAATCCTGGCCCCAGAGAGGAGATTACAAGCTACATTTTATGTTGCAACTTTTATTGAAGATATATTCTGTATACAGACTACATTAAAAGCCCTGGGTCTCCCAGATGTCTGATTTAAGGACATTTATTAACATTTATGGATATTGGTCATCCCACTCCCTAACGACCAATGACTCTTATGCGTTTGTTATTATTCTATTTCCTGTGTTTGAACTCATCCCGTGTTATTCTCTGGTCCTCCAAAACAGCCACAGATGTGCTTTAGGACTGTACAAAAATTAATTGAACTGAATATGTAAGATTTCTGACCAATTATAGCAGAGCTTGGTCAGAGTTTTATACACTAAAGTGTGGATTTATAGAAAGCCAGTGGATAAAAAAAAAGAAAAAAAATTAAGGATGACTAGGCAATCTAAAATCCTCACACAAAATTGGACCTAAAATGGCAGTAGGACGAGCAGTTTTAGTTCACACTGAGGCCTATCTGGATAGGGTATCTTCACATTGGAAGATACTCTATCCAGATTATACAATACATCCGCTACATTACCTGCTGATGATGACTATATGAAGGTGGGGGGCTGTGGATTTGGCCTAGCTCTCCCTGCTGCCCTGGAGGCTCACCACCATCTGCCTCTTCCTCGTCCCCCTCTGACGAACTGCTGCTGCTGGTGGTTAGATGTGGCGACTGTGGGCAGAGAACATGCGGAGCAAGACAACATTAGCTCTTTTTATATGTTATGTTACACAGTAGATAAAACATATGTAAACTAGATGGCCGAAATGGGGTTTTTCCAAGTTTGACTAGCCAATGGCAGATTTTAAAGATAGGGAAGAGCACATAATATCCAGTATTTTATTTGTGGAAGTTTTGTTTACAGCTAATCTTTTGAAATTGTGGACACACACACACAACTTATTTGGAGTTGTTACTAACCACAGTCTTATCACCGTCCCCGTTCAGCTCGTGGTGAAGCCCATTCACCATGTTACCGTCCTCGTAAGCGCTCAGAGGGTAGATTTCTCCAAATTTACTGGACAATGGAAGCACTTCATATTCATCGCTAATGCTTAAAGAAAGAAAAAAACAATTAGCAAGCCATTTCAAGATAGGAATACAATTATGATGTAAAGTGTGCGCAACACTCACAACGTGTTTGGATCTCCATCGGGTAGGATGAGCCGCGGATGCTGTTGGATGGTGATGGGGGAGCTGGAGTTAGACCCAGAGGCTGAACTGCCGGAGGAGAGGCTGGGGGGATGCACCTCGGACAGGTAGTCCTGCGGGGGCTCTCCCTGGAGGGGCAGCTTGATGTGAAGGTCCTCGGCTATGGGAGAGTCCATAATGCCGCATGTCAGGATGTGGGATAGGCTGCAGTCGTCACACGTGCACCTGAGAATAGAAAAAGACAATGGATGTAATAAAGTGTGTCTAGAGAACGTGTGTGTTGCTATGGAAGCCCTGCTGGGACGTATTATCAACTCTGAACATACAAAATGGAAAAGGGCAAAGACTTCTGGAGTTCTTTATGACTAGCTTAGGTTGATCTCCACAGTTCAAAGATTTAAACTGAATGCCAGTAATAGCATTTATGACAATAATCCATGACTCTCAGGACATCTTTGTGAAGCTTCAAACACATTTTAAAATTTAAGGAGAACATACATTGTTCTAAATAATTAGCAGCTTCTGAGATTGGATCATTTGATAATATCGTACAGCCAACTAAATCCATGGAAAAGCATACCTCCTGCGATAGTTGCAGTTTGGGCAGTCGGGAATACTCAAGCGTGAAGAGAGCATTCTCATGGTGTCTGTGAAATTGTGATCTTCAGAGTTGGACTTCTTATTAGGCATCTGTGAGAAGAGACGCATTAGCCTCAGTCTGACATGACCTTTAACATATCTTTGCGCAAGGACTGCTCCATACCTGCTCCTCTAGAAATCTTCTCTGCTTGAAAAACTCCCAGTCCTCCTTTAACATCCGCTGCTTGGTCTTTAAGGTCTGAACAGGGAAAATTTTCAACAAGTTCAGAAAAAAATTGCACAACATTTGTGTCATGGAAATGCAAAAATCTTACGTTTTTGCTAACAAGAGATTTATGAGGTTCTGTTCTTTGGTAAGTAAGACTCTGGCCCTCGACCTTGAATAGCAGCTGTAATAAGACAAACAGGGAAGGATTACTATGACGCTTATTAGGGCTGGGCATCTATCAGAGCCTGGTGATGCAATACGTACCTAGATAAGTATGAGACAGTATAATCTGTATCTAGATACATGGGACTTTCCATTTGATGCAATTTATTTACAGAAAAAAGGCTTTTGGTCCCTTATCTAAGGCTCGCAACACTATTGATGCATTTATATTTAATCTAATTACTATTATTATATAAAAGTCAAAATGTCAAAAAAATCTATATAAATACATATATTTAAAGACATAAAAAACATTACATAAAAATTATACTAATTATATATATAAAAAAAAAAAATGGAACAGTCCCAATTCCTATAGTGATGCATACAGTCAAAACATACCTGCTCATCTACATAGTCGTCTATCCTCTTCTCACACTCCTGCCACTGCGCTGCCACAGAGGCCATCTCCTGCTGCAGCTGCTGGTACCTCTCTAACAGGGCCTCACTGAACGCATCCTGGGAGGCTGTGCCATGCCTGCATAAAAGTAAGCCACGATTACACTTCTGTTGCTCTCATTAGTGTGCATTGGTATAAAGTACACATTTCAAGAGTTTACTTTTATAAATTGCTTACACCATGAGCCAAAGCAAATTCCTTCCTGTTACTTACAATTCTAATAGTCATGTAAAGAGGACTTTAACATCCTTCAGTCAGACAGGAATAGACAGAAATCTGAGCAACTTCTACCAACACTGTATTAGTGTAAAGATATGTGACATTGTGTTCTGCAGGTTTGAGATAAAATAAAAAATAAATCTAACTATCTGGTTAGTCCAATGTTATTGTAATAAAAATATTCAGGAGTACAGAGGTAAATTTGCAGGTCTGCTAAAATTAACTACATGGTGTACAACCTGTATATGTTCGTTCCTTCATGTGGGTTGACCCAATCAAATACATAATTCAATAATTTTAAAAGGAAATCTTTAAAGGATTTTTTTATGTCAATTAAATCACTGATGGAAAACATGTTGTAGAAGTTGCTACTGATACAAGTAATTGAACAATGGCCTGATTAAAGCAATGAGACAACATGTATGACCAACAGCAGGTAGTGATAGATACGTTTTTCTTTTTTCATATTTGTATCATATATTCCATCCATTTTCTTCCCCTTAATCAATTTCTGGGTCGGGGGGGTGGCAGTCAGAGCTGCACCCAGTACACAGAGCACCAGCCCCTCACTGATCCTCCTGCAGGTGGTGAGTCCACAGGAGCTGAGATCTTTCAGCGGGGGCTTCAGGCAAAGTGGGGTTAAGTGTCTTGCCCAAGGACACAACGACAGCAGTCATCAGTGGGAGTCGTGAAGTAGGTCTTATGGTGGGCTTGAACCCACGACCTTCAGGCCCTAAGGCCAATGCTCTACCAACTGAGCTACTGTCGCCCGCTAACAGTAGCCCGCTTGTATCATACATTTGTATTGTTTTTTTGTTCACTGTACAGCACTTTAGTTAGCCTGGGCTTTTTAAAGATGTGTTTTACAAATAAATAATGATTGAAATATTGAAAGTACCAAGTCATCAAATGTTATCTTTCAGTGCAGCGAGTACTGGAACAAGCATCAGAAGAATGTCTTACTTAAGCTGTGAAACCAGTGCAGGTAAACTGCTGTGCAAGATGGGCTCTGAGAATACCAGATTCTCAAAAAGGTGCTTATTGTGCAGTTCCCATGTCACCTGGAACTTCTGGAGGTGCTCATTCTCCTGGTGGGGCGTAAAAACAACCGGTTAGATTTGGCCAAAAACACGAGAACATTCTGAGAGCAGTAAAGTGCAGACAGACCAGGGTGAGGAGGAAGCTGCTGATGGTGCGTGCGGCCTGACACAAGGCGTTGTACTCCTCCAGCAGCAGAGAGATGAACTGGTGTGCCTGAGGAGGGCCCTGGGACACGGCCACACTGACCCCTGAGCACCCCGGCCCCACAGAAAGATGCTTCAGCAGCCGCACCTTCATCTCCAGCACGTACTCCCGGGCCTGCTGCTCTAAACGCTGGTACAGCTGATATGGATCCTTTTCACACAGTCTGCAACAGAAAACAGTCGTATTTTTGTAAATTAATCACAGAGTGGAAAAATAACACAATATAAATCAAATCAAAAAGGGACTATGTAATATTCATTACATAAACATCTAAAATACATCATAAATATGTCCCCAGATAATAGGTTGACATGTAAAAAACATTTGACCATTTCTAAACAGAAGTTTAAAGTAGAGCTATTATTAATCAAAATCCAAAGTTAAACAATGTCTATTGCAAGATGCGTCGAGCCGCTGTACCCCTAGGCTCTGCCGCGTCAAACCTGCGTACCACAATGCACATGAATGAATATTTGCACAGACGTGCGTCATCATTGACACAGCATTGAAACTCAACGCAATGCATGGTCCGGTCTGAAGGCCCCTTTACTCGGCTCCAAATGTCTGCATGACTTCTTCGCTGATTAGATAATCACATTAATCAGCAGCAGCTTGAGGATGGCTGCTGTGACACTGACCTGTCCACCAGATCCTTGATGCCCTCCTGGTCTCGCTCCAGTGGCTGGTCGTGGTCATCGGCGAGGGGCGTCCCGGTCTGGCGGTAGATACATCGCACTAGGTAACGCACCTCTGACCAGTGGTTCTGGAGCTGCTGCGATTCCCTCTCTGATTCGGCAGAGATCTCACTGAAAGGAGAGCAGCGGGGCGGATTGGATTATATTTATTCACACACTAATATACAAAAATACATACACTTAATCCATATATTTCTTTATTATTTGCATTTCACGAGTATCTACAGTATGGTATATTAGATGACCACCCAGCTCCATTTCTGATCTGATATCCATGAACATTGTACCAATCAAACAACCCTAACAGAGTTTGCACAGAGTTCAATAAGCTCAAAGCAGAAAGTAGCACTGTTATCCAAGGCAAGCAGCATATTTGAACTCTAAATAAAAACCCCTTCAAGATATCTAGATTACATCCATACCATGGTCAGGATAAGAACAATGGATGACCACTGTTTAGGCTGAACGACTGAACAAGTGATTATACAGATGCGTGTGTTGAGGATCAGTTATTATTAGCTATTCACAAAAAGTGACTTCGGCCCAGTTCTGCTTGTCATAAGCAAAGACTGAATTGCATCACATTCAACCACAATTGTCTTGGAATTAACTTCAGTTGTTTTGTGATAAAAAATGGTAGTTGAGCCACAAGTGATTTTCCTGTTCCTCTGAAACCACGTAAAGATAATTTTGAAGTGGCTAAAACAAATAACCAAATATTTCACTTTTCAGCCCTCTTGTGACCCCTTGAGAGTGAAAGAGTGTGTGCATACCGTCGTTCGTTGCAGGCCTCACAACTGCACACGGTGTCGGTGGGCAGGGGAGCAGACAGGTTAGGTGTGGGGAGGGTGGGGAGGGGAGGGGCTGCGCTGCTGAGTCTGTCCCCCAGTGAGGCTTCCTGTGTCATGGTTCCATTCCCCATAGGCATGTGCAACAGGAAGTTCTGACACTAGAAAAAGGTCACAGTCAAAACATTAAGGTTGTTGTGTGTGTTCAGGTAGAAAGATGTTCATTGTAATGAAAACATAAAAAAGTTGAACAGCACAAATGGAACTGACACATTTTCAATTCAATTGTTTCAAATATAAAAATATATAATAGGGATCTAACAATGTATTGTGGTACAATATTTAAATTCTACAAATCTAAAATGTGAAAATATGCATTGTGCCGGGTGCTCACTGACTCAGACTTTGGTGCCGGTCAGGAGAGTCAAGAGTATGATTTACTTTTGCAGCGATCAGCTCCGGTCTCCTAATAATTACATGTTTTTGTATTGACCCCTGTCAATTCGTGCATTTGGGAAAAAACACTTCAGTCGACAGAATTCAGTGAAATTCTGAACAATTGTAAAGCGCTTTGGGTGACCTTGGTCTTTAAAATGCGCTATATAAATAAACCTTACTTACTTACATTCAATTATTACACCTCACAGTTACATAAACATAAACCATAAAAATAAAACATAAACATCAAAAATACATCAAAAATAGATTCTGCATAACTCACTTAACAAAAACAAAACTACCAAAACACTGAAGTAGGGATGTAAAAAACTATGAATTTTCATGACCGACCACCGAGCCTCATTAACCGGTTGAAACCGGTTAACCGCGTAGTTTAAAATAGTCCACGTTCTTTGAAATAACAGCCATTTCGAGCCGCGTACTTTTCATAAGTGCAGCTCTGCGTTCTACTGGATCAGAGTTGAGACAGCGGCGCCCAAACCCGCAACAGCTCCGGCACCTTTGCGCAGAGAAAACTGCTTTTTTAATCTTCCCATTCTGCTGTGCTGCGGGTTAATACTAGAGCTGCAACTAACGATTATTTTGTAATCGATTAATCTATCGATTATTTTTACGATTAATCGAGTAATCGCTTGGCTGTGAATTGTGTAGAAAAAAAATATTTTTTTCATCACAAAAAGCTAAAGTGGCAACACTCGAGGACGTATTGATGGCGTAAACTTAGAGCCTATTACAAACATTTACTTTTTGTGCTAATTCTGCTATCTGATTGGATGAGACAGACAGATTATCATAGAAATTATAAAAACAAAGTCGGTTTTAATCAAAAATACTACATTTTCATGTCATTTTTGCTCTGTTTGAGTCCGTGTGAACCAGAAAACGATTAATCGATTACTAAAATAGTTGTCGACTATTTCAATAATCGATTAGTCGTCGATTAATCGATTAGTTGTTTCAGCCCTAGTTAATACCAAAACTTTCTAGCAGCAAACGACGGCTCGTTCACATGGTCAGAGCAGCGAGTGACGAGCCGCGTCTCACAGGTCTTCACAAAAGTTTAAATACAAGTGATGTTTGTGGAGCTGATCCCGAGGACCATAAACACAAACATGTTTCCCCTACAGCAAAACATGTAGGGGAAATACGCAACTCCCAAAGGAGCCGCGTATTTGCGCGAATCCTTTGGGCTCCGTGACACAGAGGAGCGCGACAGACCGGTATGTGTGTGTGTATGTATGTGTGTGTGTATGTATGTGTGTGTGTGTGTAAATGTAAGCTCCAATGTAGTTCTGACCCGCGCCAGTGTGCAACTTTGACGGTAACAGAGGGGAGAGATGATGCGTGTGGATGTTACGTATGGAGAGGGGAAAGTGTGTGTGTGTGTGTGTGCGCGTGCGCGTGTGTGCATATGTGGCTCGTGCGGCGTGAGAGTCGTCCCTGAGTTTATAATACATGGGCGCACACAGCTAGATACAGACCCGCTCGTCACATCGTGCAAATAGGGCTTAAAATAGCGTTATTAAGAGACCTCCCCTCTCCCCTTTTTCTCTTTTTTTAACCGACAGCTTTGACCGGTTAACGCTGTGACGGTCAACCACCGGTTAAACGGTCGCCGATTTACATCCCTACACTGAAGGCTACATTAGAAACTATAGAAAACCTACAGACGCAAAAAGTAACCAAGACCTTCTTGTTGAAATGCAAGAGCTCTAACTTCATTTGGAGAAGAAACCTGATGAAGGTTTCCAGTGCGTTGGTATTTTAGATCGTTCTCTCATATACAGAGATGGGCTCTAAAGAAAGTATAAGTTTCACATCAAAGCTCTGATGGATAAGGTAAATGTAAGTGCTTAGAGAAGACTTGTAAAGCTTGTAAAGTTGTTGTGTGGAGTAACTGCAGTGATTTACACTGAACTGAACCGTAACTCTTTTTAGAGACAGAAAACTCACTTTAAGTAAACCTGAACATAACCAAGACAGAAACCAAACGGGCCTCCAAGAACAGGCCAGTGATCTCCGGATGCACAGAACAATATGTTTATGAGGAAACCAAGCCCAGGGCCTTACATACTGTAGTAGCCCCACACATTAAAGACCAGAGGAAAGAGCCTCCAGTGCCTCATCAGGCACCAGCAGTAAACCAGATCTACAGTGCAAGATCTGCAGAACTAAAAAGCTAAATTTTGTTGCATTGGTGTTTTTCTACAGAGTTAAAAAATGTATTTGTATATATTTTTATTTTATTTTTTTGTTTTAGTTTTATTTTTAAAAATTGGATAATTGGTATTTTGTTGTCTTTATTACATTTTAATTTTTTACTGTTATTATTGCATAGATAATGTTTTACTTATTCTTCTTGTTTATTTTTTTTATATATATAAAGTTGGAAAACCTGTATATTTTAATGTGTTACTTTCATCTCTGTGCAGCACTTTGGAAACTCGTTTTTATAAAATGTGAAACACTGAAATAGGACAAGGAACAGGTTTGGTGAGTGCATTTCTACTTAAATAATTTTGTACTATTACATCATACAATGGAGTGTGGAGTGAGTAATTACCATTATTATCAGACTTTGAACAAATATCGCCATTAACCATTTCTATTTATTTATGTGAAGAATATTGAAATCCAACATGCTACAGTAAGGGCTGTGTCTTGGAGGAGCAGTGACTCATGCCTTGGTAGACAGAGCGCTGGGTGACATCAGCTAACACACTTGGTCCTTTAATTCTCTGTCCTCTGCTGCATATATGAGCCTGCTCCCAGCTCTGTGTTATGTGGGTGGGAAATGTATTAGTAGCAGCAGAATGACAGTCCTTTAATATTTGTGATTAGCTTATTTGAAGCGGTAATCAAGAAAAACTAAGCCTGTAACAAGGTAATTGATTAAAGGAGCTATACCCCTTTCTGCAAGGTTTGAATGTTTAGCACCGCCCCCCAACACGCTCAAAGGCTTCTCATTTCCCCTACGCTCTCATCCCATGGAGCAAGGTAGTTTCATTTGCGATCTGATTCGTATGCAAACCTTAGCATGAGCACAACTTCTTGTAAGCTGTACAACAATCACTGATGAAGTGGTACAAAAGCAACGCTAACAAAATATATAACTGAAAGATCACCGCTAGTTTCGCATCCAAATGTAGTCAGAGGCGGCCCGCACCCGCAGGTCTCTACCATATGCCGTTTTTCCACAGTGTCGGTTCAGTTCATTTCGGTACGGTACGGCGCACCTATTTTGCTTTTCCACTAGTGGATGGAATGGGAGATTTGAGTACTTTTCCGTACTGCCTCAGCCGTGGTTCTATCCCCATAGTACCCGTGCCATGACGTCACGTCGGCCCACTGCCTTACACTGATTGGTCAACGAGTGTCGTCACTGGAAGCGACATCTGACCCTTTGGGAAAAACAACTCAACCGCCATCTTTAAAACAGGCTGCTCTGCTCGGCTCTGCTACGGCTACATTACGTCCTCCTCACTCCAGAGAAATGGAATTGCACAGAAAGCCCCAAAAGTCCTGGTCCTGGTCGGTGGAAGAGGTCCACACGTTCCTCTCTTCAGGCCAAAAGAAAGAATTCAAAGGCAGCTCGAGGCTCAACACAGTTTTCAGGGAGATCACCCAGCTCTGGATTTGTGTCTAGTCTGTGGTAATCCTGGAAATAACTGGTTAGCTACGTACCCCCTAAAGCTGTCACTGAAATGTATTTACTGTGTAAATGCTCGATTGTCTGTTGTACACAGTGAGCTAGCTACATTTAGCTTCATTTAGCTATCGAGAGCAAGCTAAGCTAACGTCCTCCCTGTGCTACTGTGCTTTATCTCGTATTATCTGCAGTATTCATGTGTTGTCCTTTTTTGTGTTGTCCTTTTTTTGTGCTTGTATTTAAGTTGTTGTGTGTATATTTGTATGAGAATCCCTTCCCATAAGTGTGGAGATTACCAACGAGTAATGAGAAACCGGAGTATTCTCATCTGGACCTGGCCTGGACCTGGCCTGGACCTGGCCTGGACCTGGACCTGGCCTGGACCTGGCCTGGACCTGGCCTGGACCTGGCCTGGACCTGGCCTGGACCTGGCCTGGACCTGGTCTCACACATACGTACTTTTGACTTTGTAAACTGTTGGTTTTGAACTTTACTTTTGTTTTCAATAAATCTGTGATTGTATCCCAAGACTGTGTTTCATTCATTTATTATTATTGTAGCTGAGGTTTGGGTATCGATTGTCTGGTCTCGGAGTCTGCTGTAGTCCGGACTAGCCTAGCCTAGCCGCTAACTCGCTACCCCTATGGCTGCCGCTGTCTCTCCCTCGGTCCTTTACTACTCGAGTTGCCATATGACGAGTTTAAACCCTGGATCCTCCTCTGAGGGCAGTGATAGATGTGTTAAGTGTAGTATTGTAGTAGCTTTGGAATCCAGGGTTAGTGAGTGAGCAGAGTCTCGAGCTAGCGCTAGCATTAGCTATAGCCTAGCAGTATCCTCGGACATGCAGCCCTCCTCCTCTGCTACACAGGCTGCTCTGTACAATCTGAATGGGACATACCTGTAGCAACAGCAGTCAGCACCATTGACTTCTCAGTGTCTGTCATTCTTTTAAGACATAAGCTTTTTCAAAAACTACTCGTGCTGTGCTGAATTTTCTATTAAACACTTGCTCTGGTATTATAATAAATCCATGCACCGCACCAGTACTAGTTACGCGTCACACGTAAATGACGTGGTCTGACAACGCTGAGGACATACTAGGGGGTACTATTTTTGATGGAAAAGCACGCAAACTGGGCCATGGAGCGCCGTGTAGAGTCAAAGCGTACCGTACTTAGACCGTGGAAAAACTGCAATAGACTGTATGTCTCTCCAGAGGATACTATGTAAGCTGTTCACCCAGGGTTGATTTCTTCTTTGATAATTTTTTCGCTTTAGTTCCCTCTTCTCTTCCTCATTGTTGTGTCGTTTGGGCTCTTTTGCTGTGTATACAGTTACAGCAAGAGGCGTTATAGCCAATTCTGCTAACATGCTACTATGTTTAGCAGCACTGTAGACGCTAGAGGACGCAGGCTGTTAGCTCCTCGTTCTGTGATTGGAGGAGAGCGAGCGTCACGCCAAGCCTCTACTCAGCACTTTTTACGGCCTGAATTCATACACAAGCTGAATAAATAAGCTCAAGTTTTCAATTCAATTACGGATTATAATACAACTTGTATGTAGTAATAAGCATTTTTATGAACTCATGAAAAAAAAAAAACGACTACAGCTTCTTTAATCAATGATTATTGAAATAGTTGACCAATAGTTATTCTTTGATTAATTGTTTTTTAGAAATATAAAAATACAGTGAAGCATCCGTTTTCTGAGTTTTCTTTCTAATCAAACAATTTTGATTAACAAATAGTGTTTACAAAGCTGTTCATGAGCGGCATTGGGCTTTGTTATAATATCGGTACCATTTTGAGAGACGGTATGAAAGTGAAATATCACGAATGCATTTGTGTGTATGCGCGCTGGTGATGTTTACATTTGGTCTGGGAAACAGCGGCTGTGACAATCTCTGTAATAGGTTTCACTCCAAACAGTTCTTTCTCAAGTTGTGAAAACTTCCGGCTACCAGTGTCTGGTGTAGGCAAAAACCTTTGTTGATGACATGCGCAGCAGCATAGAACAACAATAGTGGAGGATCAACTAATGGAGGCAAGACTTGCCGTGTAGACGCTTAGCAATTCAAATCCGGACTGGGGCCGTTTTTTCCAAAAAACAGGGCCTAAAAAGGTTGGGGACCGCTGATCAAAACAACAAATTCATCAAAAATAATAATTGCACAATAGTCAATTTTTAAAGCTATCGTTAAAGTACACCCTATTACTAAATTGATTGGACTATCTCAAACGCAAAAGGAGTAGTTCCTTTAAAAAAATGTATCAAGAGTTATTCGAATCACCTCCAAAATGTAACCATTTGTTTACTGGGCCATTATGCCTATTTCTTGACCATTTTGTCCAACGCCTCCCAACTATCCAAACCTTTAGTTATGTTGCTCACAGAAAAATGCCAGATTGCTTTACCTCATGAGCGAAGGTAATAAATGGCAGGCACCAGAAAAAAATTGACTACCTGTGGAAAATAAGAGTCTGAGGGTCCCAGAGGACTCCCATCACAGCACTCACCGGGCCCTGCCCTGCTTAGCTTCTGAGGTGTGACAGGCTCCGATTTCACATTCTGGTGTGACCACACATCAATTTTAACAGGGGTAGTAACAATTGACTCAAAATAGGTTAGCCAGGGATTTAACCTTCCCATATAAAGTGAAGCAGAAACTCGTAAGGGTAATGAAATGGGCTTCAAAACTCATGTATGATCATTTTTGGAATATCACAAATCTCCACGGCAACTTTGAACTGCAACAATTAACTAATTGCAACAAGTAAACTTCCATCCATCCATTTTCTTCCCCTTGATACATTTCTGGGTTGGGGGGGGGGTGGCAGTGAGAGCTGCTCCCAGTACACATAGTACCAGCCTCTCACAGATCCTCCTGCAGGAGGTGAGCCCACAGGAGCTGAGATATTTCAGCGGGGGCTTCAGGCAAAGTGGGGTTAAGTGTCTTGCCCAAGGACACAACGGCAGCAGTCATCAGCGGGAATCATGAAGTAGGTCTTTGAGTGTGCTCGAACCCAGGACCTTCAGGCCCAAAGGCCAATGCTCTACCAACTGAGCCACTGTCAGTTACTTGTTTAACCTTAATAAGTTTAACAGGTAACTTATTAAATTATAATATATAATAATAGTCGTCAGTTACAGGCTTCCAGACATGAATAACAGTTCCTTGTCTATATTAGGAACAACGAACTGCACCTTAATTATGTAATAGTCACTTCTGGCAGTAACAAACCCTTGTGATAAGTTGCACAGGTACACATTTGCTCAGGCCCACACCAGACTCACCCCCACGGGCTGCTCCAGAGCAGTGTTTCGGTCCTCCTTCTCAACAGTGCGTCTGCAGTCTGGGCACACCCACAGGGGCAGCTGCAAAGAGCTGCTAGGGCTGGACTGTCCCGCACTGTTCAGTCCAGAGGAGCCCGTATCCAAAGGTGACGTGCTGTCTTTCCTCTCACAGCGACACAACAGGCAGCGGTCTCCAGCCGAGTACGGAGCACGCTGGTTCAGGCCGAATGTGAACGGAGTCTGCGGCAAGCAAATAAGAAAAGACACATTTCCGTTTAATTCAGTTAGTAATTCTTAAAACAACAATACTGGGTTGTACTATTGATTTTGATGGTTCTCCTCAATTCTAAGTAAGACCAATCAAATGTGCCCTGAGTTTAGTTAACCCACCAGCTTTGAAACAGTTGGGCGATGTTGTGAGGACCCCAACTTTCCTGGTAACCATTTTCTGACACGCCAAAACAACAAAAGGATGAGCGTATGGCTGAAATTAACTAGGCTGTTTAATCAATTAATCACAACGAATGCAACCTGTCAACTAATTCTGTAATCACTTAATAATTTTTTAAACCTTACGTTAGACTTAAATATGCCGTGAAGAGGTTTTTATGATAATTCTATGAAGACTGCAGCATGAGACAGAAGTGTTTACAAATTATGTTTAATCAAACAACCAAATGTGTAATACGTCATCTCTATAAAGATGTTCTCCAGCTTGAGCTTTGTTTTGCTTGAGCAAAACTTGAGCTTTGTTTTGGTCAAATGTATAAAATTAAAAATCACTAATCAACTGGCATCTAATCAACAATCAAAAAGAATAATTGGCAACTAATAAATTATCAAGTAATTATTAATTATTTCCCTATAACTAGCAATTATTTTGATATTCAACTGTTGTCGTTTTGTGCTTCACAATCCTTTTTTCTATCTGGAAATGGTACTGCAGTATTAATGTTCATAGTTTTAGACAATGGTCAGAATGGTCCGAACCAAGCAGACTGCATACATCATCAACTAAAGGTTAGGAAGCAGCTTATCACCAGCAGTTGTTCCACCTCTGCTGCTGTTTAAGTGCTGTTGCACTTTATTGTTAGAAACTTTTAGAATTGTTTATTCTATTTGTGAAAAAAAGTATATCTTCTTCTATTTATGCTGGACACCTGAATGTCTGAATCTAGATTGGAAATAGGAGTATTCAGTATCTCAGTTTGATCCACATAATGGTAAAGTAGAGCCAGTCATGAGAAGAGAACTTGTATGTGTGTGTATATGTATTTATGTATGTGTATATATAATAATGTGTGTACATATATTGTTATGATCTTGAGTTCATAACCATTACTAAAAATAATACACAGAATATGAGTCATAGATACAAACATTCACTTCTGTAAACAGCAGCTCTATGTAATACATAAGGATTATCCTTTGACCGGACTAGTTTCTTACAACAATAAATAATGTATTCAAGTTAGTATGAACAACATTAACATTTTATGGCAGCAAATTGAAAGGGCAAGCATAGAAGCAGCAAAACATTATAATATGCTTCCTAACAGCCATGTGTACTAACGTTACTGATGTTACCTGAAGGACACTGGAGAAGTCTGCGTTTACAGGTCCTTCTGTGAACTGTGGAGCCACACTGTTGTTCATATTGACCTAAGGAAAACAAAATATATAATACCCTCCACCCAAGTTCGAACTTCATCATCTCCAAAAATTATCTTAAAGTGTATTCAGAATCAACTTCATTATGTTAAAAATATAGAATACAACTATACACAATAAAGTAAATACAAAAAATTAAATAAAGACTTAAAAATGAAATATAAAATGATGCATTAAACTAAGACTAAATTACTTTACATTTCAAACACTAAAGTACAAAATGAATTATGTTTCAATGTACAATGTAATATGCATCGAAAATCTACAACTGTCAGTGAAACTTGTCTTGCCTTCAAATAATAAGCATTGACATAATCGTTCTCGGACACATCATTAAACATGAAAATGCTTCAGATCTGAAGAGATTGATAGTTAGAAACAAAACGAATTCTGTGGCTTTGACAACAGAGCAGCAAGGCCGAGAGGGACTGAAGTTGTGGACACATTACCCTAGCATTAGCCAGCAGAATGTTTATGTATGCAATAACTATATTTCAACTGCAAAAAATGACTTTACACGTACGCGAACCATAAATAGTATGCAGAAGTCCGTGAACATTGTAATAAGGTAATCGTTTATGTCTGGCTGAATTAAAGTCGGTTTCGCACAAGCTCCAAACTTAAGCTAAGGCAAGAGGACTGGTTGGGCCAGGGCTAGAGCAGCGTATTGTTTAGACTGGCTTATTACACTGTAGTAGTAAGTTTCTTTAAAGATACTAGGCTGTGGGTGTGACCGACTAGAATGTCGGGAAATAACGTAAGAGATACTATAGATCCACAAGAGATTGGCGAGTTTTGCAGAGTTACGTAGCAGAGTTTTCGCTAGCTGTCCCACAGCAGTGTCGGGCCCAGACAGATCGGTGTCGCTGATAACTTCGCTTCTGACATTCACCGGGGAAGCCACGGTGTCTTACCTCTCCGTTGATCCCAGTTATGGAGCCGATATTCCCATTGCTCGCACTGCCAGGAGATAGGAAGTTGACCACGGAGGCAGGTGTAGCAGTCCCTGCACAGCTCAGGCCCTTGGCACCGCTGCTGCTGCAGACAGCACTGCAGCTACTGACACCGCCCCGCTTGTTCTTCCTGCGCTTAGCCCCTCGTTTAGCATCGGTTGGACTCATTTTTCTGCGCAAACACGGCGAGACAACTAGTCCTCCAGGTTTGAGAATGTTTCAAGTCAAACACCCGGCAAGATTTCTTGCGTTGGTATCCGGGAAAACGTTTAGAAGTCTCTCAAAACGTTGCAACGCTCCAGCAAAGTGTAGCTCGACTTCATAGATTCCAATATGGCCTCTGGGTGGGCTGCTGCGTGGTTTGCGTAGTGTCGTCATTCTGCGTGTCCTAGTAGGAGGCTCATGGGAAATTGAGTTTTTTAATGTACATAAATAAACAAAAATACAATGTATGTATATATATATAAATCGATATATATTTAATGTGATATAATACATTACCCATAATATGATGAATAAAACCGTTGGCTGTGTTACAACACTTCTTTACCTAAAAATAAAATGGTTTTCGTCTGAGCTTGCGTTCTATAGATTTCACCACACGAGGGCAGACTTGTCAAGCATGTGTCCTGTAGATTTGACACACGGATGACACCCGAGGGCCCCACAGCGGAGACCAGTCTTTCCGGGGTTTGATTAGAAAGTCCGGCGTGGCTGATTGAAAAGAGTGAAGCGCCCCTAATGCAACAGAAGCACTGTTTTACCCGAGCAGTTTAATGATCAGGAGGGATTCGCACTGTTCTTGTGGAAAACGCCGAGCTCTACTGTGCTCAACACGGACAACAGCTAACTACTGTCAGGAGCTAGCGTCCAAGAGTTAGCCACGGACCAAGCGGGTAACACAAACTTTTGATCATCACCACTTAGCTTTATCTGATAACTGAGTAATTAGGAACAAATACTTGTGCATGTGTCTGAAGTGTATCTTAATATCTTCGCGTGGTTTAGTCATTTTAGCATCACGTATTGACGTCCACCGAGCCCCCTCCTCCTAAACAGCATCCTTGTTCCGAATCAACCTGCATGGACTCAATTATGGAATTTTCTACAATTCCAAATATAATTGTCATGTTTTTTATTGCTTTGGATATGGGTTTGCTCGATCACGTGATGGTTAATGCAAAGGTTGATGCAACAGGTCATTTACCTAAAAGTTGTAAACTAGTTCCGTGTGCATTAGAAAATACGTTGTGACTGTTGCTTCAGGAGGTCTGACAAAGACATTTGTGAAATTAACATGCGCATCAAGGTATGAAGTATTCACGAGAAATTCTGAGAGTTCTGTCCTGTGCAGTAGAATTGTTCCAGAAAAAATATGCACACCCACCTCATATAATTTTACTTTCATGATTTTATATTTTTAATTTCTCTGTTCCCAATTTTCCCCAATCATCCCAAATCGTAGGCCAATTAGTTAAGCAATCATTGTTACATAATAATCACATTACAGATTCTATTGATCACTTTTCCCTCATCAACATAGAACAGGCTCAAAAGGTTCCAATAGGCTCAATAATCCTGCTGGTAAGCTACTGCAGGCTCCACAATATTTCCTATGCACATCATAACATGTTATAATTGTATTCAACGCAACGCTTAAACCTCTTAATATTAGTTAAAGTTGTGGGTACCTAACCTTTCTGTTTCATAAATAATACACATTGTTTTTCCCAACTGAAAGAGTATTGTTAAAGGTGCCATATTCTCTATTCTTCATGTTTCACAGTCCATCCTATGCACATGTGTGATGAAAATTTGAGTGATACACCGTACAACACTCAAAACTTGTGAGATTATTGCCATTTCTTGCATAGGTGATGTCACCTCAACTCAATCGAGCTGATCCAGAGCCTGTGAACAAACAGCATATTTATTGTGTATTTATTTCCCTGTTTTGACACCATTAATTAAGAACGATACAACAACAAAAAACGCAATTCTGTGTGTCATATTCGTCATTGATCCCGGGCGTTTCGCTGACTCTTGAGAATGAAAACAAAATTATTGCTCTCGAACTAAAGCTTGAAGCGATCAGTGAAAAAATCATTGATAAAATAGCACTGTGATGATGTTTAAAGCAGAGAAGGGTCAAGAAGCGTATTGGGCATCATAAAAGTAAGATATTGTGACGATCATATGATAGAAAATAGGGCTGAGAGCTGAGGCTGGTCCAAGCTAATCTAAAGATGTGACAACCAATAGAACCCAGTCATTTCATTGATTTTTATTTCATTGTTGTATGAAAGTTAGGTACCCCAGCCTTAAGTATGTGAATAGTATAGATATATCTAATATATATATACAGTATCTTTAACGGACTTCATTCTCTGATGGCAGTGAGCAAACTACTATGACAAATGTGAGAGTAACACACAAGTAGCTCTTTGTAACTCAGAGTCCATGTAAAGCCAAAATCTAGGCCCTCATTGTGAACTGTCATGTGTTTGTTTCCAGGTATGTCGGAAGTTAGTCTTGAGGCTGAATCGGGGAAGACCTCCGCAGGGGATCCTCAGATGAGTAGTGAGGAGGAGGTCAAAGCAGATCAGAGCGTTAGTGAGGATAATGCAGACAGCGACGGTGCTAGTGCAGAGGACACAACCGGTGAGCTTTATGAAGTGGATATAGACAGTGGAGAAGAGACAGAAGACGGGAAAACATTGAAAAAAGAAGATGGCACTCACACTGAGAGCAGAGTAGACAATAAAGAGGATGGTGAACATATTACAGACAGCAGAAAGGGCACAGAAACGCCAGGATTGCCAGAGAAGGGTGGAGATGCGCGGGCGGAAACCAAGGTGATATGGAAACGCTTGGCCTAGTATTCTGTAGTGGTGGCTGTATGTCGGTGTCTGGGTTGTGGCTTGCTGTGGTGGTGGGTACTTTGCAACGACAAGAAATCAGCCAGACTTGGGCTATGGGAAGAATCATCATCTTAATTTCACCAGTGTAGTATGGTGCTGGTCTGTGCTTATGAAAAAAATTACGTATTGTCATTTTTTTCATACAAAATAACATGGACATTATTCAATTTAATGGCATGAATATAAACTTGCTGCTGTAGATAATAAAAATCATGCCTGGTTTTATAGAAATGGAATTGTAATTTGTAAACCTGCAATTTATGATCCAGAACCACACTGAATAAATGCACCAACCAGTACCATATCCCTGTGTTGAAACACCTTTTAGTCTACTCGTTTTCTACTTGTGGCCTTTCATGGCAGTGGATCACTTTGATGGGACTTTGTGATATTGTTAAAATCTCTTTGGCTTTTACAATTGTTCTGTGTTGTTGCTTCGGAAGGACGCTGATTACTCCAATGTCATTATCCCGCTTTATGCCAATATATCTGCATGACATGTGATTGTTGAAACAGCCAATCTCTCAAATCTATGCTGTTTATTGAAATGATAAATTCAATATTTCAGTTATTTGCTGTGTCCACATGGTAAGTGGTAGATTTCAGGTAAGTCTTGATCCGGAATGTGGAGCTATTACTGACTGAATAGGTTTGACATGCAGCCCTTTTGCAATCATTACTGTATCATGTACATTTGTTTTGCAAAAGTGGACATAAGTTTGCCATTTTATTTGTAAAAGGATTGAGTTCAATATGGCTAAATATTTACATTGTTATTACATTATTCTGCAGTTTTATTGCTTCGTGCTTTATCATTAAATGGATTGCATTTAAGTATTTCAATATTGTTGTTTATCATAGTAATATTCTGTTCAATTACTCAAATATTGTCAAACTTTTTTATCACTCATACACACACACACACATTTTCTAATTGTATTTTACTTAATTTTCATGCTTTACAAAATGATTTACTGCACTATATAACTAAGCCCTCTATGCCCGTATGTATTGATTAATTTCAAATATTTGATTCTAAAAAATAAACAATTATTTCTACTTGAAACCAAACTATTGTAAGTCATCCTCAAAACCACATAAAACTATAATGCCACGTGGTGAAAATCCATGAATACAATGGACCTCGGTGGACCTCTGTATATGAAAGACATGGCGTGTTGATCATCTTGAGTTATATAATATATATATAAATATATAATCACTTATTTTCTCACAGCAAGTGTCTAGTTCTTAGAGCTTGGAAAGTTGGCTTGAATAGCAGCTCCTCCTCCTCCATAGCGGCCCTGGTGTTAGTTGCACACATGCAGTTTTCAGCCACAGCCGGTCACATGGACCCGCAGACACTGGGCTCCCGGCTGCACATTCTCTTATTGCTGGAATGTGACTATTCTGGCTCCTGATGGTCACACGCCTAATTACAAATTTTAAGGTTTTATAATAACTTGATCGTATATTGTCTTACCATGGACATAGTTTGTTGATGCATATCTGACCAGGGATTGTCACACTTCAGGTAGAGTTCCCAAAATGAATATCTCAATGAAGTCTAAGTATCAAAACATATTTAATCAGCTAGACTAGGGATGCACAGATCCAACTTTTTTTTCTCCGAAACTGACCCCAAAACCAAAACATAATAAGTAAAGTTTATCTTCCAGTAACTGCTGAAACATTTTGTTTTAATAAAAGTGAATGACACATTGGCACATACAGACCGCCAGATCATTATGATGTTTATTATTATTTTATTTTTTATGAAAAACCCCAATAATGACCAATAACACACATGTAACCCATGTAACTTTTACAAGCTTACTCATCTTGTTAGTTGTGCTTTGTTAGTCCCAGATTATTCCTAATTTTGTGTGCACTGTGGGTTGAGGCTGCTGTTTGCCTAATTAGCAGATCCATCCTGTTCTGTGTGTCATGGTACACTTTAGTCTCCAGGAGACGGCCTCCAAAGACGGCCTCCAAACCTGGGCAGTATGACTTAATATCTAATATGACGTTGCCATCACCTCTTATCCTATTGTTGCTTACCACCATTATGTTCCCGCTGCTGTTAGCTCCTTGGTTTACTGCCTACTTCAGTCAAACAAAGGGTTCAGGAGGATCACAAAACCAGTATGACTTACAACAATTCGAAAAGATGTGCTAATGTTACAGTCGATGGGTCAAAGGAAGTGCGATATTGACAAGAAGTTGAATTTAATATCAATTTGTCCAAATTGTGTTTTTGGAGGACTGTAAAAGCGTAACTCATCAAAATAGTTGTCAACTAATGCAATTGTGTCCTTGGGCATGTTATTTTTTTTAGAATATGGCGAAAAAAAATCTGTTTTGGTTTGCTGACACACTCACTCCGAGCAGTATTATTGTATGATAAATACTGTGTACTCTTTGCAGCATGCTTGTTACAAGCAGTTCCCGGTTCTAGAAACATGTCTGCTGTTTGTGCAGGCATCGTGTGTCTTTAAAACATTTATGAGCTGTTACAGGACACTTCCTTGTCAATGCTTGTTTATTTTCACATGGCTGGAGTGAAAACTATATACTGTGTAGCAGAGACACCCTGAAAAGTCTCATACTTTTAAATATATTTCTGTGGGAGCCATACATTATTTTTTACACTGAAGAAATCCAATACATAAAATATTCATACTTATTAATGCCAAAAAATATGAATCAAAAGAGCCACAGCTTCCTGACCTCTGCTGTACAGTCTGGTTGTGGACTCTGATCATCATTATATCATGGGAAAGGTGTTTTGTGATGTGAAGCGTCATTTCTTTGGCACATTTTATATTTTCAAATTATATTATAAATTATACCTTAAAGGAAAAGTGGTTTAAGTATCTTGCTCAAGGACACGACAGCAGACATCAGTCAGTGGAGAAAGTCTTGTGGTGGGCTGCATCATCATATTGTGTGCACCATGTGCACTTGCATATTGTACATGGTAACTGTAATTATCCTATTTTGAATTTTACTCATTAGAAGTATATGCTGATTTCTTATGCCTTACTCTATTCCCTTTCTTCTGACTGTTGCACTGAGCCAAAGCAATTTCCAAGTCTCTGACTTCCTGTTACTTACGTGGCAATAAAAATCATTCTGATTCTGATTCTGATCAATGTAAAAATGTCAACTTATCATCAAATGTCAATTATTTAATCAATCAATCAGAATTTATTTATAAAGCGCTTTTCATACAGAAGATGCAACACAAAGTGCTTTAAATGTAATAGTCTACTAGTAGAGTATGACCAATAATGCAATGTTAATACGTCTTTCTCATTATCATTTGTCAGTTATCACTCTAATGTAGTACAGTTACACGTGTGGTTGCATGCTGATATATTGCGTGTTTCGAATCCACAGTGGCTTCCTGGAATCTTTCATAGTGACGACTTGTGAGGGAATGCCCAGTTCTGGAGTCCATAGTGCAGTAGAGCCGCATAGGGATCGGAGCCACGTTGTGCTTTTTATTGCCAAATAACTGACTCCACCCTGCGGTATGGAGCAACATCCCAATGTGCAACAACCCCTCAGCCATCTTTTAAGTTGTCACTAACTTATGAACTCATTAGAAATCCATTCAAGTTCAAACTATTAAACCATTTTAAAAAATGTATCTAGTTCCTAGACCAGTGTTTTTCAACCACTGCCATGGTGTGTTAATGTGCCTTGAGAAGCTGTTTGGTGTGCCTTTTGAAAATTATCCAATATCACCTGATTGATCAAAATAATGTGAAAAGAAAATAATGTGAGAACTTAGAAAGATGGTTTGTTCATGAAGGCTGCAGAGTTACATGTTTGTACCAGTTTCAGCCGGTGGTGTGCCATGTGATGGTGTTCAATGAACAGGGTGTGCTACAGCTCAAAAAGGTTGGGGAACACTGTCCTACTCTGCTTATGGCACATATGAACCAACTCAGACTTTGACGAGTACAGGGACTGGCCTCCTGGTGGGACTCTTGACTTGGGACTAAACATTGGGAGTCAGTGTTTTCTGGCAATGTTCAAGTCTAGATTAAAAACAGCTCTGTTTAGCTGTGCATACAACCTGAATTATTTTATCTGCACTTTTGTTTGCATACTGTGACTTTTTGGTTTTTATCTGTTTAAGATTTTAATGTTCTGTTGTTGATGTTGTAACACCCATTATCCAATCAGAAAGTAACACTAACCTTCCATGTGATGGCTGTTATTTTGGTGCAGAAGGCTCAGGAAAGCACCATGGCTGAGGATGCACTCAGGAGCTCAGCTGCAGAGATCCCAGTCACCACCAACGGAGACCTGGACCAGAGCCCTGACCAGGTCTTCCAGAGGGTGAGGATGACCAGAGCTTTTCATATTATTGAAGCAACCTACATACAGTACTAGTGAGAGTAGTGCCTCATAGTGAAATAAGAAATGTTACTGTTGTTAACTGCCAAACTTGAACATTGTATTAAATAGTGTGAAACTAGTCTGAATTCGGGTCCTTGTATTTAGTAGTAATATCAAGAAATGTTATGAAGATTTTTAATGCATGCCTTTGAGCCAAAGCAACTTCCTAGTGTGTGACTTCCTGTTACTTACAATGGGAATAAAAAAAAATCAGATTCTGATGTACTGTATAGCCTCAACTTTATAATCAGTAATTATCAGGCATTGAATACTCAAACATTAAACGTGATGGTTGTTCACTAGTAGTAATACTCACAAAAAAGTTTACAAACTTTGTAGTAGAAGGCCATTTGATTGCTAAAAGATCAAAATGCATATGTCAGTTGAAACACTGAGGTTTTTGTATTATAATTACTATTAAGCCTATTATACAATATAGTGTGCGTTGATTGAACATTGATTGAGTGATATTTGTGTTCAGGACTCTTATTCTGGAAGCCCTGGGGCTCTGAACCTATCAGAATCCTGTGTGTCCCCAAACAGCTTCTCTTCAATAGCAGAGGGTGTGGGTGAACCGGGACCATTCACAGGTGACTGTTTTGATATTGTTTTGTGAACAAAATGTCTTTGGTTTTGCTTGGATTGGTCAGGTGGACAGGTGGATGGTTAATTTCTGAGAAGCAATTAATTTTGTTACAAAAAACGGAACAAAAAACAAATCTCAAACAAAATATTTAGTTAGTTTTGTTAGTAGAGATGAAATATATTGTTTTTCATACTTGCATACCACCCACTATAGTTTTTAACTACACAATAGATGTCTATATTATTGTAATTGTATTGTTTAACCTTTTCATTGTTCTCTCGTTTGAGAAGTGAAATAACCACAGACACATACAGCCCTCTTTATCTGTGTGATATTTCTCAATGATGGATATTGTTACTCACTTAATAAGACATTTGAATATATACAAATACACATCTGAATGTGATTATTGCTCCTTCTTATCTCCATTTCATATCATCACTCCCTTTTCCACGATGCAAATGCATGTGGCCCGTTCCTCACAGGCCGACAGTGGAGCGTGTGAATACATTTATAATTCTGCATTGTGAACACGCATTTCTTAGGGTCAGCCAGCCTGCCCTCGTCACCTGTGACACCTGTAGCTCCCAGCTCGGCGGTTGCTAGCCGGCTGGCTCGCTCCTCCAGCTGTAGTCAGGCTGAGAAAGGTACCAGCAACAGCACCTATAGGAGGCAATGTGCTTCTAATACATGGAGGCAACTAATATTTCTATTAACATCAAGACACCTTTATGATCACTTCTTGCACAAAAAAACTGTCTCTTATTTGGTTGTCTGTCTTTTCTACACCAATCACAGTCACCCAATCTGATTTGTACATGTCTGCTTTAGTTGTGGAGGCTCTTGTCTCCGCTCTTGCAGCTTTTATCTTCCTAAGGCACTGGCGCCGCTCCTCTCCTGCGCCCATCTTTCTGTTGATTAAAAATCCATAATGTCTTTTTCTTGTAATGCATCACAAAGATCGTGTCATAATGAGTTCTCCCCTCATTCATCATATATCAAACAGCTACTGTACACAAAGATTCCCTCCAGCATTCACATCCTGTTATTTTATGTTGTTTAGGTCAAATGAAGGGAGAGGCCCAGAGTGGAGCACTGGTGCTCTCCGACGACCTCAAAAGCCCAGCAATGGAAAAACTGGATCTTGTTCGAAAGTGGAGCATCAACACCTACAAAGTAAAGATGTCACAGCATTGTTTTATGAACCTTTGTGTTGTTGTTCTGTTTTTAAACAAAAATAATCATTAAATAGGAGTAATACATGTTATATAAAGCATGAATATAATCAAAGTACAAGGAATAGAGGGAAGTGTTTATGATATCTAAAATTCAACAGTGAATATGAATAAACTGCTGCTTGTGCAGAAGATTTTTATTAATATATACACATTTTTCAAGATTTATTTTCCAGATTTGTTTATTGCAACTATGAAAATGTTTTACTTTTTGAATACCGGTATGTCCAATGTTGCCATAAAGCCATCTGCAAATATAATGTTAAATGTAATAGCAGTTACTGGTTTGTACACATAATATAAAGCTGGTCCTCGTCTTAGTTTCTATGGTCCAATCTCTCTTAACAGTGCTGTTGTGTCCCTACAGTGCACTAGGCAGATTCTGTCGGAGAAGCTGGGGAAAGGTTCCAAGACTGTGGATCTGGAGCTGGAGGCGCAGATCGAGATTCTCCGGGACAACAAGAGGAAGTACCAGCACGTGATCCGCTTGGCACAAACCCTGGTCGCACAGCTCACCCAGATCATGCAGACGCAGAAGCAGCTGGGCGACGCCTTCAGTGACCTCAGCCTCAAGTCGCCGGAGCTCCACGTAAGACCAGCGGGGACCCATGGTTATATCACTGTTATGTCTCCAGGACGTTCAAGGCTAATATTAGGAAGGAAGGCAGGAAAATTGTCTGTAGTGCATCTGCTAGTGCTTGTGTGTCACAGTAAGAAGGTCCTGGGTTCGATTCCCTATGTGTGTGTCGGTTTTTTCCAGGTGTCGCTTAGTTCTAGAAACATGTACAATAGTTCAGGATGAATGAGTATATGTATGTGTTTGTGAGTGCGACTGTCGGACAGCAAATGCAAATTTGTCTATTTTCTGGAGATTAATGTGCACTGCTCCAACCAGTAAAAACAACAAAAATAATTTAACTTATAACCGAATTTATTTTATTAGTTGAAGGCTAGCAGAGCATTGGTCTTTGGTCCTGCTGGTCAACCCAGAAATTGATTAAAAGAAATAAAATTGATTCATGGATGGATGGATATCCAAGAGCCCCAATCCAAATCCCATCCAATACTATATCTTAATCTGAGCAGTCTATTTAATGTTTTGGTTTCCTTCTGTAAACCTACCCTAAATGTTGCTAAAGATTTACATTCTATAAACATCAGTGTTTCTTGCACTTTTCTTTCTATTGTATACGTTGTAAAACAGTTACCCTCAGTTCACACGGTTGACCACTTTACCCTACCTCTATATCTGTCAAATCAGACCTTTTGCTTTGGTCTCCTGAAAGACGTGCAGTGTTATCCTGTGTCTTCAGGAGGAGTTTGGTTACAACGCTGAGACCCAAAAGCTTTTATCCAAAAATGGAGAGACACTTCTGGCAGCCATCAACTTCTTCATCTCCAGTGTGAACACTCTAGTGGACAAGACCATAGAGGACACCATGTTAAACATCAAGCAGTATGAGATTGCCAGGTAATGTTCATTTAAGAATATGCTCTTCTCAGTAGACATTTTGGGGTCTGTGCCTGTAAAATGTTAAGTCTTGCTGCAGTTTGATACAATAATAATATTTGTTTGTATAGCACTTGTTTACAAAGTGTTGCATAGTCACCATAAAATGATACAAGTGAATAAGAACAGTCATTATAATATAAAATATCAAAAAGAACACGTACAGGAAATGAAGCAGACATTGGGCACACAACAAGAAAGATAAAACAAAGACTATGTGGAACAGTAAAACACATACTGTGAAGTCTACAACAGACTGTTAATGGAAGCCCGATTCAGCACATTCAACTGAAGTTCCTATATGAAATGTGTTCTACAAATAAATGTTCCTCTAGGACAGGGGTGCTTGCACTTTTTCAGCATGCGAGCTACTTATAAAATGATCAAGTCAAAAGGATCTACCTACTACAAAAATGCAAAACATATATATATATATTTCTGAATATATTGAGGATTCTTTATATCTACAATGTATGTTGATGTACATGCAAAACCGCATGATTTATTAAATAATTTGCATTTAAGCACCGCCTCTGGTGGTCATCCAGGATTCATAGAACTGTAGTTTCATTCGTAACTTTCGTTCTGTAGCCCTGGTTTGATCCTGGTTTAGCTCCTGTTTGGGTTGTTTTCGAGCGTGCGTGATCACTTTGCCGCTCTCTGATGAGGAGCGAGGATGTTCGCTGCTGTGAACCGCTGCAGTAGAGAACAGTTTTTAAGGCAGTATGATCCATGCTTCAGTGATCAGAGGTTGCCTATTTGTTTGTTGCAATCTTCCATTACTACCTTTGCGATCGACTGGTAGATCGCAATCGACGTATTGAGCACCCCTGCTCTAGGACTAGCTTCAAACCATATTATTCCCTCAAACATCTGTCTTGTTCATACACACTTTAATTAATAATTCTTTCTCCCTACAAAGTCATAGTGGAGCTGGCTTTAGAAAAATTCTCTTCCGACTTGTTCATTTCTAGATTTCTTTATCAACAATATTATATTCAACGGTCAAAGGTATCTGAATATTTTCTTCTCAAAAGGGTGGAGTATGACGCGTACCGTACAGACCTGGAGGAGTTGAACCTGGGGCCCCGTGATGCCACCACCATGCCCAAGATTGAGATGTCCCAGCAGCAATTCCAAATATATAGAGAGAAATATGAGAAGATGAGGAACGATGTTTCGGTCAAGCTCAAGTTTCTGGAAGAAAACAAGGTCGGATGTCCTATTGTTTTTTTATCTAATCAGACATAATGAGTTAGATATACACTACACGGCTGGAAATAAAGTGTTCAAACTTTTGGAAAGTCAAAGTTGCAGATTGCAAATCAATTACAATATCTACAATGTTGGGGAGAATACTTTACGTTGTGTTTAAGTTACAGAATATGGAATGCATACTTCCTCATGTTGGTTATGCATGTTTTGTTATTGTTAATTAGAAAAGGGTACAACTCACTTAGGCATCAAGTGCAGTTTTTTAATGCCACCATGAATTCCCAAGTAACTTTAACTTATTCTCAGTACACTAATATTAAGGTTAATGTGTCAAATGTGTCTGAGTAGTGACACCGCATTGAGCATTTTGGCCAAAATATGAATGCGTAAAATATAGAAATAAAGATTTTATATAAGGTGTTATTATGAATGCAATTTTGGCATGAAATTATTTGGTTAAAGGCCAAAGACTAAATGTAGACCTCTACAAGTTAAATGAATTGTCTGCCATCAGAGGCATTCAAATATTATGTGAAGAACGGTGTCCTTTATAAATACAACATTCACACATCTTTCGTTCATTGCAGGTGAAAGTTTTGCACAATCAGCTCATCCTGTTCCACAACGCCATCTCTGCGTACTACGCCGGGAACCAGGAGCAGCTGGAACAGACACTGAAGCAGTTCCACATCAAGTTAAAAATGCCCGGAGGAGACGGCCCATCCTGGTTAGAAGAGAGCCACTAAAGCCTCGTTCTCTCTCCAGAGTCCAAAATCCACTTCTACTACAGGAACTGCCACTTCCTCATTCAACTCAATCTGCCTTTGAAACCGTTTGACAATTGTTAATGTTTTAAAGACAGAACCTCTCGCACCATATGTTTCCTGTATACAACAAGATCTTCAAATCATAGACATGCACTTTTTGTACGTTCTTTGTTGAAAAAAGAAAAAGAGATGCTGCATTTTCTTATGAAAATGGAAAACTGTAACAGCCTTTTGTTGCTCCAGCATATGAATGTCCTAATATGGCGTAACTGGCTTGTTGTCTTCACAGGCAGCTACAGTATATATTTTTTTTTAGATGCCATAAACTCAATCATGTACATAGCTATCATATGACCCAAATGTCAGGGCTTTAAAGCTGATCAATTGCAACTATAGGGTAACTAAATTTTAAATATTTTTAACTCAACTTTTTGTGGGTATACAGGCAACGACTGAATGCTAAAGTAATGTTTTCCAAAACAAAATGAAGGACCAGCCTTACGTGACTCAATGTGCCTTTTAGATTGTGAATATCTGCCCCACCAGCCACTCTTACAACTTGGACTCCAACAATATCTCATTAATACTATGAAAAATACTCTTATTGTCTTTTTGGCCACAAAATTGTCTAAATAGAGCATGTGCATTTCCTAAAATCGAAAATTACTAACCTTAACCACAAGGGGTCAGTAATAAAACATGTTTGCTACAGAGCTCTATTGTTCAAAGCCATGTTCCTGGATCTAAATTTCCCATTAGCTGTCACACTCTTGATTTTTTGGTTAAAAAAAATAAAAATAATAATAATCCAGACACAGGTCTAAAAGCAGCTATGGGGACAAACTGTTAATAGTTATATCCAGGCTAATATTGTAAAAAAAAAAAATTAAAAATCCCAAAACTAGATTGAGTAAAATGGCTGATGGACTATTATTGTATCCCTCTTTTGTTTGGTCTTTTAATAAGAAATATATCCAGTTTACAGGACCAACATACAATGCAAACATGCACACATTTTGATTAAATACACTCCATTGATATTCTTAAAACATAATCTAATGTTGGAGATATCTATCCTGTTTGCACACAAATATTTTTGCATCGAGACAATTGTATAGCTTATAACAAGTGAACCAAAATACACTTTACTTTTTTGTACATGAGACCAGCATCTTTAGCCTGAGCTGCTAACATAGTTCTTATATTAGGCTCTGAAAAGGTCTATTTTTAAGTCGAAAATACTGCATGGTGATATTTTACCAACACTCCTTAGCAGTTTGAGTGTGAAACGTATCTAACAATCTGATTCTCTAAACATATTTAGAAGGATTTATACAATATATATATATATATATATATTTGTAATTTTGTCTGATGAACTTTCAACCTGTGTAGACCAATGCTGCCATTTGGCCCTGTGTGCGTTTGCTGAATACCATGATATGCTAGTTGTAACTGGTGTATCTTTAGCTTTTGTAATCCTGAAAGTGGAGTCAAGATAGATATTTGAATGTAGTGTATTTTGACTGGGGAAATAAAGGCTCCTTTTCTGTACATCTGCTCTAAAGGGTATTATTTTGTAAAGTAGATTTAATGGCTCAATGGAATACTCCTGTAAAGGCTCCAGCACTTCCTCTTTGACCTGGTTTTCCTTTCTTCTCATGTTTACAATGGGATATCACGGTAAAGAGATGTACGCAATGCCTTTTGAGACTCCCTGTACTGTAAGTCTTTCTATGCTTCCTTCACTTGGCTCTATTGAATACTATCACTGTGATGTTTTCCTAAGATGACAAAGCCACACCCATATGCATCCTGTAAGTTAGATAAACATGCAGGGATAGAAGCGGGAACGACATTGAATCATATCGTGTTATTGTATTGAATAACTCTATGAACCTCAGACCAACCACGCTGTTATTGTTTTGACTGGTCCCACCCAGACTCGTCATTTCTTATTGGCTGTGTGGGTTAGAAGTAATTGAGTGGCATTTGTGGATGAATTAGGACTGCTAAATAAACATTGATTTGAGCTGTATAATAAAGCCTGCAGTCTTGGAGGGACATCATAATAAACAATCAAAAAATGATAATAAACACACATCCTTGTTTTGAATACAAATGTTTCACAAGTTTAAACCAATAGCAGCACTTTTTCTGCAACATCCATTATCTTCTGCTTTATCCGTTGCTGGGTCCCATAGGCAGCAGTCCAAGTAAAGACGCCCAGAGTCTCCACGCACACTTTAACACACTTCAGTTCGAGTCTATTTATTCTTGTATAGCCCTAAATCACAAAAGTAGTTACACAAGAAATGCAACAATTTAAGAAACACATAGAGCCATTGGTCCATAAGGGGCAGATGACCAATGTCCATAAATGTTGATAAATGTCCAACACCAGCTTAATCGAGGCACTCCCGCTGAAAGACATCGTCCCATCTCTGTCTGCAACTGGCTCCTCTCAACATGGCGAAGCAGTGGCTCTACTCCGAGCTCTCATGCGAATGGAAATTAAAATGTTGTTCCTTTGGCTGTGATTCGGCCATTTATTTCATCTGAACTAGTTTTTTTCCCATGTGGATGATTTCGCCTCATTGAGTTATTTTCTTTATTTGGTGACACACACTCAAACACACTCTGACTCACCCTGAATTGCTGTACTGTTTTTAGTGTTTCGTATTGTTTTTTAGAGGTAGGGGAAACCGAAGCACCTGGAGGAAACCAACACAGGTTTCATTTTTCCACCTCTAGAAATGTCCAACTTTTGTTTATGATCATGTTTGTTTTCTTTTGTTATTAATAGTTAGGCTGCAAAGAGATGGGCAAGGACCTGTAGAGAACTGCAAAACGTTCAAGCACACTAGTTTGATAGACAGCAATATTTGAGACCGAAATTAGGACTCACAGAATTATGAAACTACTGGAACTCCCAGATCTGCCATTTTGACTGAATATCACAACAGGTTGTTTGTACGTTTTTTTTTTTTTGTTTTTTTTTTTTACCGTGACTCTATTTTACTAAGAGCTAAAACTTGAAATACAGAAAAAACAGTTTGTCGAAAGGCAACAAAATTCTAACAGCTTGCAATTAAACTGTGTTGCTATGGTAACTATTGTAACTAACTGCTCACGTTTCCAAACTTAAAGGTAATTTAATTAGAAAAATAAGGGTGTAGAAATAAGCTGCATATAGAAACAGAAAAAGTCACAAAGTTATTAACACCAAACATGTACATACGCCGAGCAAGTTCACTTCAAAAGCTGTCAAATTGACTGCTAGTGTTAACCATAGGTTCTAGTTTATTTAAGACAATGTATTTTCTAAGGATAACGCCTACACTGTTAACAATCATTTGGCCAGTATGTTTTGCACTTCCCTCCTAAAGTGCAAACTGCAGCAGCGCACTTGGTACGTGAGCGTCAGAAGTGCGCACCTGGGCCAATGAGCGCGAAGCCTCCCCCCTCTCCCCCCCCGCTCTCCTCCCTCTCCCTCCGCCTCTGCAGCCTCTGTATTTGACTGCAGCTCCACCGGGACAAGGGCCGCTCACCTGGCCAGCTCCAGGAACCCTCTCTCCCGCATAGATTTTCTCCTCTGAAAAGTATCCAGCACTAACCTGAACGCAGTCGGAGCGGATTACGCGTCCCGACCAGCCCTGACATCCTCGGGGTAAGTGGAGGCGGGAGCGGGCTTCTCTGCACCAGCATCTCGGCGTGTCTGCATCAGGTCTGCGTGGATGAGACGATTCTAACCTAGTCAAAATAAAAAACCCAGCGGTGTGTGTGTGTCTGTGTGTGGGTTAGATTGCAGTGAAAGGATGTTTTGTCTATGTCTTGTCTGTACAATGTCAACATCACAAAAAGGCTAACCATGGACAACTTCATACAGCCCATTATAAAGTTAAGCTAATGTTATGGTCAACGTAGCAGCGTGGAGTGCAATAGCTATCTGGCCTAGAAATGTTTTATTTTTACCTACAGACTATAGGTCTAGGTCTACTGTTGCGGATTTTTTTTAAATTTTGTTTACAATGATGCTGGCTGCGTATGTTTTGCTCCTGCATGTGCTGCAAGAGCTTTTGTATTGTGGGATTTATGGATTAAACGTGATTCAATCATTTCAATTCAATGTATTTGTGTATTGTTGATTCCTTAACAACAGATATGTTCATCAATAATAGCTTAAAATACATTATAGTTGGCTTTATGTCAACCTGCTTCAACAGTCAGTAATCACTCCAAACAGAGAATAGTAGAATCCTACAATACTGTTGTATGAAGTAACCATGAACCTGTACTTCTAAGAAGAAAAAACAACACAGTTTCAAATGAACTTTCTTAATATGTTTGTATGACATAGGTCATTGAAATACAATTGAGATTCAAGGATCACGTTTCCAAAAATGCCTTGTTATTGAATTACTCATTAAGTACTTATGATGACAGTGCACCTGTAGTACTAGTTAAAAACAACACTCCTTTACAGCTTTGCTATCATTATTAGTAGCCAGTGTTTAGCACATTGTAATTCTGTCCATGTAAGTCTACTTTATTCCTCACTTTTGTCTAATTATAATTGAGTTATTGAACACAACCCAGACATGTATCTGCTAAATCAGTTGCTGTTGTGATGTCTTGACAGTAGTCCCGCCCCATCCTCCCTCATTTATCTGCACCTATTTTAACTTTATAACTTTAATTTGGCTGGTTTTGTTTTGCTTCTCTCCGACTTTTCTTCTACGGCCTTTGTACACTGCCCCTGATGCCCAGATGAATTAGAGGGCAATCCATTCAAAGTGACATGAACAATAGCGCAGTGCACATGGGGGCTCGTCCTGGCCGGGTCAGGAGGGAGGGCGCCCTTACCCGGTTGCTGTGGAGGCCTAGAGTTGACATGGAAATCGCACCGCTCTGACGTCACCCTGGAGGAGAAGATATTGGGGGACTTGATTTATTTGTGTGGGAGGCGGTCATGGGTGAATAGTGTTTGGCAAATCAAGTGGTTTTTATTGGTCTGTGCTCTTGGATGAGATCGGGTTGTGGGATAGATCAGGGGTTCCCAGCCTTTTTAGCCCCGTGTACCCCTGTGCCAGCGTAAAGAGGGCACGAGTACACCTGATGTTAGGGGGGGAATTATTTAATGTACCTTAGTGGTCAAATTCATTCTGGCCCGGGACCACAACTTATTTTAGGCTTTACTGTTACCCCAAGGTCTCCATGGTTTTCTGTTGAGAAAGTTTGCTTCTAACTCCTCCTCTTTCATTCTTTGAATTAATTGTGATTTTATTCTATTGTGTAGATATGTTTTATTTAAGTTGAGTTTTGAACACAATGGACTGCACCAAAACTGGACCAAAAGTGAGAAAGGCTTGCTATTGCACACTGATGGACCAATTATTATCATTGTGAATTGAGTTCTAGGTTCAATATTTAGATAATTGGTCTGTTTGTTTTTTGGAGAGAATTATCTTTAAGATCATGTAGTCCATATGAATCAACAATTGTATGTTTTAAACAGGAGGCACTGGTATAGTTGCCTCCTCTAAAGAGATTTGGGGACTTTTATTGTTTTATGTTGTCTGTTTTTTAATGTGTTGTGTCTTGTCTATTTTTGTTCTATTTTTTGTTTTGTTCTGGACTACGAGTCTCTAATAAAGCTAGCTATCTATCTATCTATCTAAACCCCTGTAATACCCTGCGTACCCCTACAGGTCTGAGTTCCCCTGGATGGGAAACACTGGGATACATTATCAAAGCAGCACTTGTTGCAGAGTGGGTCTAAAGCACAGTCTTACATTGTGCATTTTGTATTGATGCTTTCCCACTACTACTTTACAAGGTGATGAATCAGGTCTCGTTGGGGTTGGTCTGAAATTGATATTTAATTCATTCATTCATTTTGTGTTACATTTACATAATTTATGTGTTATTGACAGTTCCATATGCACTCCCATAGTTAGGGTGAATGAATCATGGCCAACGATTAATTGGTTGATTGGAGACTGACAAAAGCTCTCAAAACTAGTAATTATTTTGCTCTATTTATTTTCCAGACCAATGTATTAACTAAACAACCAAAAGTCCTAATAGTTATATGGTCTTTACAAAATGGTAACTGTTTTTTTTTTTCTAGATTTAGAAGCATCACATATGCACAAGTTTGACATAAATATAAAGGAATATTCTGCTTGCTGTCATGTTGCTATGAGCAGAGCTATTGGCACTTTGTTGTAATTTTCGTTCTTCCTCAGTTTGGTGCTGTGGCCTTCAGTAACAACACAAATCCGTTTTTTGTCCTTCAGTACTGTGTCATCTCGGTGAGAAAACAGGTGCAGTCCTCTCTGTCGCTCACAATAGGTCCATAAAGAATGAGCATCACATTTGAGACCCTTCTGAGGATTGAAAACGATTACTTTTTAACTAAGTTCACATTGTTGTGTTGTGTGAAGTGAAATGTGACCCCTGACTATAAACAAGCAGGAAATGGCATTTTGCAGGTCTAGCACTCTATTCTAATGAGGCTTACAGTGTTGTCGTGCCCTTGGGCAAACACTGACAGGTAAACATGTTTGCATTCCTTGTCTCCCAGCTGTTGTTTCTATAGCCACCAAAACACCTGCCTTAAATGTCCCAAGTGCCTATAAGTGCAGATAACTCTCACTATACAGGCTTTTGACCAAAGACTTGCCATGAAGGAATCCATAGAATTAATAGTATAATCATAGCCAGAAATGGACATGAAGTAGTTAACCCTTCTTAAGAACCGTCCCAAATCAGCTTTACAACTGAAATCCTCAAAATTACCATGTTTACCACTCCCACTGCAGAACAAAAATAATTCTATTTTTGTTTTGTTTTGTTCTGCATGTGTATTGTTCATGGTGATTATATAAGTTATTTTGATTTGACACTATATCTAAATCTTATATGTCCCCTGCATACATGGGTCTACTGTACATGTACGTACAAATCATACTGTATGTGGTTTCAGATCAATACGGCAATGCTGATTCATTCTATATTTCAAAAAAATAAAATAAAAAATACTACTTACTTACTTAATTACTTACTTACTAACTATAAACTATGCCCAATGTCAATGACTACATTGTGTATATTAGGGTTTGGATTGTTTTTAGAGAAAAAAGAATGTGCAAAAAACCCGGTCCAAAGAGCCTATAGTTTAAAATGCAGGTGGAGGGCATCTTAAAAAAACTGCTGGCAACTATGGTAACTGTCAAAAGAATTACAAAGTTTTCTAATCATAGTTTATTGTTAATCTCTGTCAATTCTGAGCCAATCCAGATGAATAAAAAACTCACAAAGTGGTAACAAACAAGTGGTAACAAAACTGATGTTGGCCATGGCCAGTAGAAAGAACAGAAGAATAATTTGGTTAGTTTTTTTGTCAAAATCATGATTATTTGGGAATTGTCCCCATAGAGTGGTGTTGGCACCTGCCCTCCATCTAAATTACAATTCTAGATAAGTAAGTTATACTTTATTGTCCCCGTAGGGTAAATAAGTCCTCTGCATTTGAGGATACCTATATTACATGTTTTAGTGCTAGGCGAAACTGGGGCACCAGAGAAAACCTATGCAGACACAGGGAGAACATGCAAATTCCACTCAGAAAGGCCCAGTTCTGACCAGGATTTAAACTCAGGACCTCCTTGTTCAGAAGTGAGAGTGCTAACCACTCAGCCAGCGTCCCAGTCTTTTTTCTGGCTGGACAACTTCATTAAAGTAAGTGTTATAACCAATAGGAGCAAAATCAAGAGGATGCTAGATATTAGATATAATATGAAATTCTCTCACAACTCTCCTCTGTAGGATCGATTGTGTTTGTTGTGGTAGTATTTTTCCCTGTCCTCAAAGCCATGCATTATTAACTATGGACAGTAACAAAGCTGCCCTGAGGTAGCCCTATTGACACAAGCACATCAGCTCTTCAAACCAACGCTCACTGAATTGCCCACAGCGAACCCTGCCCATGAATATGTCTGGTGGGCTGATGAACAATTGCCACAAGGAGTCATAACTTCAATCAAAATCATTTGCTCAAATAAAACAAATTTTGCTTTAACCCTTGCTATCCTCGGGTCAAATGTTGATTAGAAAAATACCCAAATTAATGTTTCTACGAGCTGAATTTGTATGATTTTTCTTAACTTGACCAGCCCTGGGCTTAAAATCTCTATTCAGCCCTTGATTTTTACTCTGCATTTCAGATTTGTTGTCTGTCATCACCTGCCTCCACCCAGAGCCACTCAAAGTTGTAGGAAAAGTATGTGGACATTAGCCTGAAGCAGCTCTCTCAGGCTGGAGCTTCTCTTATTGCTTGGACCACAATCAGAGGCTGGTGGCAAACGCTGGGCTGCTGCGGGCTAGACACTGATCACCCGAGAACAAAAGCCCAAACAGCCCAGCATTCACAGTCCCAGTTTGATCCACACCAGACTCACGCTGCCCAGGCTTCTCTGTTACATCGCCCCAATGGCTTTTGTTTCAGCCATTCAACCTTCCACCTCTTTGTATTTTTTATTAGCAGCTCACTGACAGAATGGGTTTTTTATAGTTTATCATTTGGGTAGAGCTAGAAAGTTCTATTGACTAAGGTTACAATGCAGACTAGTTGAACAGCATCAATGGGAATTCACAGAGAAAAGACTGCGCGTAGCCTGGTTACGTCATGCAAATTAAAGTTGGGAAATTTGCCAAAAACAT